ATTTTACAGTGCATTATATAAAATTTGATTCGTTTCGTCAGCACCTGCATAATGCTTACATAACGATATTAGTTTTATATTTACGGAAAAATCCGGACTTTTCATCAAATGTCATAAATTTTCAACGGGGCTTTGACTTTTTTATCTGGGAACCCTACTATCGATTCTATAATAAAAGTAGTGTTTTCAATAGCCTTATTGCGACTGTTATCTTAGCCACTTAAAACCCTCTTTTTAGAAGGGAGCCAAGTATTTATCTTGCTCAAAACGAGTAAAATACAGACTTGGATCATAGACTAGACTAAATATTATCTAATATTATACAGTAAAATTTCTATGTTTATTTGTAGGGGGTAATTTTGGAAATATTGATCCGTTTATTAAACTATTTTCCCTAAGGGGAGCTACATACGCGGGGACATAGGCAAAAGTTTACGCAGGCAAAAACACGAGAGCTAGTCTAAAATAAAGTCTGTAATGAACTACCAAACGAATCGATGAGGCTTTTCAAAAAAAATGCCCAGACTTTTTTTATACGTTGTGGTCAAGGATCTTACAAGCTTTCCAGGAATCATCCACAATGTGAAATTGTGAAGTCTGAGTAATTAACAAAAGCTACACACGCTATATTATGATTGTTCCCATGGGAACTTGAGAAAAAGTTAAAATACAACACATTGTCAATATATATATTTTTTAAATACACATTTTTTAAATACACCTTGGCACTCTGAGGTGGGCCTCAACCCATGACCTTTCGCAATCTCGGCGACTGCTCTAACCACTGAACTTTGTCTCAAGAGTACCAGAAACAAAGTGGATTTTTTAAGCATTTTTCATTAAGAATATTTTTCAATATAGCATTGTGAGTCCAAAATTGATCAAATATAATAATTACAATACATTGTGTAAAATTCATTATCATTTTTTTTAATAATTCTTAGTTTTCTTAATCACCAGAAATGAATACAGATCTATTATTGCATAAGATCTTATAATATGCGTACCACGGAACTCCAACTACATTTTATCCTTTTTCGTCAAATACAAAACGTTTTAAATAAAAAAGTTTTCATTAATACGTTAACGTAGAGATGTTTTAATGAGCTCTTGGAAAAATTAATGAGGTACTTGCTTGTCAAACAAGCCTCTAATTTTTTTTTTGTATTTGTCCATTATTCATAAGTCAGCTTTGCGTCTTTGTTGACAACTGTAGTTTCCTACGCTATACAATAAAGCTGCTTGTATAAAATTGTAGCTAGTGCAGGCTAACTGACCGACAAGCTATCTTTATGAAGGGATATACTATACTAGTTGCATAATAAAATAATAATAATAAATACTCTTTATTGCACAAAAAGGAAAATCATATAGACACACATAAATATATATTATTACAACTTCAAATCAACAACTTCTTAATATTCCAATATTAACCAAAACTGTTCCTGCCATTTGGTAACAAAAAATCTAGGAACAAACAATACTCATTTGTTTTACTTCCTATCACCTGTGATAGGAAGTAAAACCTGTCACAGGATAACATCGTGACTATGTATGTAAAACAGTGTTTCTTCTATAATTTAAAAAAGTATATTTTGATATACACAAATTATTACTAACTTTTGATAAGTTCCGATAAAGAAACCAAAATGAGGTCAGAAATGTCCAAGTCGTCGAATTGTCTTACTTTATATATTCTTACTAAAAAAATATGTAACATTCCGTCTTTAAAAAAACACATGTAACTATAAAGACTTAAGTTCCTAAAAATGCTTTTAAATAAATTGAAGCAGTTTTGCGAGTATTTTATTGTCTTTCTATTTTATGTTATATAGAGAAAACAAAATAGATATATGAAAACGAAAATTCAAAGAATAACTATCAGTGATAAATTAATCACATAGTGGTCTCATAGTTTGCGATTGTAGTGGTTAAATGACTTTAGTAAAGGACAGTTCTCAGATTGGAGACCAAATATTTTTAAGTCATTCACCTCCGAGCTTTAGAGGGCATGGTATAACCTTACAAATGAAGAAATAGAAAAATACAACAAAAATCTAATATGTATAATATAATGTATTTGTATTTAATCTAATGGTTTTGTTAAAGTTTTATGTGTTTAACAACCATAACACAACCATGTCAACAAGATAGATAGATAGATATACACTTTATTGCTCACACATAATAATTAATAATAGATTAACAATACAGGTACTAATGCTAGTGTGGGCAAAGGCGGTCTTATCGCTCTTCCAGACAACCTTTGATTTGTGTAACAAGTATAATCTATTGTATAGGTATGTACCAAGTAGGGACATTTTCGTTTAAACGTTGTTCCAATAGTCATATAATCACGAAATATTACTACTGTTACTTTTTGGTGATCGAGTGATAATAACTTAACGGAAAGTCGTGAAATGGTCGTGAATATGAAATAATAGTCAGTGTTACATACTGGAATATTATTCACAGTTATTTTGTATTATTGACGACAGATCTATTTACTAGTTTTATCGTTCCATTATTTAATAAAAGACGCGGGTATTGTGTTAATTTAGGCTTTACAGGCATTAAAGATAGCGCAGTTGTAAGCGTGATTGGTCACCGATGTGGAAGTTAAGCAACTTCCACAAGGGTCGGTTGTAGGATGGGGGACCGAATTTTAGACTCGTCCGTGCTTCATAATGCACGTTAAGCCGTTAGTGCCGGCTATGTTCTTGGTTTCTCTTTCGCTTTCATGTTTCTGACTTGAAGTTGAAAAATCATGGGCTTTGTTTACTTACCTATATTATAGACCCTCTCAAGTCCGGGGGCTAATTGTGTAATTTTAAGATCTATCTCAATCCCTTTCATTGGTATATTTGAAAGATATTCACTTCATGTTGCAACGATAAGACAAGTTATAGTTTATGCGTTAATTATGACCTTAATTGGATTGTACATTGTATTGTACATGTTACATGCAAATAACCACACAAAAACAATATTATTCAAACCGTTACAAAAGCGATTGTGATTTTAAAAGTAACAACTTATTAAATAAAAGTTAGACAATTTCACCAAAGGTTGTTAAATTCACAAGTTTCTTCATTTACTGCCTTTAGTTGACTTTTAGCGTGGAATCTCACCGTGTTATAGCGTAATGGTGTGACATTTACCGAAACGGTATTTTCCTTTACTTTCTTCTTATCTATGTTTCAGTTTTCTTACAAAAGTGTTAAAAACGAACCGATGTTAGGTCAAATATATATTACAAAGGAACCAACTAATTGATACAACGATATTAATTATTTAATTAATTTGTATAGATAAGATTTTTTTTTACCCCAAAACTAAGGTATTCAATTAAATGATGTCTATTTACCCGCGGCTTTCCGTAGGTGAGAGAATTTTTAAACTCAGTCCGGTAGTTTCGGGGTCTATTCAATGTAATCAATGAATGAAGTCTTTCCACTTTATAATTAAGTATAGACTAGATATTCACTCACCTACGTGATCAAATGGAAATAAACATGATTTTTTGGCTATAAAAAAATGCCCTTAATCACTCCAGCCTCTCGATTACACAAAAAAATCCTACCAAAATGAGGCACCGTTGCAACGTGAAAGAAGTAAAAATAAACACTTTCCAATTATAATATTTGATTGAATAGTTATTCTATTTTGTAATGTACCCGTGAATAAGAATTAGATCATTTTTTCATTATATCCGCATAACTGACATTTACAGACATAAATAATAATTACCCGCTACCATTGGTGTAATGTAAACAATAAGGAAGTACCTACGAGACGAAACTAATTTATTATCAAGAAAGAAAATATTAAATTTTTTATCTTATTACAAATTTCTCGGAAATTCTAAGATGCAATTCCATTATTTTCAATTAGTTATAAGTCACATCATGCTCTTCAAATGAAGCGAGTGATGCGTTCACTTGTCAAAGTGACAAGTGAACGCATTTAAGTGTTCACTTGTCACTTTGATGTTCGATAAACTTTTAAATAATGATTAGGTAGGTAATAAACTCGGAGACAAAGTTATAGAAAAAATCTCTATTAAAGCACATCATCAATAGCAATATCTTAAAAATATAATAGTACATTTCTATCATGATTTTCCTTGTAGAAACAACGAAAATTACGTTGGAAACATACTTTTACATAGCGTCTCCCGCAATAGCGAACATTATATGAACATGGCGACGTTTCTGATAATGACGTATTATTTTGCCATCCATTTCTTTTTTCCATACATTTCAGAAAGGTATTTTAAAAACGTTTTCACGCCTGTTAAATTTTCGCGTTACGTCCGAACGCAATCTGTGATTACCGAAAAACTAAATAATTTAATTGTCTTTTTTATGTACTATTTGTTTCCATGAACAAGGCCGAGGTTGAATTCGTCTAGCAATTCATCACGACCTTAATTAAACATACTAATTTAGTGTAATTTTTTTTGGCTGATTGACTAGTTAGAATAAATAAAATGAAGGGTCCCGTCGGTAGTAGAAAAAGGTTACGTAAATTGTTTTTTTTATTGTTTGTTTGTATAGAATAGGCTACTGGACTGATTTTTAAAATTCTTTCACCTACGAGAAGCTACATCATATGCTGTGAGCATATGCTATAGTTTATCCCGAAAAAACAGCAAATAAAAAGATGAAAATAAGAGTGGAAGTTACTATGGGGAATGAAAACGTTGCCATAGTAACCATTGTTTAATATTCATTGTAATTATAATTATTTTTGTCATTGTAATTATATCTGTGTCATGACATTAATCGATATCCAAATAAACAGTTCCCCAGGGACCACGCTGGCGAAGCCGCTGGCGGAAAGTTAGTTATTGTATAAGAGGATTTGTTATGTAAAATATTTTCTACAATAAAGTGATCTTACATGATTGTGATGTTATTATGCACATTATATTTATGTTTTAATGAAATATTAATTTCTTTTTTATTTTTCCAGGTACATTTTTATGCCGAAAGAACCATTCAACCTTAAGAAATAAAGAGTTTTTGCAGGTAAGCAACAATAATTATTTTATACAGTTCCTAGTTTTATATTACTCTTTATTGCACTCAAAAGAAATCTAATCAAATATATTGAATCACAAAAGCATTTATATAAAATACATAATCCATATTATTTAACTTATGTAGTATTTGTTTTATCTCCAATGAGGAAGTATTTAAAAAAAACGAAAGAACTAAAAAAGCACCTCCACTAGATAGCGACTCTAGCAAAAGTTGATTTTTGCAGGAAACGAATGGACCAAAGACAGTCATTTCCGTTCCTTTTAACTAACATATTAAAAACTGAAATTTCCAAAGTTCAAAACTTAGACATCAATACAATATGAAAAAGTACAAATAGAATATGAGTTGTTTATTGAGTTTTGAAAACAAAAATTAACTTTTAAACATGAAAGAAAACCGGAAGGGTTGTCATGGAGAAATGAAGAACGTACCGTAGCAACATCTAGTTTGACTTCGGGAACTAATGTTTTTTTTTTTTTAATATAGGTACTTCTTCATTCATAGTATGCTACAAAACATTCTCCGTCAGTTTCGTAGTCCAACTAGAATACATAAAATCATACTTGAATATACGAAAACCCCTTATAAAATACTATGTAATGTTATAAGCGAATTATTGTTTAGTTAATACATTTACATTAATTGTAGAGAATTGATGATTTACATTGCAAATTGTAACTCAAGAATTAATTTTCTTTGTTTCAAAACTTAAGCGATAATGTAATGGTGCAGAAAATACATACGGGGTTGTTCAGTAGCTGTTGTCCCGCGACATTGCCCGCGTAAATTATTACTTATTTTACCCGCATATTATGTAGCTTCCCGTAGGAGAAAGAATTTTCATGATCGGATCAGAAGGCCTAATCTGACCCCCTGAAAACGTCTATTTTGAAGACGCTGATTTATGATGCAATAGAGGTCACAAGACCTTACACTACCTCTAATACACAAATAAACTTCATGGATATGATTTAAAGAAAATTGTAAAATATATTCAAAAATTTTTCAAGTTTTCGTTCGTGGACAAACATTCTAAGCCGTTAGTGTTTCCGAAGATTTCCCCTATAAACAAACAATGTTAAAAACTTTACCTCTTTATAATATTAGTATAGATGTAGCAACTCCGTAAACCTTAAGCAAACTTGTTTAATACTTGCCAATTTAAATATGTTTGTATAGTAGTGCACCGACAAACCTTTCTGATTTTTGCTGCCAGTAAAAAAAAAAAATATTCTCTAGGAGGCAACGCAAGCTAATACTTACCAAACTAGGCCTGGTCATTGCACAGATCGCATACTAAGCGTCAGTTACCTGTTGCATCGGCACCGGAGTGGCTAGCGGAACTACCGTAACAGGGCCTCGTAATGCCATGTCCGACTTTTTAATCGGTCAGTTGTTCAAATGGTATAACGGGTGCGGCCATAAACGCTACAGTTGGCTATGGACCGGTAAACGAAACATTTCAATATTGATGACTTTGTACCACAAGGAGTTAAATTACGATGTGGTTAGCTCGTTCGGTCTGCAGTGAGATTTTAGGAGGTTAAGCTTTCGCAATGACTTGTCATGGGATGGGTGACGAAAAATTTATTATATCGACCTCTTTTGTGCTTTGGAAAGCACGTCTGAAGTTACATAGTCTTAGCTTTAGAAATAACTAAAAAAATGTATTTTATATATTTGAGTGACTAAGTCTTTGCTACTGATCCTTTTTTGTAATTTACAAATAATATTCATCAATCAGATTTCTCTAAGAATTGGACAAATCCAAAATTATTTTCACATATCAAATGGATTCTAAAAAATTTACACAAACAATCTCTTCAATTTTATCATTATATATACAGCTAGATCTCATGATAATAGTCGTGTTTAGTCAGAGCCCATCATTGACGGTGAAAGTATAAAGGGCCACCCTGCTTTCTCTTGCTGACCCTACACACCTTCCAATCTGACGAGACGGCACCTTATAATAAGGTTGTTATACCAACTTTAAAGGCATCGGCAATCTCTCCATTTCGATTTCAATAATGTATGATAATGTCTCATAATTTGCATAATATTTTGTAACTCTTTTTTCTTCGATACCTTTTACACGAGGGCTTCTCAAACTTTTAAGCTCTGAACCCTAGCTAATTATATATGTATAAAATAATCTGAAAAAAAATATTAATTAACCAAAACCACTGACCCATATATTTGTAATTTTTCCCCACCTATAAAAGAATGTGATTACCAGAACAAATTGAGTATCTGCAAAGTTTTTTATAATGCAGATACTACTCAACAGTTATGTGCTATAACAATTGAATATTAACACAATTACAGTAAACAATATTTACATTCTCTAACAGGAAACAAAACATGGCTGTCAGGTATTCTATGTCAGAACGAGTTTCAGTAATTTCAAATAAACAGCTCGCTTTCTTAAAAAACCGATGAAGAGCAAGAAACATCAAAAAGAACATAACATAATATCTTTATTGCAAGACATATACAAAAATAAACTAAACTAGCTGACTTACCGCGACTTCGCTTCCGCAGGCCCCGCCTCCCGTGGATGAAAACAATTTTAAAAACAGTCCAGTAGTTTCAGATGCAAAAAACAAAAAATCTTTTATATTTATTCCTCCACATATTATAATTGTTGGTCGTCCCATATGTACACTATTATTTTAGTTTGCTTCCAAAAAAATGGAATATTACATTTGCAAGACGTAATATTATTAATACTGCCTTGAAAGTATTTATATAAGGAGCCGCACACATCAATGGATTAAGCGTCTCAGAGAAAGTGACACTACAGAGAAAGTCTCATCACATTCAGGTGATTTATATTTGGTTATTATTCATATTAGCAAATTGTGATACGTATCTGCAGGACCTATTGTGAATCAATAAACTACTTATCAATTAAAAGTGTGCTATTGGGCGGTTAACATACTGACCCTGGCCTAGTAACATTATATATTTGATATGGATAGTATCACACATATCCACGAAACTTTAAATGAATAGTATCATGAATAAAGCAGTTGTCTGTTAAATAAACATCATGTATAGTTTAAAAACATTGACATTTACCTAAACGTATTGTTCAAAACAAATGTTACTAATCTCTTTACCTCATACCCTAATTCCCATTTAGACACCAACTTTGCATTGTTCCAGTGTATTATTAGATAATAATAACGGTCAAATTAACATTTCTCATTGTTATTCGCGCGTCGGTCGGTCTTCGCAAACTCGGTCGAACAAAAACAAAAGTAGCAATACTAGTTTTTCGAGATACGCAGGTCGAAGGCCGGGACACACTCATTTCGACCTCGAATTTAAAAAGCAACTTTCAATTCTCAACGGTTTTTAATTATGTACATCTTTATAATTAGTACGTATAATATTTACCTAACAGAGGATCTCGATGGAACAGTGTTTAGCGCGTTCGATACTGGCCATCATAGTATGGGCGACAAAAAATTTATTATCTTGACCTCCTCCCTCCTTTGCAAGGCACGTTAAGCCGTTGGTCCTAGGGCAATTCTAATAATGTTAGCGTAATTATGGAAACTTAACAGACTTCAACTACAACACTTTATGACACACTTCTTGTTACTAGATCATAAAATTTAACCGCGATGATTTGTCAAGAAAACATTGCACTAATCATATTCGTTGCTAGTTAGCGCCTTTTTATCAATTATTGCCTAGCGCGCACCAGCATATGATGTAGATCCCGTAAGTGAAAGATATTTAATGATCGGATCGGTATTTCCGAAAATAACCTCTACAAACAAACAAAGTTAGAAACTTTACCTCTTTATAATATTAGTATACATCAAAGTCTAACTACTACCCTGATTAAAACTTGCGTATTATTCACCTTCTTTTTTCAACATAAAATTAAAAAGCATAATAACATTGCATAGTTACACGGTTGTTTCTTGACAGCAGTTTGCATGACATTCGCGGACTCTCTCACAACACACAGTAGAGATTTCGATCACCTCAGGGTCGACGCCCTCTTTCTGAAGATCAAAATTAACCAAGCAAGGTGTACCCTGCTGTACGACGCGCCTGCTCGCATGCAGGGCTACCAAAAATATTCATTACATTAATAATAATAATAATATTTTTTATTGTCAAACTGTGTACAGTAGATGTTACATAAACAAGTCAGTTCCAACAGCTGCCCATTTCGGACATACAATAATAGCTATTCATTTACATAACACCAATATTCATTCAAATTATAAAAACATTTATCCAACAACCACTCCCTTAATCGTATTTTAAACACATTTCCACTAATACTTTTTAATCTTAGGGGCAGTTTATTAAATATTTTGATTCCGGCAACATAAGTGCTTTTGTCAAGTATATAACTAGAGGATGACATAGTACATATGTCATGCTTATGTTGTCATGCTTATGTTGCTTAATAAAAATAAGTCGTAATGCTTTTACCGATTAGCTTAAATGTTTACTTTTCTATAGGCACTTTAAATTTCAATATTAAAAGTCCTTAATGACTGAGGCTTTGAATATTTGACAAGGTCATTTCAGATTCTCCAAAACTAATGAGAGGTTAAAATTGGAAATAATTATTAAATACTTATTTTAAACCTTAACCTGTTGTTCACATGAAATTTACCAACAGTTTTAATTTACTACCTACTACACAAAAAGAAATAAAAAGTTGCTTGTATGTAACAAGTGCCTAAATATTCGTTAAAATGAACATACATACGACATACAGAGAAATATACATATACTTACAAAATTTGCCTCAAGTATTGAGAAGTTCATAATAAACTATGAGAAATTCATAATATACATAAGGTATATGAAAATTGCGCCATTCCAACGAAATTACATTCACACAGGTCAAATTGATTACCTCCTTTTAGTTGAAGTCGGTTAAAAAAATAGTGCTACGATGTCATTTAATATGACAACCCTACATGGCAAAACTGTATCAGTCAACCCAACTTGTGCCTCTGTGCAAAAAGTCGTCGCTGCCATCGTCTGCTGTCTGCCACGAATAATTATTAAAAGGGCACGAGCTATGGCGACATCTCGTCTCGTCTCGACACTTGCCTGCCCCCCTCCCCCCCTACCTCCTCTTACCGCACTTTGGACACCAACACCGTTAACTTTGATGAGGTTTAATGACGGCATAGATGACGGTGTCCGTAACAGAATAGATTTTAACTATTCTTATATTTATTGATACCAACATTTTCAGACATAACAATGATTATTCTTTATTTTATAAAATAGACTCTACCCAAGGTATAATAACTAAGGGGCTACCATTCACAAGACTTAACAGATTAAATAAATAGCCACTAAATGACACCAATATAATGTTACATTTACTTAATAATTAATTACTTTTTTTAACCTTTATTCTATTTTATTTATTATAATCGATTATGCTAATATGTCAGTGACATCCTATGTTAAATAATTACAAATCACCACTGCAATACCTAATTGTATTTAATAGTGAACAATTAGATACTACAACTTATTAATTAACTCACGACTTTTGACGCAATCAATATATTCCACTAAATAGTAAAATAGAATAAAAAACAATTTGCAGACTTAACGAATTATACAGATTTATATCTTGCTATAGAAACTTCTTTATTATTTATCTTCGTTTAGAATTATGAAATATTAGCATTAGATTTGTTACTATACCATCACGATAAATACTTATGTCGTAACAACAAAATGTTTATTGCGGCATGGCATTATAGCCAAGTGAATACTCGTTTAGCATAAATTTCCAAGCCAAATCCTCATATATCAATTACTAAACTGGTATTGTACGTCGATTATATTTCTTTCTAAATGGAATTGCTTTTCCATACATAATGTATATTGAAAGAGAATAATATTCTATTTTTTAAATGTTCTCTGCATTCAAGTTATTAATTAATTTTCTTTTCTTTACATTCCAGGTAAGCACCAATGCTCGTGATGGTGCGGTCCGACGAAAGTGTCAGATAGCCGCCCCGTGACCACGAAGCATGGGTGCGAATATGGGCAAGAATTCGAGCCTGCTCGACGCACTGCCCACCGCGCAGGGCACGTTGCACGTCGTCATGCTGGGCCTTGACTCTGCCGGCAAAACCACTGCACTCTACCGGCTTAAGTTCGACCAATATCTTAACACTGTTCCCACGATAGGATTCAACTGCGAGAAAGTAAAAGGCACCATCGGTAAATCCAAAGGCGTCAACTTCCTCGTCTGGGATGTCGGGGGCCAAGAGAAACTGCGGCCTCTATGGAAATCTTACACGAGGTGTACAGACGGCATTATATTTGTGCTGGACTCCGTTGATATAGAAAGGATGGAAGAAGCTAAAATGGAATTAATAAGAACAGCAAAGTCACCTGACAATACAGGTGTGCCAATACTCGTGTTGGCTAATAAACAAGACTTACCTGGAGCTAAAGAGCCACGAGAACTGGAAAAATTGTTAGGTTTGCATGAGTTGGTATCGTCTCCTCATGGCTCCAGAGATACACACGCTTGGCATGTCCAGCCTGCTTGTGCAATAACAGGAGACGGCCTACACGAAGGGTTAGAAGCACTATACGAGATGATACTGAAGAGGAGAAAATTAGCCAAGTTGCAGAAGAAGCGAGTAAGATAAATTAAGAATGTACCTTACATTTTTAATTATGTTCCGAAATGCTCACGTTATGGATGTTTTTCAAATATGTCCAAGTTATAAACGCCAAATATTGTTTTATTTTAGATGTGTAACGTCTTATGAAAATATTCCATCATAATGTTGCTCAAGTTCTACAGAACATTTTGACGAAGACGAATATTTTGATAAAACAAATTTAACTACTAGTCATTTTCTTTTGAAAATAGCTAGGAGAAGGATGAAGATATTAAGATTTATATATGTAAATTTTAAATGCCTACATACTTTTGATTTATATTTTGTAAACAAAATTGTTTGAGGTGTAGTTAAATGATAGTTAGCTTCATTTGATACAGAACGTAATGAAGCTGTGAAAATGCCTAACGCACTAATAGTTTTTGTGACGGACAAACTTGAAAGTTTATAAAAATCATGTTATTTCGTCAACAGAGGAAGCATTCGTAAAGGTTAATACGGTCACAACGTCCTCTGGGACCATTAGCATAATGGGAATGTTATTATTCTAAGGATTTTAGTGCATATTTAAATATATGCTACAGTAGTTAGATGTAGTGATTGCTAAACATTGTCATGATGTTAAATATCTACAGTTCTACACCTGTGAAAATTCCCACGTTTATGAAAGGTTTTCCTTTATCTTCATCCTACGATAACCTTTATTTATCTTCCCTACATTTACACGTCAATACCAAAAGATTCTTGAGTAGCCAGTTACGATTTAGTGTGTAGAAATTATTTATATTAATCATTGTGATGTTCTATTGTATAACTTCATAAAGAGGCTTTTAATGTTTGTGTTTTGGACAGCTTCTTCTAAATGTAAATATTTGTAAATACTGTTTAGAATCTATAAATAAACTTATCAGGCAAATATTAAAACTGTGTGTCATCGTATTATTTATCATATTGTTATTTAGCGTTTTCTTAAACCGACTTTTAAAACACGTACTTGTAATAAAACTCCTGATATTTCTCTATCAAGTTCCACTTTTACAACTTGATGAACTCTTGTAATAACTAAAGACAATCCAACATTACCATCTGTCCTCGTATTTTCATCAAGTCAATCAAAGTCAGAAGCTGCAAGATCAATCTATCAAAGTTTATCATCAATTGTCTTTGAAATCGTTTATTGCACGTATTGCTAGCACACTAGTTGCGGTATTAATAAATCTAATATGTTTTGTTTAATAATTGTAGCTTTAAAATATATTTATTTAGTTACTCAAAAAAATGTAATTGAATTATTATAAACCCTAATGTACTTTATGGTCTATTATGGACTATTGTGGAAACTTTTACCAGAGATTGCATTACTCACACTGTAAATATGTAAATTCCAAGTTGCAATTTGTCAGTACCATTAAACCAAACACTTTTAAAAGTATAATTGTACATTTTGTTTTAAAATACCTATTGCTACGTTGGTTTTATTATATTATCAGCATTAATGCATGTTATTGAGTTTTGTGGGATAAATAGATAGTTTTTCATATTGATTCCCAATAATAAATTCTGTTTTCAATATACGTTTTGTTTTATTTTACAAACACTATAATAGTTTACTATCCTCGTCTTCATCATTCCTGTGAAGATACATGTCTGGATTTTCACCTTCTACCCAATCTGTGAATAATTTCAAATACTCTAATTCAGAATCAGTCAAAGGTTTTTCTACTTTGACTACAATGCTTTCAGGTTTCTGATGTTCAATTTTATTTGGTCTTATTTTCAAAGAAATGGGTGGTATGATAGGCCTACAAAATTTATCTATTATAACTTCATGAGATTTTTGTAGTCGTTTCTCCAACCTGTTAAATAACCGTAGCTCGCGAGATGCATTTTTGGCCGTTTTTAATTTTTGATGCTCTTCGTTTAAAGCTTTGGTAACAGCAGATTTTACAGCATCATTGTGTACGTAGTCCAATCTATAACAGTAGTCCATATACATACCCTCTAAAGATTTCGCCATGGATATAATATCCATATTCATTGGTCTCTCTGAATGTACTCTTTCATAACAGAACTCTAAATGAACAAAAAGTCTTAGCACATCTGGAGCACCAACACTATTATAAAATAATCCATTAATTATTGAAAAAAACTTTTGTTTCATTTGTTCACACCTTTCATTTTCAAACTCTAAATACTTTTCAAATCTTCTTACTGTGTTAGAAACAAAAGTGCTCTCTTGAGTGATAGAGTTTTTTAAGTATTTTATTCCCTCTCTGTGGATATTCCTTTGTGGAGTTAGATGCGTTAAGTAGTCAAAGTGATGTAGCAAATGTTTTTCAATCCCGTCAAAAATATCCATTAGATCATGAAGCTCAGAAAAATAAAGAACTGGATGAACCGGATTTAAACTTTGGTTTTGCATCTGCTCAAAAATGACTTTAAAAGTTTCGTCTTCATTAGAATTACCCAAATCGAAACCTTTAGCTTCAATCTCCACCGATCGCGCAAATTCTCTGTTTTGTGAACGCCAGGTTGGAGGTGACAAATAGTATAAAAATCTCCCATATTTTTGTTGAACACGATAAAGATAATCCAATCCCATTAACCTGGAAATAATTGTGAATTGTTCACTTGCAAAACTTTGTAACTCTGCCTCTTTAAGTTGCAGTAGATTTTTTAGTTTGTCCCATTTATCTAGAAAAGACTTGGATTTAATATAATCTTCATAAATAAAAGAATCAAAATATTTAGCTTGTCTCATACATTTCTTGACACTCTCTTCATACATTATCATCTCATTTCTGTGATTGATATCTATATTTAGGATGGCATCATTCCTATAACCTATCTCTGCTTTTATCCTTAATATATCAGCTATTGCTGTTTTTAGTGATTTAAATATCGGGATACGTGTTTTTAAATGGCGTCCACTAACATAGTTGAAAAATTTTTCATCTATATCAATCGCTGTATAAACCTCATTTGGTGGATCTTCTATGAACAATCGCTGTTGCAGATTAGTCTGGACAGTTTTATACTTTTCATTAATAGGAATTCTGAGTTTATATTTCTTGTTAATCTGTTTTTGTTTTTTTGTGTACATTATGTATGATAAAAGTATTTCGCCTCTTCGTAAGCTATTCACTGGCGTCGGTTTGTGTTCCATTGAGAAATACTTTTGAGACAATGTCTTGGAAGATTTCTTAAGACGCTTCTGATTGATTCGTTTTAGAATACTCGGCACGGTAGAAGTTTTCAAAAGTTCTTTTGATGTTTTTAAACACACTCTCAACTTCGGTATGTTTATAATAATCGACTGACAGTCGTCTGCCATAATTTAATACAAATTGAAAACGTGTGAAATTCAAAAAGTATACAAAATATTGATCAAAAAACCGATGTAATCTATTAGGTCATGCTAATGTATGTTCCACTATACTATAAAAATGAATCATTGGTGTATTTGATGAACTTTGTATTTGAAATTCCATATATATATTTATTGTAGAACAATACTTTAAAAATCAACCGAAGCAATTGTGACCAGGCTAACGCATGGTTATGTGTTTGATTACTGTCTCGAACAAGGATTTTTTAAAGTATTTATTCTTAAGGATACATATGCAATTAAAGGCATAAATACTTGAAATCAAACTTTTAACATGACTACATTTTTATAATTGTAATTTTTTCTCAATAAAATTCAAATTACCATCAAAATATGTCGCAAAAATTTGTCCTTATGTAATAAATAAACAAAGCGCAAATCTGGATGTAGATTCTTGCTTTATTTAAACTACTGCTTACAATTGCATTTGTAATTATTTCACTATTTAAAACTTCCTAATTTTTAACAACGTTGTAAGTATGAACTACAAGATTTGTATACTTTATACTAAAAATACAAACATGAAAACATTAACAATAAAATCCTCTCTAGGGACTTGATTTTGATATAAAATTTTAATATTCCTTATGGAAGAATAGATTTGCGGGGAACCCATTCGAAAGCTGGTTTTACGAATGTATAATATTCATCTAAATAAGGGGCAGGATCCGTCCCCTCACACCATTCTGTAAAGAACATCAATCCTTCTCGTTCTTCAGGCGTTATTTTATACCTTATAGATCGAGGACGTTCCCCACTTATTATTTGCGATTTCAGTCTCTCTTTGCGCGCCAATTGCATACAACTTTTTTTATCCATAAATTTTTTTAACACAGGTCGTTCATATTTGGCAGGTGGCAAAAATGCTTTATTCATGGCATTCGTCATTTCTCTAAATGCTCTCAGTTCTCGCTGAGCTTTGTAAGCATTACGTATCATTTTCAAATCTTGAGCAAAGAAATCGTTTCGAGCTTGGTTAACAATCTTGAAATCCAATGAATCGAGTCTTAAATTATAATCTTCATACATCACTTCCAATATTTTCATAGGATCTTGTATGGTTTGATGTCCTTCTTCACATTTCCCAATCACTTGTTCGTATACATATTCAATACAAATCTTTAGTTTCAATGTAGTTGGACTAGCCACACTATCGTAGAATGATTCATTCAATATTCGATAAAACTTTTGCTGTAAGTGATTTTCGTTGTATGTTTCTCTAATTATTTCTGTATTAAGACTATCTATATAGAATTGAAAGTAATCTAACTCTTGTGTCGTAACTTGTTTCAACTGTTTTATACGTTCTTGCAGAATTCGGAAAGGAACATCGGTCTTAGCAAGCTGTCTTAAGTATTCACGACTCTGTAATTCCATAGTCCGAAATAGATATATCATTTTCTCTGGTGTCTTAAAATACATACTGGCTGGCAAAGGATCATGGAATTCTATTCCTGCTGCTTCGATAATTTTATCGATACCCAACGTTTCTACCAAATCGTTATCAGTTGCAAACGATCCTGTTTCAAATTGAATAGACTTCACTCTACCCTTCAATGTTTCATCAAACTGTTGTCTCCAAGAAATAGGAGCGACGAAAATTAAATACCTCCTATATATTTTCAAAATATTTCTTATGGCATCTAGCTTGAATATTATATTATTCATTATGGACATCGATGACGCGTAACCAAGAAATTCAGAATTTTTGGCTATTAAATCTGCATATACTTTTTCTGATTTTGATACCTTTGCACAAGCTTTCTTATAATCTTCGGTTAAAAATTTTTGAAAGTTTTTAATGTGCTGTTTTAAATTTTCTGCTATAACGTCATAATACCGCTTTTCATCTACCATGCTTTGCTCAATTCTAAGTATGATATCGCGCCTGTAGCCAGTTTGCTGACGATTCATTGCATAGCTTCTTATATTATTCACGTATACCTTAATATCATCAAAAGACCTTAATGGGCGACCCTCTATGACAGTGTAAAATTCTGGATGAATTTCAACTACGGCGCGCACGTCATCAGGAGGCTCTTCAAGGAAAAGTCTCTGTGAGATATCTCTTGTTGCCGCAATCCTTAGATTATCTTTTAAATGTAAAGGTTGAGCTAATCTATCTCTGGCACATAACTTTTCTTTACGGTCACTATATTTAATGTATGACAAAAGTTTTTCAGACCTTGGTACTCTAAACGGCCTGACACGTTTTGGTTTAGTTATTTCTTTGGAAACAGCATGTTTTCGATTAGCAAAATAAAATTGAGTGTTAGGTACATACCGGCGCCTAAATATTACATCTAATGTTTTTATTGGGACCATGGGTTTGCGTTTCTTCTGTAAACATGACATTTTAGTAAACAAATTCTTACAAAATATTATAAGTACAAAAATTATGTTCTAAGTAAAAAGTTAATAAAATTACTGTATATTGGAATAAGATGTCAACCAACGCCACATTTATGTCGAATTTTGACAGTGGAATTTTCTTCTATTTCATTTCTAGGTACTCTATGTGAAAGCATAGATTTACTATGTGAAAACTTCGATCTACAATACAACTAGATGCCCAGTCAGTCTCAAAAATGACCGAAAAAGTAACGTCTCACTTCAAAGTGAGGTCTTATTATGTTTTAGTTTATTTACGAAGTCGCCAACATTCGGACGTGTTACAATATCACAGTGCGTATCAAAACTCCAAAAATAACTATCGGAATAAAAATGTAACTGTTGGAATATCATATTTTCGGGTTGTAAATGTCATTTTACAATGTCTATTATTAATAAATCAAAGTATTTTCTATAAAATAACAATTTTATTTCCGAGTCAACACACGCGCTAAAATGACAATCATTTAACCAAATATTCGATATTCTAAGCTCTTCTAAATTGGTAACCGTCTGTTGTGCAATGTGTGGGCTAGCGTTGTCGTGAAGTAGCAGTGGTGTAGAGCGATCGACCTGCCTCGGTTGTTGAACAGCTAGTTTTTCCAGCATGGTTTGCAATTGCTGATAATAGATGTCTGCCATAATCGTCTGGCCAGATTTGAGAAAACTGTACTGAACGACACCGGCACTAGTCCACCAAAAGCTTACAAGTAACTTTTTTGAGGTTAATTTTTGCTTGAGGCAGGATTTGGCTGGCATGCCAGTCTCCAACCAATGCGTTGAGCGCTTCTGATTATCGTAGAGAATCCACTTTTCATCACAGGTAATGATTCGATTTAAAAACCCTTAATTATTGTGCCGGTTAATTAATGTAACGCAGCAGTCGAAGCGCGTTTGCAGTTTGCCTCACTCAATTCGTGAGGTACCCACCTTTCAAGCTTTTTAATCTTTCCGATTTGCTTCAAGTAGATTAAAACAGTTTTATCACTAACACCGCAGCCTGCAGCTAACTTGGACGTGGTTTGCGATGGATCCCCTTCCACAATAGCCTACGTGCGGCCGTCCACGGGGCTTGTTCTGCAGGTTGAAATTTCCAGAACGAAAACGTTGGAACCAAAAACGCACTGTGTTTTCTTTTGCAAGACAACCACCATACACATCATTAACAATTCGAGCCGTTTCTGCAGCACTGGTACCACGGTGGAACTCGTACTCATAAATAACACGATATTTCAATTTGGGTGACGTAAATACAACAAACAGAAGATAAAAAAAACAAATGAATGCCACCTAACGAAACACAAATACATGTGTAAAATACAAGGAGGAGAAATTTGTGATTAAAGTGGCCAGGGGGATAATTCTACTAAATAAATTTGTTTAAATCGAATTGAAAACGGATCGATAACGGGTCGAAACCGAACGAAACTAAAGTTTTTAATGGTTTTTCTATTGTACAAAATGACATTCGATACAATTCCAGCTAAAATAGAACTGGAATTGTATCGTATGTCACTTAGTAAAATAGAAAAACCATTAAAAACTGTAATTTCTTTCGGTTTCGATCCATTTTCGATTCGACTTAAACAAAATTTATTGAGTAGAATTGGCCCCCTGTACGACAAAACTGCAGCATATTTGGGATACTGCAGGTAATTTGGAATACTTCGATATCTAAATAAATATTAACAGCATCTATGTTTTTTTACCGTGAACATAACGTCGTAAGGCACACTACGACATATAGCATTAAAAACAGGACACAATTTTGACATTCTGGCTACCAGCTCCGACGGAACAAAACGACAGATTTCAAAACTTTTTTGGTTAAGTATGCAAACAACGATAATTATTTACTCTCAAACATAAAATATTTAGTGTAATTATTCAAACTGTTATGTGACCTTTTTAGTTTATAATTTAACTTTAATTTTGTGAATATTTCTAGAATTGAAAATGTGATATGCCGGTTTAGGTTAGGATGGTACGTTGTTAATTTGGAATACTACACGTGAACTGTTACAAAGCTAGAAATTTATTAGTTTGTAAGATCAAGTGTTAACAGTATGTTAATAAAACATATAATTGTTAAAATATATATAGATAATAATATATATCAGTATATAATATAAAGTGAATATAATTTGGAATACTATATTCCAAATGTCCAATACTATATTCCAAATTACCTGCCCTCTAAGTCCTTTCACATAATTTCTAATTTTTAGCTCTTTTTGTTTTTTGATAAGGTTCCTGACTTTTGTTCTTTATGATAGTTATAAATATTAAAGTTTAATCGTTTTCCAAGTAATAAACGTATTTTTTAATGAGCTATCCCTTTTTTATTTTAATTTATTCTCAAAAAACAAACTGGTACTCATGAATTGATCTTCATCATTATTGCTCCATGACCCTTCAATTTGACCCTTCAAGAACTGCAGTTATAAACCATTCATCATCCTCCGTATACGCCAGGCCTTGCTCCTACGGACTACCATTTTTTTCATGATTTGGACAATTATCTACGTTACAAGAAGTTTTCTTCTCAGGAGGCCGTACAAACTGCTTTCACATAGTTTGTGCAGTCTAGATCCTCAGAGTTCTATCGCAAAGGCATAAATGACCTTCCTATTATGTATTGTAAATGGCAGCAATGTATAGATAATAATGGTAACTATGTTGATTAAAAAAATTTGTAAAAAAAATAAAAAATAACTCTTATTGGAAAGTGACTTCATAGTCTAATGAAGTCACTTTCAATATCAGAAATAACAAACAGGTGTTTTTCGATTACTGAGTAATATGTCGGTTGCCAAGTCATAGATACTCATTGATAAATCAATATGCAGTATTCATAACAAAAGAAAATGGACGAAATTAAGTAGCCCAGAGCAGACTCATCCCCACTGGCAACACCCATACGAACATAACGCGTAAGCCAGACATCGCCTCGCTCCACCACATTTTAGAGAACGTAACTATAGACGCAAACGAACCCAACGCATAGATTATTAAGAGAGCGTGACTACTCTAGGTACTTATGCAATGAATTAAGGAAGCTAGTTCTATCCATGGCACATAATACATAGGTACAATATTAATCACATTAGATTAAAATATCTAACATCATGCCCTTTAGTCATTTAGATCTTCTTTAACGGTCCTTTCCTTTACTTTGTAACCAATTCTTCATACCATTTTTAAAATGATTTATTGGCAAATAAATAAAACACATCATCTTGTTAAAGTACTGTATACCTTGACTCATGAATGGACCTAATAGCTTCTGTATTAAGAAGGCATTACTAGCTTGTTTTATTCCTACTGTTAAGTTTGTGTATATATAATATAATAGTGTGCTTGGTATACAAATTATATAGTTCCGGACAAAAAGTATACAATTATAAATAAATTGAGATGCAACGGTCAATATTCCGATTTCTTTAAATTTTTCTCCGAGAGATGCTCGTGAGCCTAACTACTAGATAGCTCTTATTGCTCCTCTTTGTGAAACAAATATAGACTCGATAGCAGCTGCCGTTCCCCACAATGTAATAGGTACCATAGGGACATGATACTGTGAAAATATCTAAACTACACTATTCGGGCAGTTTCCATATCGGTAATTTGTCATATTTTTCGTATGACATATGCAACCAAGCTGAATTTACCAGCTAATATAGAGATGTGTTCCACTGCATTTCATGTATTGATGATGATAATAAGCTATCCCCATACAAATTCATTAAAGTGGTGGTACTATCTACTTCATGTTTGCTCAGATTTTTTACAATATTGTTAAAAGACTATTTAAAAATCATAAAAGCTTTGAAAATCGAAGAAATATTTTATTAATAGAGTAATACACAAAAAAAAGTGTAAGGTCATACTCATATCAAGACCATATTATTTAACAGCACAGCACCGTTAATTAAAGTTCCTTCTTCTTGTAGGTTCAAAGGATGAATGCAACCTTTTAGTTAACTTGTCGACATTCCTTAGCATTTTAGCAGCTTCTTCGGCCTGCTTTATTTCCTTTTCACTATTTTCGTAGGTTTCTTTCTCTATTGTTTTAATAAGATCCAAATCGAATGCAGATATATCTAACTGCAAATTATCATATTCATTTTCAAGAGCTAAGGCCATGTCCAAAGAGCTTAGTTTAGTTTCGTTTGGTGCGATCAGATTTTCGTAAGCAAATTCTATGTAATTGTAAAGTTGTAATGCCATCTCCGATGAGACCAAGAACTGTAATTTCTCCTCCAATATTTTGTAGAAAACTTCTTTTACATCATTTTCCCTTACCTCGTACAACTTGATGAAAACTTCAATTTCTTTAATCTATTATCAAAAAAAAAATTACGTAAATCATTTACAGTGAAATATTATTGTTGTTTATATATTCAAGATAAAAATCAACAGAAAGCTTAACTACCAACATATCTCGAATCCCACTTGAACGGTAGTTATTTATTTAACAAGGGGAGTGAGACCTTCATTGCTGTATATTTGCATATTACACTACACTCGCACTCGAAGTTCATCATAACTAACTTAATAACAGAGGCAAAGATTGCTTATCATTGCAAAAACAGATACCTAAATAACATTTCTCATTAATTTTCCATGAAATGTCTTTTGATATTCCAGTATGTCTAGGTTTATTTTTTTAATTAGTGAAGCTATCCAAATTCTAATCATTAAAATATTCACCAAATACAATTCGAAACTGTTAGTTAACTGACTGTTCTGAGACCATCTTGGTGCATTGAAATAAAAAAGCAAAGACTTGGCAATTCTGCATTTTTTCTTCGTAAATGTAAAGCGTTATTATGGTTGGGCAAGTATTGATTATTTAATTCATGTATTTTAAGATACTCCCCTAAGTGTAGAGTCTCAAATATACACTCTATAGATATTCCAGTTCCGTTCGACTTAGAAGATTTCGTCTAATTATAATTCACATAAATAATAATAAATAGGCTTGATAATGCTGTGGTTAACACGTTTGATTTGCGATACAATTGTTAAGCAACTTTCGCAAGGGCCGTAGCCGAGTGGTTCGCACACCGGTTACAAGGTGTCGCCATCTCGGAGGTCTGAGATGTGTTGTATTACCTGCGTTGTCTCAGTTACTCCATAATACAGGAGCTTTAGCTACTTAACTTGGAATCTGAGCAATGTGTGTGATATTGTTTAATATTTATTTATTTATAGGATAGGTGATCATAAAATGATTATCACGTATTCCTACGAGCTTGGGAAAGCACGTAAAGCCGTTGGTCTTGGCTGCATCTGCAGTCATAAACACCGACCAATCCGCACCGGGGTCTGTTGGCGGGTAATAAATGACCCATTCTCCCAATTCGGTTCGATTCCACCTATAGGGAAGGCCAGTGCGTGAAAAAAAAATTGCTTCAACGTGTACATATGCTCCTACCTTTATCGTTTATTGTAATCTCCACATCAACAAAAGTGACTAACAGAGAATACCTAAGGCATTGAGTCCGCCTTTGTACGATTGTGCTTAAAGAATTTAATAAAAAGAATAGAATTATAAATAATATGCTGGTGTTGATGAATAATTCACAGTTCGATATCAAATATCCACCATTGATTCAGAGCGCTTTAGTAGTGTAAGTTTTTTTGACATTAACGTTCACCGTCAGCATAGTATCTGTCTCGATCGTGACCGCGTTAAGATTTTAGTATGTAATCCAGTACAGAGCCCCTAGCGGTAACTACAAGAAGTACAAAACTCACTAGTGAACTATGTAAAACTTACACGCAGCACACTGAACAGCTATTCGACAAGCCTCTTATTTGAGAAAAAATATGGTAGCCAAGTAAAACAACGAGATTCTAATTATTATATTTGAAATTAAATAAGCATTTTTCATTAAAAACGAGATTCTAGCTAAAATATTTTTCCTCTTGAGATTCATCAAAAACATTGATTCGACAATAATATTGTAATTACTTACGTTCTGTTGAATGCAATCTAATTCTTGGTTCAGTAGTTCCTTTAGGCACTCGACCGCTTTTAAAAACTTATTCTTTTCTGAATTGAGTTCCTCTGTTACCAATAAATAATTAAGGTTTTGCTTCTCTAGCAAATTGAATACAGTAGGCAGTTGCTCAGGGGTTTCGAAAAACAATTCAGGCGGAGGTAAATCACTTAATTTCAGCTTCACCAAGTCAATATCAATCTTACTGAATATATCAGAATTAACTGGGAAAATGACAGGTCTCTCTTCATCGATGTTTGTGTTTTGTTTTTCTTGCCACAAATAAGGGGAAGCCTTATAAAGAAACCTTTGGAAAGACAGTAAAATATTAAGACTCTCTTCAGTATACTGTAACTTTGATTTAAGAGTTGCCATTTCGTAATTCTGCTTTTTAAATTCTTCACTTTCCGCAAACAGATCTTTTGCTAGCACATCGGACTTCTTCATTATTGCAATAGTTTTATTGTTGTCATGCGCCAAGAATTTATCGAAACTGTTTTGGTAGTCATCGAAATGTCTGGACGTGGTCTCAAAAATCTCCGTTTCCATTTTAATCTGTTTATCAATCCTCATAATCTCATCAACCAGAAATCCATGAACAGTACGCTTCAAAGCGACTTCTTTTATATTTTGCTTGTATTTATGAATAGATGGATCAGGTCTGACGGGCCGCCCTTCCACTTGTGAATAGAAATCGGGGTCCACGTTTATTATAGATTTAATATCACCATTTTGTATCGGCTCTATCGGTGGAAGTTTTATACCAGCAATCGTTTTTCTCGTACTTCTTCTCACTAACTTTTTCTTTTTCCCACTCTCCATGATACACACGGTAAAGAATAAATTCTTATGGAGTAGATATTAGATCAATATCACTATAGCAACACTATACCCACTTCATTTACTGATAATGAAAACCTGAATCTTGAATATAATAATGAATCTTCCCAGTATTTCAATAATCTAAATAAATCAAAAAAACTGTTTAGTATGTGCTAGTTTCGCATTCAGGTGGCAAAAGGCTGTAGTAATATTTCCTATTACATTGTGTATAACCCTTTTGAATTTAATTATTTGAAAGGAATATAATATGAAGGTTTAAAAGAAAAATAACAACTCTCTTAAATAGATTTATAACCAAAGGGACTTAAGTAAGTACATTCTATAAAATGACTAGATATTGGTAATTAAATCTTAAAACTCATGTAACAGTCGGTAAAAAATGAGTTAGGTAGCTACACGTTAATCACTCGACGAACTTGCACTTTGTTGTTCATCTCCTTCTTCCTCATCCCCTTCTTTCTCTTTCTTAACAAGTTCCCACGGCATTATAGGCAGTGGTTCCACGAAAGAATCGTCGATTTTCAATTTATAAAGAAGTCGAGGCGTGTAATGTGTAGGGAGAGGCCAGACACACTCTGTGGACATAAATTTCGTAAACGGAATTATTTATTTTTTTAATTCATTTGCCGTCTATCTATGTTTCACCGATTCCGAAACCAAACAAATATGACCAAATTTATATATGATCAATGTAACACTTGACTAAGATTTTTAGCTCACTGTTAGGTTTTAATAGAAAGTCTTTTTTTTTTAAATAATGTTTTTTTAAATTTAAATAATAGATGTATAAAAGAAATACAAACTAATTCTTATCACTAGTCAATGACTGCAATTTACTGAAATTTATTGTCTAATGAATTTTAAAAAAGTAAGTATCCATATCTCGCTTTACTTTCCTATATCAAAATGGACTTAGAGAGAGAATAACTTAACTAGTCATTCTTCTGCATTAATAATGCATAAACATTGCATTATAGCATTAGACAGAAGTGAAATAAGGTTGTTTTTATGGTATACTTTATGACAAAATATCAATAATCATGTTACTCTTAAGACTGACGGCTAATTTGCTACATATCCACTTAAATACTGTCTGCTATTCTTAACTGTTGTCATTTAAGCTATGTATTAAATAGCTTAAATGATTAAATAGCTGAAATCGGCAGTACAGATTTTTAATTTTGTCAGACTATTATTTATTCATAATTGTTAAAATCGTAATCTGGGATTGTCATCCATTGTGAATGCTACTGCCTTTCTTGTTGTTTTGCCGTTTTCCGTGATTAAGTTGTTATTGTTTTATTTTTGTTTGGTTTTTGTTGTTAAGTTTTGTTAAATATGGACGATGCCGTGCAGGCCCGAGTGGCCTATAAAAATTACGCTCTAAGCCCCCATACCTACCCTCAACCTTTGACATTTCAGGAAGTTTTTCTAATGTCTTCATTAATAGTCTAACTAATTACACTTACAATTAGAATTTATTAAAACAACAGACAGATACTTTCAGTTTTAGTTCCATTTTGGCTTGGGAGTAAAAGATGAATTTATAAAATGCTGGCCTCATCTCAACCCCGAGGTTAAAAAATTGAAAATTGCCCAGCTCTTTCAGACTAACGTTCAAAGATTCAACAAAACTAATATATATTTTTTAAATTTATCTTGATAATAAAATGTTCTGCACTTCTGCTTCTATGACCCTCTTTTTTCTAATGTTATAATTAGAAATCAGAAACTTCAGATAGTATCTTCTGGGGAATAAACTAAAATACTGACCGAAGTAAAATATGTAGTCGTCCACGCGCCTGTGCAAATGAACAACCTGACGAAGATCGAGCACGTGCGGAGACTGCAGTAAATAGTCTAATAGAGCTACTTCTGGAAGTGCCTTTATCTTCGGATCCACTGCACTCAACCCTTCGAAGGATAGCTAGGAAATAGAGATTTTATAAGTTAAGTTATGCCTAAGAATTAATATTTTGGAATATATATATTTATTTCAAGAGTCCGATAGAATTATGCGGAAATATTAATATACTAGCTGTGCCCGCGACTTCGTCTGCGTGGGAAGTATTTTGGTAGAATTCTTTTTTCCTATGAATGGAGTTGAATCGAATAAGATCAATGGGCCATAACCCACTTTGCGGGCTTAATGCGGATCGGTGGGTGTTAACGTTACTGATGCAGCCAGGACTAACAATCTTCCAGGTTTCGTAGAGTTTTGTAAGTAATATACATTTGACGTGACTTACTCATGTACCTGCATACCAATCCGAATAATTCGAGTACCTAACACGCCATCCAGCGATCCACCTATATCCAAGCGCCTGATTCCTACTGAGTGTGAGTGAAATTGACAGCTAATGCGTTGTATTCTAAACCTTATGTTTATTGAAACTAAAATTCTCCAAGCGCTATGTTAGTTGGACATACAGTACAATTAATTTATTGCTTAGTTCAATGAATTGACGTAACCATTGGGTAGCACAATGGACAAATATCATAAGTTTAGTCTCTCTGTCTAGAGAGAGGCCCTGAACTTAGAGAATCGTTAATTAAAGTTTAAGGAGATTCTTTATAGACATGTAATTAAACAGTGAATCTACAACATTTATGCAGTTTCTGCGAGTTTGTGATTGTAATTAAACCGTATTCGGCCACTAACTCATTACGATCGTATTTTAACGATTATTGCACGTCTCTACAAGTAAATGTATGGTTGGTTTTCTGTTAGTCGCACACCAAGTACAACTGTCAAATATCGATATTAACTAGTTTATTAAGGTTCAAATTTGACAGCTCTTTATGTGAGCTTTGAGATTGACAACAACGAGACCGCATGCTCGTGACAAGAGTTCGTGTAAATCTCACTAGATTTACACGCAGTCTTGCCACTGGAAACCGATTAATTTATGCTCACATTTTCCTCACTCTTTGCGAAGGAGCATAACTGATTTATTTTCATCAAACATATCCGTAGCTGCTCGATGTGCTCCTGTAGTGGTCCATACACGTCCAGTTTGCCGATCAAGGCAGGAGGTCGCGCTGTTACTGCCTTCCAGTCGTCAAAAATCAACTAGAAGTTTGATTCGATGAAAAATGCTTCTAAAATCCACCAACACTTAGTACCCCGAGATGGGTACCTAGGGCATTTTTAATACAAATGTTGTGAATATAAAATTGAAAATAATTAAAAGGTAAATTACAAAAATATTCCATTATCTAAGCGTAATAAATTATTAATTAATTCTTTCCTTGCCAGACTGTAGCCTCTCTAGCCATGGCTAGATTTTCGTTTCATTTTACTACTTTGACACGTGTACTTTAATAACGATGAACAAATATTATAGAATCAACAACAGATGTCACTATCAAAAAGCTAGAACTCACTAAGGTTTCGATTTGTCAACTTTAATATATATATAGAACAATCTAAAATAAATGTCTACTGCCACAACAATCCGTGTTTTGTTCATGGACCTTTTGCCGCCGGATATTTGAAAAACGAACCAAACTAGCTGTAGACCGGAGAACGACAGTGACGTCAACTAGCTGATATCGGAAAGTAAAGTACAGATAAACAAATAATAAAAGGGCCACAAAACTGTAAGTACTGTCTCAACCATATTATTAGAAACATAGAAGGTTTGAACGTAGCTGTCATAGACTTGTAAAAATTTTAGCTTATTTTGGTTGAGACGGGGAATCTATGCCCGATTTCGTCTAAGTCCATAAATAGCAAAGACTTAGAAAAATTTTGAACATTTGAGACTTAGAAAAATTTCAAGAAAAATACATTGGACTTAGAAAATTTTTTCAACTACGACTTTAAGAAATTTTTTTTCAACTTGAACACAGGATTTTTTAAATACAATATACTACAAAATGAATTCATTAATACGAATTCAAGTAAATATTCACAACAAAATTAACAATGGATTTATTAATTTCAAAAAATCTCCAAAAGAAAAAATAACAGAATGTTACATTGAAACAAAAATGGAAACTTTAGAAAAACAATGGACATCGTTTGAAGAAAATCATGAAAAACTTATTTGCAAATATGATGAAGCTGAATTCATTACTTCTGAATACAATACCAAAAATCTTTATACAACAACTGAAGATTTGTATACTGATTATAAAACTGAAATGAAAGAATGTCTAAAGAAATTAGTAGGTCCGGAAAAACTAACATACCATTCTGGAGAATCTTCCCAAACAGATAATGAACATGTCAATGTGAAGTTGCCTAGAATAGCAATACCTAACTTTTCCGGGAAGTACGCCGAGTGGACAACATTCCGTGATCTTTTTTTGTCTCTGATACACAATAATAAATCTTTACAAAATGTGCAGAAACTTCATTATCTCAAGAGTTACTTAACCGGTGAAGCTGAACAACTCCTGAGACATCTGACAATTTCAAATGAAAATTATACGATATGTTGGGAATTATTGGAGACTAGATTTAATAACAAAAAATTTATATCAAATTGTATTTTGAAGAAATTTTTCAGTCAAAAACATATTGTTAATGAATCTTCTAGTGCTTTGAAAGAGCTATTCGATACAACGAACGAATGTTTGAATGCCTTAAAAAATGTAGGAGTTGTAATTGATAACTGGGATATTATCATTATATATATTTTATCACTAAAATTAGATAATGAGTCTAGAAAACAATGGGAAGCAAATATTTGCAGCTCAATAAATGAGTTACCTAAATTAGATCAATTTATGAAATTTTTAGAACACAGATTCAGGTCACTTGAATTTTTAAATCCTAAACCAGTAAAATATATCCAGTCTAATCAAATTGTAACTAACACTGTTGATGTTAAAACTTCCTTATGCTCTTATTGTTCCGATTGTAGTCATAAACTAGGAAACTGTAAGAAGTTTGCTAATGAATCTACACTTTCCCGTCGTAATTTTGTCCAAATATCTAATTTGTGTTTTAACTGCTTAGGTGCAAATCATTCTGTTATGTCATGTCGTTTTCCTACTAGATGTAAAATTTGCAAAAAGAAGCATCATACTCTTTTGCATTCCAATGTACCCAACGTGTCAACTGATAACCGAAATGACAGTAAACAATCAGTTGGTAACAAAAATGTTGTAGCTATAGCAACAACTTCGAGATTTGAACCTGAAGAGAATAACATTACCACTTGTTTCTCTAACAACAAGAGTCAAGTGTTACTTGCAACTGCTTTAGTGAATGCTGAAAATGAACGAGATGGATCTTATATGACACTTAGGTCTTTGTTAGACCAGGGATCACAGGCTTCTTTTATCACGGAGTCTGCAGTTCAACAACTTGGGCTGAAGAAAATACCGAACATAAGTGTCATATCAGGGGTGGGGAGTGATAACAACATGTCACTCAACTCCAAACATGTAGTTTACATCAAACTACATTCACTACAAAATCCGACTTTCATTATCAAAATTAAAGCTCATGTTCTCAACAAGTTAACTTCATTCCTCCCTGCTAGAAAATTCAACATTCAACTATGGCCAAATTTACCAAAAATGCAGTTAGCAGATCCAAAGTTCAACTTACCTGATAAAATAGATTTATTATTAGGTGCAGAGGTGTATTGTCAGATATTAACAGACGGTTTAATAAGGGGCCCACAAGGAACACCAATAGCACAGAATACGAAATTAGGTTGGATTATATCTGGCAAACTTATAGAAGAAACCAATCTCACCTCAAACTTTAACTCTGTAGTAACTTTACATACTCAAGTAAACAATGAAGAATTTGATTTGAAGAAATTTTGGGAACTTGAGTCTGAAACTATTTTATTTGGAACTAAACGTCACTTCACTCCTGAAGAGCAACTTTGTGAAGATTTTTTCAATCAAACTACCACACGCGATTCTTTAGGTCGATATATAGTTAAACTGCCATTCAAAAACACTGAACCTAAGTGCAGACTTGGAAACTCCCGTGAAATAGCAATTAGAAGATTCCTCATGCTAGAAAAACGTTTACTCAAAACACCGGAACTAAGAGTACAATATGCAGATGTTATATCAGAATATCTGAAGCTCGGACACATGAAGATAGTACCAATGTCTGAAATTAACAAATTTGGCAGTGTTTACTTGCCTCATCATGCGGTAGTGAAGGCTGAGAGAACAACAACAAAGGTAAGGGTTGTTTTTGATGCGTCTTGTAAGGACAATAATGGTATATCTCTCAACAGCGAATTAATGGTTGGTCCAAGATTACAGTCAGACTTACGTCACGCAGTGATGAAATGGAGGCTTCACCCAATATCCTTAGTCGCTGATATAGTAAAAATGTATCGTCAAATTAAGGTAGCCCATGAAGATGCTGACTATCAACGCATCGTGTGGCGAAACTCACCAAATGAAGAAATCAAACATTTCCGGTTGGTGAGAGTTACCTTTGGTACTGCATCTGCTCCGTATTTGGCAGTGCGATCTTTACAACAGGTAGCTCACGATGAAGGTGAACAATATCCTCTTGCATCTGAACGAGTCTTAAAAGATTTTTATGTCGATGATTTACTTACCGGTTGCCAAACTGTGTCTGAAGGAAAACAAATTTTTGAGCAATTAAATAAACTTTTAAGCATGGGTGGATTCGAACTACAAAAATGGTCAAGTAGCAACGAAGATTTAATAAATGAAATAAGCAATCAAAATACAACAACAAAAAGCAATCTAGAACTAAAAACAGATGAAATTATCAAAATCTTAGGACTTACCTGGAACCGTCGAACTGATGATTTCAAATATTCTGTAACGCTGCCCCCGATAGATGAACCTGTAACAAAACGAAAGATTATTAGTGATATAGCAAAGTTATATGACCCTATGGGATGGATAGCACCAACAATTGTGAAAGCAAAAATATTTATACAGCAATTATGGTTAGCAGGAACTAGCTGGGATGAAGAGATACCGTCAAAGCTTATGAAAAATTGGATTACTTATAGAAATGAACTCGTAGAGCTTACCAAATTTCGACTTCCACGGTGGGTTGGTATTAAGAAAAATGATGTCAATTTAGAACTTCATGGATTCTGTGATGCTTCTACTGATGCTTATTCTGCTGTAGTATATGTTCGTGTTTTAGACGAATCTGGAAATATTCATGTTCATCTTGTAACATGCAAAACAAGAGTTGCTCCAATAAAACAAGTTTCCATACCAAGATTAGAGTTGTGTGGCGCTCTTCTTTTGACAAAACTATTACGTGAAGTCTCAGAGGTGATGGAAATTCCCAAAAAAAATGTATATGCCTGGACTGACTCCACAGTTGTATTGGCTTGGCTCAGCAGTCATCCAAGTCGTTGGAAAACTTTTATCGCAAATCGAGTTTCAGAAATATTATCGAATTTGGACAGAGATCAATGGTCTCATGTCATATCTTTTGAAAACCCAGCGGATTGCGCATCTCGAGGAGTCAGCCCTACACAAATGAATGAACTAACATTATGGAAAACTGGTCCATCGTGGTTAAAAAATGTAACAATAAATTATGATAACATGAAGATCGAAGATACAAATCTAGAAGAAAAAGAAAAAAAGGCTTATCATAACATTATTAATGAAGAACAGTTTGATTTATGGACTAAATTTTCAACAATACGAAAACTAGTTAGGGTATTAACTTACTGTAGAAGATTCATATCTAAAGTCAAAAGAACCACTACAGATTACCCTAATTGGCTGACAGCCGCTGAACAAACTGAAGCTCTACATATGTGTATCAAGACCTGTCAAAAGAAGCACTTTTTTCAAGAAATAAAAGATATCAATGAAAAGGGAAATATTAACAAAAAAAGTAAACTTACCACTTTAAATCCTTTTCTTGATCACGAAAATTTATTAAGGGTAGGTGGTCGACTTGATAGAGCAAACATCCACATTGACGAGAAACATCCAATCATCTTACCTCCGAAATCACATTTCACTAATTTAATCATTTTTCAAGCTCACGAAAAAACGTTACACGGGGGTCCTCAGTTAATGATTAATTATCTAAGATCTAAATATTGGATTTTAAATATTAAGAACAGCGTCAAATTTTTTATTCGTCAATGTGTTGTCTGTGTGCGTCATGCAGCACAAACAAGAGACCAACTCATGGGCCAACTTCCTCCAGCACGAGTAACACCAGTACGTCCATTTTATCAAAGTGGGGTGGATTATGCAGGACCTTTTCAAATAAGAACTGCAAAAGGCAGAGGTCATCGCTCATACAAAGGTTACATTTGCTTATTTGTGTGCATGGCAACAAGAGCTGTACATTTAGAAGCCGTATCGGATTTAACGTCGCAAGGGTTTCTTGCTGCTTTTAAACGTTTTGTCTCTAGGCGCGGTCAGTGTGCAGACCTTTATAGTGATAACGGAACTAACTTTGTCGGGGCTGCACGTGAACTCAAAATCTTATATACTCAAGAAAAATCGACCTTAACAAAGGAGATAGCCGAGAGTTTAGCCAATAACGGCGTTACGTGGCATTTCATTCCGCCACACGCTCCACATTTTGGTGGATTGTGGGAGGCCGGAATAAAATCTACAAAACACCACTTGAAACGTGTGATAGGATCAATGACACTCACATATGAAGAAATGTCAACATTGTTGTGTCAAATAGAAGCATGTTTGAATTCTAGACCGATATCATACATCAGTAACCACGCACAAGATCCGATGCCACTCACACCTGCTCATTTTTTAATAGGCGAATCTATTTTATCAGTTCCAGACAAAAATTTCGAAGCATCATCTATTTCTTCACTTAAACGTTGGCAATTATTACAGAAAACATTACAAAACTTTTGGCGCCGATGGTCAACGGAATATTTAGTTCAATTTATGCATCGCTATAAGTGGGCTAACCAAACACTTGAACCAAATATTGGTGATGTTGTTCTCGTTAAGGAGGACAATCTTCCACCAACGAGATGGATTATGGGTATAATTTCTGACAAACACAAGGGTTTGGACAACATTACGAGGGTAGTAAGTGTAAAATGTAAGGATGCTGTGATAAAACGGCCTATATCAAAATTATGTATATTACCCGTATGTAAATAATTTAAGAATTATTGGTTTTGTTTATTTTTTTTTTGTCACAAAGGTGAAACGTGAACGAACACGAACGTGAAATTTGTTATGTTTATTAACTATTTGTTTTATTTGAACAACTTATTTTGTTGAAATATAATGTTTAATTTATTGTAGTTTATTTTCTTTTCTACTAACATTAAATGTGTTTGTTATTGTATCGATTTTAACCACTTACTTTGTAGTCAACAGTGAACATGTGTAAATAGTGAATTAAGTTATGAATTATTGATTTGCACAATATGTGATTTAACTCAAATAACAGAAACTTTAGTTAATATTATTTATTGCGAATAAAAAGCAACATGTAATCACATCTAATATTATTTTTGTTTCAATCGCAAGTAACTAATTTTGTTTAATTGTAATAATTTATCAATGGTAGCTTATATTCTATTAACATTATTTGTATTACTCGTTATCATTCTTAACCACCATTATAAATAACTATTAACATTAACTTATTACAGTCCACTTGCTTTTGTATTTTGTATTATGGTGGACGGGAATGATGTACATTCTGTCCATGGTGGGCGGTATGTTTAATTTGTGTTTATAAATTATATTAATATTTGCAACAACAGATGTCACTATCAAAAAGCTAGAACTCACTAAGGTTTCGATTTGTCAACTTTAATATATATATAGAACAATCTAAAATAAATCTGCCGAAAGAAACTATACGTCGACAGATCTTTACATCATTTCCGGGAAGTACTGCTTTTTTGTTTTACAGAACTATCAATCACTGACCCCAACCTGTACAACAATAGACAGTACTACGTAGAAGCAATGCCGAGGTAAATGGATAGCGATTCATATCGTCGTCTTTTAACGATGTCATAATACTCTGTGTCATTATCCGCTTTTCGCCTACCCTTACAATAGCATAATAAGTCGTGTAACAAAGTGCCTAAAGTTTGAAGTGGATAAGTCTTTAGTACCTACTAGGCTACAGTCAACAGGACGCAAAATTGTCAAATTTATCTACTTGATTTGGAACGTTAATGCAAATTAGCTACGTTTTGATATATTTTAATTGTTTGTACATAATAACTAACTTACCGTCGATATAGAATGGTAGACTATCAGAATTTTTAATTGCTTAAACATCTTCCTGTCTGCTTTTACTTCGGGTTCCGGTTCCAGTATAAAAGTGAGACCCTCAGCGGCCGCCTCCTCTGCTAGACGAATCGCTTCCAACGCTGCTTCTTCGTCTTTCTTACGCATGTATTCGAGCCACTCGCCTTCTTTCTTAAGTAAAAATCTGATTTGCCTGTGGATTGTATCTTCAGAACCCTAACCAAAGTGTGTCAATAAATTGACTTGTATTAATTCCATGATTAAAACAACGAGAAAACCTTTGATTGATGGAAAAAAGAGGAACGAAGAAAAACTAATATATTATTTGACGATCTCTGTGAATGAGTGACTCGCACGCCGGTTTCAAAGTGTTGCCACTTCTGCATTATCGATTTTTGATTCCTGGTCGGATCAATGCAGACAATGACGTTTTATATATTTTCTAGGTGTTGGGTTAAGCGCCGCGGCCCGCGATCCATCTTGTTAAGCAACTTTCGCAAAGAATATCTCAAATTACTCGTGCTTCGAGAGGTACGTTAAGCCGTTGGTCATTTGCAGTCATCAAAACCCTCCAATCCGCTTTGGGCCAGCGTGAATGGTATTGGCTCGTCCTCCTTAATCATCCATAAAGTAGGCCTGAGCCCCTGCAATGTCCCCACTTAAAAATCCCCGTAAAAGGGCTGATGTGTTAACTTCGTTATTTCAAATTTACATAATAAAAGTACTTTGGCTACTTTATTCGAGATCTACGCAATGTATGTGATGTTTGTATAAATTTATAATCATTTGAGAACTATACAAACCTCAATTATATGAATAAAGTAACTGTCGTAAACTATTAGAAGACCGTTTACATTTATTTCGCAATAACTAGAATTTACATCTCGTATTGTCTGACGAAACCAATATATGAAATCTTCTTTTGATAAACCATGTTCACCAATGTAAATCATGCGTACAGCGAAAGTTTTCTGAAAAAAAATTATACACGGACCTCATCAACGAATCATGTTATTGTTTAGCATCATAAGCATCTGTAGTCTTTACATAGTATAAAATACTACACAACGAAATTAAATGGTACACAGTGATTCAAAAGGAAGGTTTATACCTGTGCCTAATACAGGACCACGCAGGCAAAGCTACTGCCGGAATGGTAGTTACATAAATATAAAGATATATACAAACCAAACCAAGTCTTTGGAAGTTTTCTTCTACTACATTGAGCACGGAGCGAACGTCCAGATCGGGCAAAGCCATCGTTTTGTCGAATACCTTCTGTTTATATATATTATTAAATACATACTATATCACAACATCATAATAATTGTTGTTGTAGTACTTCAAATCATCAGCTAGGCCTTTATTTATCTTGAAGTTAAACTCTCTTTGGTTATGAATGCCAATCGTTGTCATGGAAACATAGGAACACATGGCTGCACATCAAGTTACCACAATATCTTTTCTGTCTTCTTCTTCTTTTTTAATTAATGGCTTATCTGCGCATTTCGCACAACTCTGCCAATGTCAAGTAAATAAATTTAATTTATACATGTAAAATGAAAATGAATGAAAGACAGATTACAAACTCTACATTTTGAGTGTAGCGTCAAGGTTTAAAATAATTTAACATTTTTATATAACCTGGCGTACTCTTCACTGTCCCTATATCAAATAATGAACCCTAGAATCAAGTGTAATGGGCAAAGAGACTTCGTTGAATGTAATGCCACTGAAGTTTAACAAATGTCGAAACAAACAAATAGCTGATGTTGCATGAAATAACAAAAATAACTTTCTTTTGATACCTTACATGGTTATTTCTTAAGATTTGTAGTAGTTAAAATACCTAAATAGGCAATCTTATGAAAAATAAAACTATGTAATAATTATGTGACACCTTATGAGAACCAAATTTTATTTTCATACATCTTATAAATAAATATGGAAAATCTATTTAATAACTCTATGTCATGGAACGGTACCGCCTCATTATACTGAAAGAATTTTAAATTTAAAAAAAACCAGCTAAGTGCGAGTCGGTCTCACGCACTCGAACTCTCGTTCCATAGCGGAAAAAGCAAAAAAGCTTGCGGCCATTTTTTAACTGGTAACCATGGATTATTGTACACGGGAATAATAAAACTTTAATTTTGCATTAGAATTAAAAAAAACAGATGACTGTAAATTATCAACAGTAATATACCTGTTTACACCTGGCAAAAGTTTTTTTTTTAACGTCGAGGAAATGCATTAGGCACTACCCCTGCCGCCCGGCAAGTGACAGGGGGTGTGTGGGACTCTCCTACGTGAGCCCACCCCGTGGCTAGCCGCGCGGTGGGCTCCTGAAGGCCTACCCACAAAAACCCCTACGGTGTACCCTCCCCTGGGGATGAGACCCGGGATGCCGTGACCGAGACGCCGGGATTACACCTGGCAACCCTAGCGTAGCGGCTGACTAAGAGTTGGCAACCATTTCTTTTTCTATTCTCCACATCATTTTCTTTGAAATGACATATTAAAAATCATTTGAAATTAATTTCATCAAAAAAACAAATAGCTGCAGGATCGAGCAGAGGGATCCTGTACTATTACGCTAAAATTGCAATTATAATATTAGTCCAAATTCATGCTATATTGAGAATAAACAGACCTACTACCTTGTAGGAGTAAATATTACTTCTTTTTTTTATGGGATAGGAGGCAGACAAGCAGACGAATCACCTGATGGTAAGTGATTACCGTCGCCCATGGACACCTGCAACACCAGAGGAGCTACAAGCGCGCTGCCGGTCTTGGAGGGAAGGGTTGAGGGGTAGAGGGAAGGGAATAGGGAGGGGTTGGGCCTCCGGTACCCTCACTCACACGACGAAACACAGCGCAAGCCTCGTTAACCTAGTACGTAGAACCTCGTACTAGGTTAACCTTTGCTAAGTCTCTGTTTAATAATATGAATTTTGACTAATACTAAACGCAGTCTCAGCGTAAATTGACTCCAACGCTAAACCTTGATTATTAATAACACTGTATTTATTGTTACAAAGGGTTCTTTGAAAATAAAAGAATATAATATTCAACTACAACATAATTTATTTACAAATAACAGAGCTGGCCTAATCTAATTAATATCTATTACTACGAAACTTGTTAAATCGCCGATTTGGATTCCAACTCTGATACCGTTTAGAATTATATTGGTTTTGCTGTTTCTCTTTATTTTTAGAAAGGCTATAGTTCCTTGCCATATCTTCTAACTCCTGGGGCACTTCCTGGAAGGGAGGATTTGTAAAGATTTTCAATAAATAATGAAACGAGATAAATGTGAATGTCAAGTATTTTATGACCTTCAAAATATACAAGATATTTTTTTTCTAAAACTTATTTTTTTTCTAATGGTTCGAATAAAAGCAGTATTTTTTTTTTTTGTTTCTTTTAAGTATGTAGTAATTTTTATGTCAGTGTTTTATTAACATTTAATTTATAATCACTGAGGAGCTCGATGGCGCAGTGGCAAGCGCTCTAGGTCTGCGACACGATTGTAAAACAACTTTTGGAAGGGCCGATCATATAATACGGTGGGAGACCATAAAATAATTATCTCGAGCTCCTCTGTGCTTCGTATGGCACGTACAGCCGTTACTCCCAGCTGCATCTACAGTCATTAACACCCACCAATCCGTACTGCGCCCGCCCCCTGTACGGACCCTGTGCGAACTATTAGAACTGGTGATGTTAGTTTTACAAATCGGTTATTAACTGCCGCGAATTGTAGGAAAAACCTTTTTACTTCTTAACTCAGATGTTAGTTAAAAAAGGAGGAGAAAGAATCGGTCTTTACACGACATATTAAAATTTGTACACTAATTAAAAATCCTGCGGATGTACAGGAACTTTTGCAAGAATTTAAAGCCTACTCTGTCTATGAACAAAAAAATTCAGAAAATTTTGAATGATTCTTATAATTTAGTTTAAATCTTAGGTTATATCCTAGAAAATTATCTTCATCAGAGACAGTGTCAGGTCCTACCTCCATAGCATCATTAAAAAGGGTTTTATTTGAAATCACAGCTTTGAAAAAAAATGAATTTCGATTTTGGAGAAACAGAATTGGCTTTTGAGTCACTGGCATCAGAATGGCTCATAAAATCATCTGTCCCAACTATATCAGTATATGGTATCGTAACACCCACCAATCCACACTGGGCCCTTATAATGGCCCCATTCTCCCTATGTGATCTTATTCATAGAAAAGGCCTGTGCCCTATTTGGTAGCTAGAAAAGTCCCGCTGTGGAGACGCCCTTAGTATCAAGAAATGCCCTAGAAGCAGGGGCATTAAAAGGATAATGATAATATACTATACAAATTTTGTACTACTTACCTGGTTAGCTTCCCTTAGCACAGCAATCAAGCTTTTTGCCTGTCTTTCATTTTCACTTGTAAGTATTGTATGAGATACACCTTTATTTTCCTGACGACCTGTTCTCCCAATTCGGTGTATATAATCTTCAGATGTATTCGGGAAATCAAAATTGATAACATGTGTTATGCCATCCACATCTGGAATTGATTGAAGATACATTATTAATATCCGGTATTTTATTTATCTCTAGTTATATTAAGCATTTCACAATTGGGTAGTAGCAAAATATAGTCATGAATTACAACAAAAATGTAGAATGAAATAAATGACCAGACAGTGTGACATCATATTACCAGAAACATTCCTGCACATGCTTCTGCCAAAATGATGTAAATGATAATTAAACTATTAATGACTAATTATTTATTTCATTAATCTCACATAATAATAAATTAAAGAATACCATACCTAGACCTCTAGCTGCAACATCAGTGGCAACTAGTATATTGGTTTTGGCAAATTTAAACTTATTGATGACTGTATCTCTCTGCATCTGACTTTTGTCTCCATGAATGCCAACTGCCGGCCAACCGTTTCTTCTTAGCATCATTGTCAAATTGTCAACAAATTTCTTTGTGTTTGTGAACACAAGTATTTTACCAAAACCATCACCAGAAATATCATGCATGATCGATTTAAACCTGTAAATTGATAAAATTAAATACATTTCATGAACTACTGTTGAATCCGTTTGACAGAACTAAGTATGGTTCTCAAATTTTATAAGAATTTTAAGAAAACATGTTAGTGGCTGACATGAAACACAACAGTTTCTTTTGTTTTTGCAAAGTGTAAGTATTAATTAAGCTACATATTATGTGCCATTATATTTTTTATTTGACTGACTATCTCTATTAAATGAAATACATGTTACCAAGAAAAACTGAAAGTAGATACTTTTCTAAAAATACATAGTTGTTTCTCTTTCCCTTCAATGTATTATATAATGAACTCGATAAACTCCATTCTAAATAATAAATTTTAATTGTGTGCTTATTTGTTTTTCTATACAATAAGTTGCACCTGCAAGGGTAGCATGACAAACTCGAGAAATGCTTTGTCTACACTAACTTGTCAGTTTGTCGGGTCAAGAGTGAGATATCAGGCGCACCCGAGAAAAGTGACATTTGAGACTTACTTGTTCAACTTTTCCTCTTGTTCACAAATATGAATATGTTGTTTAATATTATGATTTGCAGACAATTCAGTGGATCCTACATTGACTTGCACATATTCCCCCAAATAATCTTCAGCCAGATATTGAACTTCTTTAGGCCAAGTTGCTGAAAACATCAGTATCTGCCTTTCTAGTGGCACACCTTCCAATGCTTGTCTAATTTGAGGTTCGAAACCCATGTCCAACATGCGATCAGCTTCATCCAATACTACATATGTACATCTACTCAAATTTGTGACTTTACTAACAAGAAAATCATTCAATCTACCAGGTGTAGCGATAACTATATCTACGCCTGACTGCAGCAACTCAGCCTGCTTATTTCTGTTAGCACCACCATAGATGCAAGCGCATCTAATACCTAACAACCTTTCAAAATCTTTAGCAACTTCTTCAATTTGTCTGGCCAATTCTCTTGTTGGAGCTAAAACTAGCACTCGTGGCCCTCGGCCCCTTTTACCATCAGTTTCTTTGACATGCATAACTGCTGGTAGAAGATATGAAAGAGTTTTACCAGTTCCAGTCTGTGCAATACCCACAAAGTTCTGACCACTTAGTGCAATCGGCCAACCTAGAGCTTGTATAACAGTAGGTTTTTCAAAGCCTTGTTCTTTGAGGAAGTTTTTTATGTAATCTGGAAATTGGCTACTACCAATATCAGTATAAGGATCAGGGACATCCTTGCCAATAATTGTTACATTATGTTCATTTCTATAAACATCAATATTTTTTTGATCCAAAGCATTTGAGTATAATCTAATATTATAAAATACATGGCGAGGCCTATTTAAGCTTTTATCGACAAATAAGGTTAATAATGGTTCAATTTTACGAGGATTGTTTGTAGTCACCGAAATTTTTCTTGCATCTTGAAACAACCTAAAATAAGAGTTTGGTTGAAATTAAAATTGAGTGTTCCAAAAGATGCCTTCCGTCTCGAGTATCCTACATACTCAAGACCGATGGGATATTCTTTGGAGAAGGGGTTGAAGGGGAGTTGATAATATACACAGACACTATTAGACATGAGAAAAATATTGGTTAAGTTAGGTTAAAACTGTTTTTATATAAAAAAACTCCACAAGAACTGAGATAATAACATTTATATTTTTTACTTACAGTTTAGTTAACCCCTTTCGGTTCAGGGTATTCCTTATGAAATTAAAAGCCATTTGTTAAATTGTTTGCCGACTACCAAGAAGAAATAATAGTTTAGATTCTTAAAACTGTTTGAAGAGTATCATTAATGTAATTATTAATACTTTTTCATCAGCAAGGTTGGAAAAAACACTTTTATTGTTAACTAATTATTGTATAATCGAACATGTATGCTATGCAAACTTAGAACTCGATTTTTTTTTTACTTTACAGTGCCATCTATGTACCAGCTTTTAAAATAGAAATCATGGTGTAGCCACAATAAATAAATGTGTTTATAATTGGGGATAATTTTTAAAGGCATCATTAATAAATCTTGTTTATTATTACTTGAAACTTAGTTAAAAAGCCTTATGATACCTAATATTATTGAAATAATATATCTTGTTACAGAATAATATAGTAATTATAGAATTGTCACTAGAAATGTTTCTAATTTAAGTGGTAATATTAAATATACTATGGCAATATCAATTGAAAATGGCGCGTATGTAATGGTTTGGTATTGTGGCTAAACTTTAAAACTAACTTCGCAAATGGAAAATGTATTGAGTGAATGTCCGTGTGCTTGTTAGTTTTTGCAAGTTCCTGTAACTTTTTCTGCTTTTCACGTTGAGTTGATTAAGTTCGTCCGTGTAATCGAAATATATTGTGTTAGCAATCGTATTGTGTCTTGAAATATCCCGTACCGAAATGTTACTTGTTTTTAATTTGAACTTTGCTCAAAAAATCATGGCTCAAAACCGTTGTTGTGTACTTTAATGTTCAGTGACTAAGGATAGCGGTAAGTGCTTTTTAGTTTGTACAATAAATACTTTATGAATTGTACTATAATGTCAAAGTTTTCAACCGATTTTTATACCTATACGTGGAGTTTCATAATTCAAATGTTTTTCAGGTATTTTTCTTTGAGCTATCGTAGAATACAATATTCATTAAAAAACTTATTATGTGCCTACAATTTAAGAATTGTTATTTGTTCATCCATTATACAAATAATTAAGGACTAATAATTTGTTGTGTGAATAGCAGAGAATAATACATATTATTATGTTACTCAGGTATCCCTTTGCACCGGTTTCCTGAACCTAGAACTAAAACAGAGAAATTTAAAAAATGGCTAGACAATGTTGGTGGAGAAATAACTCATCTGGATCCAATCAAAATATATAATAACATGCATATTTGTGGAAAACATTTTCTAGATATTTATAAATATCCCAATAATAGACTGCAACATAGCAATGCCTACACTTCATATGTCAGGTAATTTATTATTTATAAATAATACTGCATATTGAATGACTACCTATCTATTTAAAGATGGAAGCAGCAGGCTATGCATTAAAATTCATTCATATGTGATTAACAATGACCAGTGAATAATTTTTCAAACTATAAAAAGTTTAAAGTAAAAATGAAATAGTAGAAAACAAATACGTTTTCTATAAGCTGAGTTCTTATAAAAAACATTATGTATTTGAATGTGGTTTTCATCAATATATAGAGTGGTACAAGAGGAAGGTTTATATGTACAATATAAGACCTTGTGGGCGAAAGCTAGTTTCTTATACCATTGTTCAAATGCTCCTAATTTCCATGTTAATTTTTAATGTTTATTATAAAATAAAATATTATAAAATGTTTTTTTCTTCATGTTCAGCGCAATCAACTGGAGAACCTCACATAGTTGCAAGTGCGGATTTGCCATGTAGCTCACATTTTGTACCTTCTCAACTAAATGCCGGCACATCAGGTTGGTAAACGTTTTTCTGATGAAAATTAAAATAGTTAAATAATCATCTTAAATATAATATTATTTTTTATATAAAGGAAAATTCATGAGTCAACATATAGTTATACAAAATTGAATGTCCCTTTGTTCAAAATTGCAAATCTATGTTGTGTAACATAGGCCAATCTTACATATTTTGAGCCAGAGACTGATAAGCCAATGATATCCATGAAATAACTATATTTGTTATTATTTCCAGGTCAGCATACAAACCTTGGAAAGACACAAACACCTGTTGCCAAACAACAGTTGCCAAGAAAATTAAAAGGTATGTTTTGCAAAAATATATCTCAATTATCCAATTTGAAAATTGCTGCATGAAATTGGAAACAATCTGCAAATCTGAAAAATATTCAGTTATTCTGAATATTTTTGTACAGTGTGTAATGCAAAAAAAGAAACTATTTATTTTTGAGGCTTTAATTTACATTTCATGAAATTTGTTGCAGGTGTTTCTCTAAAAGACCATAAACAATATAAAATAATTGTGAATAAATTGAAAAAATGAGAAGCTCAAAAAAGGAGCTTTAAACAAAAATTGGCTCTTGCTAAATCTTGAATGAAAACCTCTGCTTTCCAAATAATTTCCAAAAATATGTCACCTACTGCAAAATTATTTTGCCGAATGCAAATGTCACATGGAAATAAGAAAAAGCAAGGGCATCGATTTACCATTGATGAAAAGATTTTAGCGCTATCATTATACAAACCTGCACCTAAGGCGTATCGTCTGTTAAGAAAATTTTGTATTTTACCTAGTAGACAAACATTGCAGACTTTGTTGTATAAAGTCCAGTTAAAGGCAGGCATAAATGAAATTTTATTTGACAACCTAAAATCCAGAGTTAGGAGAATGCCAGATAAATTTAAATACTGCACCTTGGTATTTGATGAAATGGCAATAGCACCAAGCATCAGCTTTAATAAAAAAAAAATTATCACATGATTTGTTGATAATGGAGCAATGAAGCAAATAGTACAGTAACCATGTACTTGTTTTCTTAATTAGAGGCATTGTTAAAAAATATAAACAGCCACTGGCCTATTATTTTTGCAGTGGCAGTACAAGAACTTAAAGCTTAAAGCTTTGGAACTTAAAGCTTTAATAAAGAATATGATTATTAAAATTGCAGAAACTGGTCTTATGGTGGTAGCAGCAGTATGTGACCAAACTACATCAAATATTGCTGCTATAAACTTGTTGTTAAAAGAGACTAACGAAATGTATTTGAGAAGAGGACAGCACTATACAGAAGGATTTTTCGAAGTTGGAGACAAAAAGTATTTTCACTCTATGACCCACTTCATTTAATAAAAGGGATCAGGTATAATTTGTTAACAAAAAATTTAAAATATAACATGAATGGAAAGGAATGTACTGCTAAGTGGAATCACATTCTACAATTATATGAAAGATGCCCAGGCTACAAAGGAGTGAAGATGGCACCTAAGTTGACAGCTCATCATGTAGTGCCATCATTATTACTAAAAATGAGAGTGAAACACTGCACTTAGGTGTTAAGTAAAACTGTTGGAGCTGCTATTGGAGTAATGACAGGTGATATTTTTTAATATTATTATGAGAATAGCTTGGTGGCGTAATAGGTAAGCGCCGCGGCCCGCGATTAAGCAACTTTCGCAAGGGTAGGTTATGGGATGGGTGACCAAATAATTATTATCTCGAGCTACTCCATGCTTCGGAAGGCACGTTAAGCCGTTGGTCCCGGCTGCATTTACAGTCGTCTATTCACTCCAATCCGCATTGGGTCAGCGTGGAGGGTCATGGCCCATCCTCCTTAACCATCCACAAGGAAAGCCTGAGCCCCTGCAGTGGGGACGTAAAAGGGCTGATGATGATGATTATTATTATTATGAAATTTTAGAGTCCATATGTTTTATTATATATTTGAGAGCAGATTTATTATAGAAATTTTTTCTGGTATACATAGTACATACATACTATAAACTAAAAACTTATATTTTCCATTACAAACCTAAACAAACATTATATTTTCATTGCAGAGTTTGGAGTTCTTGAAAAAGAATGCACTGAAACTGCAGACCTGTTGATGTTTTTTGATGACTTATTCGACAGTGTCAATGGCAGCTTTAGCAAACCAAAAGGGAGGAAAACGTATAGGACAGCAGTGACACCAACATCGCCTCATCATAAATTATGGAACAAAAGCCTTCCAGTTTTAAGGAGCATGAGGTTTCATAATGGAATTAATCATGGGATAGTTCCATCGTTGTCCAGCTGGATAAAAACAGTAGAAAACTTCAAAAGAATTTTAATTTATTTGAATTCAAAAGGCATAAATTTATTATTGCTATGAAATTTCAACCAAGACGCATTTGGAGAAATTTTTTGGGGCAATAAGGGCTCATGCCTGCAGCAATACGATGCCTACATCACAATCTTTTGAGGGGGCCTTTAAAACATTGCTTATTGACAATATTTCTTCTTCACATTCAGTGGGATCAAATTGCGAAATGGATGATAGCGTTTGTCTGCAAACACTAAAAGAACTATTGACTAAAGACGTAGATGATATACCCACTGAATGTGAAGTTGAAATTGAAAATGCTCATTTATGCATTGATTTAATCAATACAGAAAGTTTAATAAGTAGAAAAATCCGCAGCAATTGGATACTGTAGTGGCTGGATAGCACAATTAGCAAAGAAAAATTTTTATATAAGCTGTTTATTATGTAAAAACAACATAGAAGCTAAAGAAAAGCAGATATTTCATACTTATATAATTTTAAAAGAGTTTGAAAACAAAAGCTGGTTGTGCTATCCTACCCGAAACCTATTTGACTATGTTGCCAATGCTGAAAACAATAGAAGTTTTAAAAGAAAATTACAATAAAAAAAAATATTTTGACATATATAAAGTTAATCATAAAGATTAATTTAGATTTAAATTTTTTACAATGCACAGAACACCAAATTCAACTAAAAGAATTCATAACAGAGAAATGTGCAGTATTTTTTATTAATAATTGGTGCAAAAATATCAATCATTTAATCAATGGCAAAATTTCATTTTGGGATAGAAATGATGAAATGAAGGTAAAGGCTCATAACCATTTTTCAAAAAATAAAGATAGGAAGAGAAAAACTGTGTGTGGATCACTGATGAATGTCTGAAATAAGATGGTTAATAAAGCTACAAAAATAACAAGTCTTTCATTGAAATAAACTAATTGATTTATTTTACTTGCTCTAAACATTTATAATAGTTAGCATTGAACATAAACCATATAAATATGACTCCTGATATACTTGTTTAATCATAGCAAATAAAACGAAAAATAATCTGCGGTCTTACATTATGTTTTATATTTAAGGTTTAATTAGCAGTGTTTTTTTTTTCGATAAGTTATAAAGGTACATTTGCTTTTTTTATATATGTATTGATTCTCAAAATGAATAATAACTATTAAACATTTTTAGAATCAATCTATATAAAAGAAAAAATATACCTATTTATCTTATCAAAAAAAAACACTGATCAAATAAACCTGGCTGTAGCTAGCTACACACATATACACGCACACATACGCGTGACTTTTTTTAGCTGGCGGATAGATGGCGCTGTAATCGTGACCTATTTAAAGTTTGAGTTTGCTATCTATTACCAGTATAATATTGCGAATGTCAAAATAAACTGGATTGTGCAGTGTTTCATTAAAAACGGGCAGAGTGAGAGAGTAAATTAGTAACTCTTCATCTCTGTCTTAGTAGTTTTGTAGGATGTCCACGCGTTTTTAATAATTTCATAAATAGGTAATATTTAATAATTTATTTATTTATTTCATATGGACAACCAGCAGCATACATATTTCAACTTACTTCAGTAAATTACAGTTAGGTTTAAATCTAATATATATACCAATTATAGGTTGACACAGCATTGTTAACATATAAGTGTAATTTTAGACGACACCTACAATTCACTCAACCACTGATAAAAACACCAATAAGAAGGCTAAGGCACTCTCCAGTTGTCAGTGAAAAGTCAGATCAAAATACCCGTAACACAGATCACAGGCTTTCAGAGAGCACGTCAAACCCAGTCCCTTACCCAATCCAATCTAGTCAATAGAACTAAAGAATTCCTGAATCTGAGCTTTAAAACTTAACTGCGAGTTGAAAAATATATCTAGATTAGGCAAATAAGAACCGACATCATTATATGCAGAGAAATGCGAGGCAACGGTGAATGCCTAAAAACATTTGTCACATGATAATGTTACATGACCTAAATTAAACATTTACAGATAGAATTTTATAAATTTTTACAGATATTATGAATGATGATGTTAGAAATGTAACCGATAAATAGTTTTTATTTATCGCTTTACCGATATTTATTTTGTAGGAAATAAAACAAGTACATAAATGTTATTATAATCATCTTTAATGTATAAATCAATTAAAAGGATAGAAACGTTTTTTTTTTATTAATTGTATTAGAATACAACGCATCATTTTATAACTTTGGCTGGTATTATTGTCCTCCATTTTTCAGCTAGACTTTTATCCTTTGGGATCCTAGAAACACAAGAGCAATTTTGTCATGGTCAGCATAAGAAAATTATTACTTTATAAATATTTATACAAACTAATGCGTAGGCCATTCAGATATTTTCCAAAACATAAATAAGCTAGTTCTCGTTTTTCATTTTCCAAATAACTTTGTACCTACCGTGAAAATATTCAAGCTTCTTGAATTTATGATATTAATTTCGCAATGCATGACTTATTAATAAACATTTTTACTGTAATGTTAAGCAAGTAAATTTTACAGAGATTAAAACGAAGAATGACGGATAGCGTAAGTAAAACTTATAAATGTTTACAATATAAACATATGGATATTAATTTAAATCAAAGTTTTGTTTCTTGATCGTAGACACCCTATTTCATCACTGTTTAATAAATAAGGAAAACAGCTTACCTGTGGAATGTGAAGTCACATCCGTGATACCATTCATTTTCGCAATCAGCCAAGCAAAACAATATACCATTTTGATGTAAATAATCGAATTAGTAAGTCAAAACACAAATAAACATCCATTGTTTATGTTGTCACATCGAGCGGCCATATTAATTTATAATATTGCCACATAAATGTAACGAAAAACTACTAACACGACATCGGTTAACATTATTATTTTAATTAATTCACATTTTTACTTAAAAAACATATCAACTATGTCTATTCAATATATTTACTATTAGATAATAATTAAAATTACCTAGTGATGTCTTTAAAAAAACCATAAAATCTCCTAATTGCCAATAATGATTATTTAATTTTCCAATGGCAACTTGTTAGACAAGGACCTACTACTACAAATCTAATATCTTTAGTAGACCGTTTTTCTACTCTGAAATGTGACATAGAAAAATAAGCCTTATTTTATAATTGATAAAGTGTAAGTTTGATTTTAAGAAATATGTCAGTACGCAATCCAGTTTAACTTGTACTACCATGAACCTAGTACTTATAACTGGACAGATTACTGCATTATTACTACTCTTTGGATTACTGCCAACTGAAAAGCGACCCGAGCGAGATATCAAGTACAAAGGCTATTTATCTCTTTCTAGAAGGGCGACAGTAACATTTTAATTAAGTGAGATATATACGCGCGATATCGCAGGAATTGCCCAACCTTGTAAATGTATGGTGAATCGCAAGTGTTTCTTTACTCATAAGATTGCACAATCTGTCAATATCAGTCACAAATCTCCTCTACATCGAAATGCACTTATCGATTGATATCGCTTCGATTGTATGAGAGCTTGACCGGCTTGATCTACTTTTGCGCAATCTTATATGCACGGGTATACTAATATTACCAAATCATCAAAAGCAGTATTCCTCCTATATAAATAAATGAATAGCTCAATGGTGTAGTGGTTAGCGCCCAGATAGCATACTGACTTGGGGAAAGTTTGATTTTTCTTGGATCTAAATTGCTGCGTCAAATATACGAGGCAAGTTTGTGACAATGTCACTGCAATATTGTTATGTTAAATATGAAGTTTCAAGTTTGCGATAATGTTGTTTGAATATTGTTATAACAAAGATACTTATTTGTAACATACCCATCATCTTCATAGGTACCTGAATAGTTCTAAGTCTGCAAACTAGATTGCGGTGTTCATTTAATGCATCGCGGTATCAGTTTATATTGTTAGATTGTATAAGTAATATGTCGTTTAATGTTATCTTAATATGGGATTTGAAACCAACCGTTTCAGTTAATTACTTTGGCTCTTAGGCTAGGCTTTTTGCTGTGGTCCTGAATTTAAAGATTAACAAAGACTTAGTAAACTTAAAGTAATATTTGCCTCGAAATCGAAACCTGTATTCCAGGTACTCGAGTACCTGCTAGGTATTCGAGTCAGTATCTAGGAAAATTATTATTACTTCTACCGTAGTATCACGGTAGTAGTAGAAAATTATTATTACTACTACGGTAGTAGTAATAATAATTTTTCTAGGTACACTTTCACTACCTTTGATACGTCAGAGGTAGTGCAAGTTTCTCACACTGAAACTAGAAGGTTTGATTTAAACTTGCTGCAAGTTGCTGAAGTTGTCATGGCAAATTTGAAGCGTCTTCTTTTTTGATGTATCAAACTTGTTTTTTTTTTTTAACTGCTCGGCCTTACAATATGTGGCCGAGCGCCTACGTTTCCCCCACTTTGTAGTAGGCCCTTATCCTTCTATATAACTCATTCATACTAGTTCTCGCATTTGTTTCTATCACTTTCATACTGCATATTTCACAACTTTTCTTCTTCTTTCATACAATAACGGGGGGATCTCCCGCCTATTCTACTATATAGTCTATCTACTTTTTATTTATTTCTTTATTTATCTTATTTCTATAGCGTAGGGATGAGGATGAGGATTTTTTAGGTTTGCATTTTTATTTCTATTGGTACATTATTCTATTTCTATTTTCTTTTATACATTTCTTTTCTATTTGTTTATACTTATTTCTAATACTTTTCTGTGTCTACCTTTTATTTTACATTCTTTCTTTTTACTTACATACTATTACATTTGGGTTTATGCCTTCTACATTTCTATTTTAGTGCTATTTATACATTTCTATTCTTATTGTCTAATATTTTTAAGAAACATTTTGTTTTTAATTTACTTATATACTATTACATTTTTTATTCTAAATTATACATATTTTCTATATTTATATTTATTACATTTTTATGGTTTACATTTCTATTTTCCTAGTTATTACCAGTGGTCGGAATTAGGTAGAGTTATTCACTGATTTCATACAGCGAAAGAATAAAGTGGATACGTCTCAAATCCTGAGATAAATTTTAAAAAGCAGAAAAAATCCCGTGATTTTTTAATAAATATTATAGAAAAGGGGAATTTTATTGTAATATGATTAGTATTTAAGAAGCTAAAAGGCAAAACTATAAATTACCTGTATTAATTAAAACAAAATTTAGTACGTAATACTTGTTTTATTATACTCAAAAAAGAAATTAAGGACTTATAGAAAAATCGAAATCGGAATCAGGCGTTGTGATTGAACTTAATTCAGTTACAATTGAAGATTGGGAATCATCTTGCTGCATCAATTCTTGAGGCTTAACTTGATTTTCATAGGGTATCCTGGATGTGGATGGAATGTGTTGGGTTGGCTGATATTCATAGGGCATCCTGGATGTCGATGGAATGGGTTGTGTTGGTTGATATTCATTTATCCTGTAGTCGGGTGTAGCCGTAGTGTAGCCTCGATTAATATTGTAATTATAAGTTTGCCGCTGCATGGACACTTCATTTCTTCATTTTCGAGTTAAATTTCTCATAACTTTAATGACTTCATATTGAAATTCTACATAATCGTCGTCACTATACTTGTCTACAATCGGAGCAATACCTTTGAAAAAACACATACTCTTACTCTTGTCTTCATCTTCAACAGATTTAATTAAAGTAAGTATTTGTCGATCAACTTCGCTACCATCTGTCTTTCTCTTCTTGCCTGTTTTTGTTCTATCGGTAGTATTGGCTGGTGCGCTAGGTTCATTATTGGTTTGTGAGTCAGTTTCTTTGTTGTGAAATTGTGTGATGTTTTTTTCTGATGTAATACTTGCTTCCGTTGTTCGGCGAGTCACAATTTTACACAAAAAGAGCATTTGATCGTAGAATTTATATTTTCTTAGATTTTTTGCACCAGAGCCGGATTTACATTCCTTAACTTTTTTGTGATATTTAATCCAGTTACCTCTTGCATTGTTCAATTTTTTTATATCTTTGCCTAAAAAATAATTTACAGATATTTAGCTGCAAGGAACACATTTAGTGATCTACATTACAGTTTCAGAATGGGTATAAAAACTATATATATGGGTATAAGAAGTATGTGAAGCATTGTGGGAAACCCTTTCTCCAATTTATATGAAACTACCATCGGAAAACTTATGGTTAACAATAGCAAAAAAATTCGAGACGAATGCAAAATTTCCTCATTGCTTAGGAGCCATTGACGGTAAACATATTCGAATCATCAAGCCAGAAGAAAGTGGATCAATGTTTTTCAACTACAAGCACTATTTCTCAATAGTATTAATGGCTGTGGTAGACACAAATTATAATTTTGTTTTTATTGATGTTGGAGCCTACGGCAAAGAATGCGATTCAGCGGTATTTAAAGAAACATAATTTTGGAAAAGAATAGTAGACGATAAATTAAATATTCCTCGACCTAAGCAATTGCCAGGTGCAGAAAGTGAGTTACCATATGTATTTGTTGCTGATGAAGCTTTCGCTTTACATCAACACTTACTTGGTCCTTATGGTGGGCATCAACTTGACTCAATAAAAAAAAAAATATCGTCTCACGAGAGCGTGACGCTACGTCGAATGCGCATTTGGTATTTTATCCAATAAATGGAGGATTTTGCATAGACCATTGAATGTTTCAACAGATTCTGCTGTTAACATTGTAAAAACATGCTGCTTACAACAAAACATAATTCATAAAGTAGAGGGTATTGCTAATAATGCTACTGACAATGGTAGTTCAAACATGATGTCTACTCTATGCCATTTGCCTCGTTCCCCTTCAACACGAGGTAATGTAACAGCAAATATGATTCGTAACAAATATGGAGTATGTCATGTCACCAGTAGGGCGTGTACCCTGGCAAAATCAATATGTATGCATAAAAATAATGAAAATAAAACGTTTCTTACCAAAATCATTTATTTCTTTCTCGGACAAAGTTTCAAAACCTTCATTTAACGCAGGACAAATTTCCCTCCAAGCGTCAAAACTCGACTGTCTATTTTTATAGCACTCTTGGGTTTTGTCCCACAGTACAGGCCTATTTTCAACCAAACTTATTAATAATTCCATGTCAATATCACCCATTTAAAAAAAAACGCAGGTAGACGGCACACAATTTACAGAAAACAGGCAATACGTCCAGCAACGTCAACACGCACCAATACACTAGCGTTACACTGAATTTCCAGGTCCGGCGGTCCGATTTTTTCCGGTCCGGAATGACATGAAAAACTCGGATGAGTAGCTTGTGCACTTGTCCGTTTTTATCCTGATCGGAGCGGCGCAGTGTAGGGCAGCTCCCTTTGAAGCTACACGTCACTTACGCTAGGTACGATGAGATTTTTGGAACGTCGGTAATTCCGTTCGAAGACGTAGAAAGGTACCTAAATAATGGTCTGATCGTTTTACATAAACCATAATAAATTATGGCAAGACGAAAGCATTTTTTTTTTACTATCGGATGACTACTATCAGATGTAAAAACTTATACCATTACTAATTTAGGAACAGCATTATTCACATACAATAGCTAAAAATATCTGTGACATTAGAATAAAATTACTGATAATGGTCTAGTACTTGATGTTTAAATTTTTAAACGTGCTATTTTTTTTTCGAAGTTTTGTACAAACAACTTTCAGCGATTACAGAGATAGACCAATCGGTGGCGCCATTTCGTAAACAAATCGAAATTAGTGCCGTGTTAGCGGAGAATTATTATGCTAAATTAACTTTACGAGATCAGTTGACTGTATTATATATAGGCATAATTTTATATGCGTGGTGTAGTTTCTTTGAGCAGAAATATTATTCCCTTAGAATACTTCCTTTTTTTTAAATTTATTAATGACACAAACATACATTTAAAATTTTATTAAATACGAAAAAGACATTGAGTGTCACTTAATTACTTTTGTTAGTCTTCTGTTTATTCTTTATTATTACTTCTGTTGTCAAATATTTATCTATACTTATCAATTGTCTAAAAAAATTTGATAATGACAAATTTCCAGGCAAACTTTCATCCCTTATTTTTCACGATAAAATGTAGCCTATGTCTTAAAGTTAAGTCTATTTACTATATTAATTTCCATTTAGATGGGTTCAGTTGTTTAGGCGTCTAAGCGTAACAACACTTATTTGTCTTACCTTAAGCTATCGATACTTTTAATACGATTCTAAAATCTAGCTAAGTATCGATACTAGAACCATACGCTGATCAAAATAGAACTATACCGAGTTTGCCAAAGCATATGCAGTGATATATACCAACTATATTAAATCATCATATAAATATAACATTTTATAATCAACAATAAATATCGATTATAAATTTATTGGAAATTAACAATATTGCCGAAATAAATATCGATTCAAATCGATTATTTTTTCCCAAGCCTATTCCATATGAATTTTCCGGATCGCGGACACAGCAGGGCACAAGCGTAAGTAAACACGTTTTTCATTGCCGCCATCTCGGACCTGAAAAAACCGGTCCGGAATAGAGAAAAGTAAAATTCCGGACGGTAAAATTCCTGACAGTGCACAAGCGCGCATTACCTACATATGGCCTGACATATCGGACCTGAAAAAATCGGACCGCCGGACATGAAAATTCTCATGGAGAAACCAAGAAAGTACCGTAGCGACATTTAGTTTGATTTCGGGAACTAATGTTTTTTTTAAATACTCCATTATTTTTTTCGAGTCTGAAGTCTCGTTCTTTGACCACGCGATGAGGAGACAAAAAGTTCGTCGAAATTAAAAAAAGGTCTTGTGTATGTACATTTTTATTATTTAATCCAGAAGATCGTAGAACAGTGGAATGGCATTAATACTAAAGAGAATTATTGACGAGACCAAATATATTAAACACGCCGTTTAAAAAAATAGCTTCACAGCTACCCCTAAGATGTTTCACATTCAAATTAGCTAATCCTCACTTGAATCACAGATAAAAAATTATCACAGTGCAATAAACTTAAGAAATAAATTAATGGATGATAAGGTGATAGGTTCCTTAGAAATAAATTATACTAACAACAATTGCAAAATCAGACAATCAAAACACCAATTTTATTACACTTTCACACAGTATTCCTATGAGGATTTGCCGTTAACATTAACTATACTTCTTAGGTCTTCAGTTAATAGTCAAATCGTTTATGGCCATCGCCTCCTCCGCCATGTGATTTTCCTCTCCCAAAATTACTGCCACGCTTGAAAGAGCCACCGCGGCCACCACCACCACGACCTCCGCCAAAGCGATTCCTGTTCCAGCCACCACCGCCGCCACCGCTGCGGTCTGCCATTGTTTGCAATTGGGGATTTACAACCTGCATGGAAATAACACATTAATAAAAAAGTTGCAAATCAGACACGCAAGAGGGTGGGTTAGATACAAATATAAAAAATTATAGACCAGATACTTATGACCGTTTCACTAAACTTAGGAAGTCATCCAAATCTGTCGCCTAAGTATTTAGGTATCGCCACAGGTCAAAAAATGCATTTTACCATTGACTAATAACCACCTAACATAATTAAGCAAAATTCAAGATAAAACGGCGTCTCGCATTAGGCATTTGCTTATGAAAAGGTCATAAATGTCAAGAGATAAAAGAAAAAGTATTTGGAATAAAACTAATCTGCTTGGACGATTCGTTATATTAGGAGTTTCCTAGTTAAACTATGCTTTGTTCTAGGTTAGTGAAAAGATAAATAATAAGTAAAGAGGTGGACGAAACAAATTTGCTTAACTAACAAGGTAGCGTTTTAGAAAAGGGAATACTTAATTTGGCCAGTGTTTAATTTTTTTGCTATTTTATTTTGATTACTTTTCTGAGCACATAGGAGTAAGTCGTAAATTAATTAATTAATCTAATTGCGTTGCGATTTATTTTGTGCTTTTTGGAAAATTATAGCTTTGAACCGCTCTTTCTGCTTTGTGGTGGTGATATATTTAATACAAATGCATTTTCGTTGTCATTAGAAGAAAAACTTGAAATAGTTGCAAAGGGAATATGTTTGCCCGGGTTAGATTTAACTTAAAAAGGATATATTACTCATTCTTTAATTAAAAGTATTATGATAATTATAATTGGATAGTGTTCAAAATGTACATACAAATAATTGAACCATATTTCCTGAAGTTTATAGATTAGCAAATCTAATATTTACGACACAAATGAGAAGCGAACTTTTAAAATAACCTTGTCATCTTTACGACCATGTTTATCTTAATCATGATCATAATCCTAGACTCATCAGAAGGTACTGAAACTATGCTGAAAATTGGTAATTTAAAGAAAAAAATCTCAGAAAATAAACTCCACACCTTGACACTGGAAAATTAAACATCTTTAGCATCTGTGTATACGAAAAAAATACCAACACAATCTGCATAGTCGCCGATACTAAACTTGTTACAACATCTGAGGATGGGATCCAGACAAATATTGTGTGGACACCGAAGGCATGTAGCTGTAATCAATCTACCTCATACTTGCATTCATGTCACGCTATAGAAAAACGTACCCATGCCAAAGGTATGAGGAACAAATAGGAATTACATATATTTGTATTAATACTAACCTGGTTAGCTTCCTGGAGTACAGATACAAGATCTTTCGCTTGTCGTGAATTAGATGGTGTGAAAAATGCATATGAAGTTCCTTTCGTTTTTGAACGACCAGTCCTGCCAATCCGATGGATGTAATCCTCAGAGGAGTTAGGATAATCAAAATTAATGACGAATTTGATACCATCCACATCTGTAAAATTTAAAACTTTAAGAATGAAGAACAAATTCACACTTTTAACATAGATTCAAAGCCTAAAACAGATTAATGCATTTGCTTTAATTTAAAAATCTGTTACAAACTTGGAATATAGTCTGTTCGAATTTATAGGGTAACTCATAGCAGTATTACTTACATGAATGAGTTACACAGAGATATCTAATAAGTCAATATTGCCTCTCACTGAAGAACCCTGGAGTCAAAGGCTAAGTAACAATCTTAGTTTTTAGTATCATATCTTTACTATCTTAGTATTCTTGCATAGCCCCTTTATAAACTCCATTGTGGCCGAAACAGAAAACCCTTGACCTCTTGCCGAAGTTTTCAACCTGTGGTCAAGTTTTTCAACGATGCACTTCCAGTTACTTCATCTTACGATATTGATTGTATTGAACATTAAAATTAGCAGTGCATCACCAGGTTTTCAACAACTCTCAAGTGTATCCGTATTAACGGACAAACCATCAAGCTTTCCGGCCTCGGGTCCAATCATAGTGAAAGGCACTTACGAGGCACCTTTATTATGACGAGTTATTGCATTCTCTAGAACTGCATCAGACTAGTTCTCTACAAATCCAGTGCAGTAATCTCATGAATTTGTCATTTTTGGACAGTATTCAAATAGAACACAATAACTTTCCGCCAGTGCCTCTGAAACTATAAAACATAATACAGATTAATATTAAAATAATAGTGGTTAAAGTACAAAATTACCAATTTGTACTGAAAATCAAAATTTAAAAAAGGTAGATATGAAGTAAAAACAAATAAATCACTTACCAAGCCCTCTAGCAGCAACATCAGTTGCTACAAGAATGCTAGCACGACCTTGTTTAAACTGATATAAAGTTTCATCTCTTTCTTGTTGAGTTTTGTCACCATGCATACACACAGCAGGCCATCCATATCGCCTTATATTTCTGGTAATATTTTCTACTTTCCTTTTAGTTTCTACAAAAATAATAGTTTTTGCACCAGGCTCTTGATTTTGACCAATTTCTTGAAGAAGAACATTTAATCTGAAAAGCAAATAATTATTTTAATCATATATTTTTTAGAGAAATTGAAATCTTCTTGACACCATTATCAGATCTTCTTAGAGGATGATATTTAAGTATAATCAAAAAACTAATCATAAAAAATTAATTCATCACTAATATAGTAAGTATGGTCACATTTCAACGATTTTGTTTTTGTTAATATTACTACTTTTAACTTACTTGTTCTCTTTCTCATGTTCTTGGCATACATCTATTATTTGCAAGATGTTATGATTAGCAGACAGTTGCAATGATCCAATGTTAATTTGAACATAATCTCCTAAATAATCTTCTGCCAATTTTCTGACTTCCTTTGGCCATGTGGCAGACCACATCAATGTTTGCCTATCTGGTCTAATTTGATCAATAATTTTTCTAATCTGAGGTTCAAAACCCATATCTAACATACGATCAGCCTCATCCAAAACTAGGTATGTGCAACGTTGAAGATTGGTGGTTCCTCTTTCCAAGAAATCAATTAATCTACCAGGTGTAGCAATCACAATCTCAACACCTCTTTCTAAATCACGAGCTTGTTCTCTTTTTGGGGCTCCACCAAATACACAAGTATTGCGAACATATGATGCATTTCCAAAATCTGTGGCAACTTGCTGAATTTGTTGTGCCAATTCTCGTGTTGGTGCAAGAACCAGTACAATGGGACCATCCCCACGCCTAATAGGTGGTTGATTATTAATATGAACAATGGAAGGCAATATGTAAGCTAATGTCTTCCCAGATCCAGTCTGAGCAATACCTACAAGATTTTTGCCAGACATAGCTATTGGCCAACCTTGAGCTTGAATCGGTGTAGGCTCTTTGTATCCCATACTATCAATGCTTTGTACAACATAGTCAGGGAAATTGCCCTCTTCAAATTTTTGAATAGGGTTGGGTACATCTACTCCACCAATAGTAATCTCATGTTGGTTTCTGTATTCTTCTACTTCATATGGTGATCTCTTCAATACTGAAGGATGTGGATTGTAAAAATCTTTGTTAAACGGTTGTAAAGATAAAGAGTCCCAATTAGGGCGACGCATGTTTTGGCCACCAGAGAATTCTTTCTTGCCACCAAAACCGCCGCCTGATCCTCCAAAGCGATTTCCTCCGCCGCCGCCGCCACCACCACCAAAGCGAGATGATCCATTGTTACCAAATTTGTTACCACCACCTCCAAATTTGGAACCACCGTTTCCACGGCTATTATTCCAACTACCGGACCTGTGAACAAATTTTCAAGTCATATCTAAGCAATATTTCAATAGAACAATCTTAATGCTCACCATTGTGTATTAATAATATAATATAAAGTACCACAACATAGACTAAAAAAAATTATCGATTGACTTATTTCACATTACTTCTAATCAAAGTAAAACAGTAAATCCACATGGCAGAATTGGGATTATAGATCTAATGAAAACGCTCCGATGCCTGGATTCAATCACAATCAGAAATTCGTATTGTAGCTGGCATAGTAAAGCGTAGCTGGCAAAATAAAATTGAGGTTTAACTCAATATGTTGCGATAATAAAGAAAATGAAACCGTAAAATTGACAAGTGATCTGATCTAGAACGTTATTTTAGTAGTTTTGTTTTTAATATTGATTAATTATATATACATTAAATAAAATATATTTATTAAAATAAATATGGAAACGTACATACAATGAACAATGAAAATGTACATTTGACACGTGCGATTTATATCGCCCGAAAGCTACATTTTTAGACTTATCAGTAGTCATTGTAAAAATATTTGTATATTTCACTTTTAAGTTTAGAGATCTTTGCGCATGACAGAATCAATACACTAGAAAATCAATAGCGCTAATATGAGCATAATTATTAAATAATGGAATATATGATTTTTTATTAAAAATTCAATAAAGAAAGGACTTTAGAATACAAAGTAATTGGAGAATTAATTAAATGTAAAATTAATGTAGGTCAGCGTCAGCGCGTCATCGACATCCAATGACACAAAATCTACCACGTACTGTTCAAACTTATTTAATACCATTCAAAGAAAATAAAAAAGTACGGTGAAAACAACTTACATTATTCTGAGCCTTCCTTTACACGAAGATGTTCGTGATATTTGAAGATTATTTGAGCAGGGTGGATCTGAAAATCAAGATGGACGGTGCTACGTGAAAATGAATGGATGCTAAAACTGTTTGATGGTTACACCGCACACACATTTACTACGACAATTTGCAAATGGGGGAACAGACCGTTATTTAAACTTGAAAAAAAAAACAGTTTACACAAAATATCAACGAAATTCAATTTCATCAGCAAAATCTGGCCCGATAAGATGCACGAAAACGCGACTGACCTTCGCCACTGCTCCAACAGAAAGAATGAATTTAAAACTGAAATGAAAGTTGAGAGATTGACTGAGTGATAGATAAATGAATAAAAATTATTCGATACTACTGAGTACTCACATGGTATCGTTCATTTGATTCGATACTATTACAAGTGCTCTGTATTCAGTGTTGCCACCTTGGATTTTTTTAAGGCGCTAGATCGAAATAAAATAGTACCAGATTTCATACATTTTGGTAAAAATAAAACCACCAAATACCGCTAAATTAATACATTACCTCAGAATAAAAGAAACATTGCAGATTAGTGTTATTTGTGTATTAGATATAATTGCGTTAACAAAAAACTAACAATTTCGTATTAAATAGAGCTAAAATAGTTGTATCTAGTGCAAAAAACACTTTTTTTAAGTTTTCGACTGAAATATCTGAATATAATACCTAATTGCTTTCTCGTACTGATGTCGGTTAATTTGTCAATGATAAGACTGTATTTCTTTCCTCCTATATTCTTTATTAGTTCTTTACCGAAATGTGGCGCCGAAACATTCTTAATAACTTTAGTACACTTGGTCCGATGCATTTTTAGGTCGCCCGTTGCTTTGGAATCAGAGAAAGTCAAATTTACTAAATCTATTAGGTGAAAAAGGAAACTGAAAACTGAACTGTGTTCTGTAGTGTATAGAGCGAGCATTCCTTCAGCTTGGCGAGATTTTGGGTTCGTAAACTTTTTACCAGGCGCGAATTGAATCGTTTTATTGGCGGATATAATTTTCATTTTGTGTTTTTTTTTTCTTTCAGCATCCTTAAGTCTACTAATTTTCTAATAATTCTGCTTTACAAAATGAGCAAAACGCTTTCGTATTATCACTAGGTAAAGTCTTGAATTCATCTGATGATTCCCACTCTTTTCTATACTTTTGTGTATATTTTTTTTTCTTTAATGGAACTTCCTTTATTGGATTGGAGCTGTAAATACATCTTCACATTCTATTACACAATAGGATTTGTATAACTTTAAGACTTTTTAACAACACGAACGATATTCCGGACATAGACTGACACATACAATACAACTCTAAAAAAAAACTTTTCTAATGAATGCGCCTACGGATTCCCCGGTCATAGACTAAACATAGAGCATTAGGAAATTCTGAAACAGTAGGGAATTTCCCTCTAGAAAATTTGTTGTCAGATTTCATAATGAAAAACCGTTAAAAACCACTAAAAAAATGAAAAACGCTAAATGATGAAACAATGCCACCGAAAACCTTAAAAACGCACCAGATCTGGTGGGGAAAACCACCAAGGTGGCAACTGTCTGTATTGCTTTGCTACATGACCTCTAGGGATATAAAAATACATTGTAGAATATGGTGGACATGGTATCTAAGTAAACAACAGCTATGCAATATTTTTTGATGAAAAATAAATTAACTTGCTATTTATACCTATGTTGTTTTAAACTTACATAATAATAATAATAGTTTTTGAGCCTATTTATTACTAACAAACAAAGTTTTCCTCTTTATAATATTAGTGTAGACATGGGCGTAGTTAAGGGGCGGGCACCTGGAGGAAAGCTATGGGGTCGCCCAAGATTGTCCATCGGGTGAATTTTTACATATGTAGCATTCTTAAATCTAAAATTAAAACAAAAGAACTGACACACGATATCTGAATTGAGAATTTAAAGTTAAGAACGCCTCAAACTGTACTTAGTCGTCACTTAATCAGTTTTTCGTTTTCTCAAAACATAATCAATATTTAATTTTAAGTATTTGTATGACTAGCGTGCTAAGCGCTTGCTTATAAGGACGTACCGTTATACAACTAAGAAAACTCGTTTGACTGTTCTCAAACCGTTCTTAAATCAGCTGAAAATTAAGCGTGCATATTCGGTTACATAAATTATTCCCAACATTCTTATCAAAATTTTTGCGTGAAAAAAACTTTATTTCAAAAGAAACCACTAAAAATGCACCTCATTAGATAGCGACATTACCAAAAGTTGATTTTTGCAGGTAACAAATGGACCAAAGATAGTCATTTCCCTTCCTTTTAACTGAAATATTTAAAAAACGAAATTCGTAAAGTTCGAAACTTAGATATCAATACAAATACGAAAAAGTACAAATACAGTATGAGTTGTTTATTGAGTTTTAAAAATTAATTTACTTTTATACATGAAAGTACATACCGCAGTACATCTAGTTTGTTTTCGGGAACTAAAGGCAGATTTACACGGGGCAGTAGCTGTCGTCAGTGCTGGCGCCGAAAATTAACTCATACTATTTACACGCACTGAGTAATTGGCAACGTCGTGCGTGCAGTAGTTTAAATTGTGTAAAAGTAAATAACTTTTTATTTACAAAATCACAGGATTTTTTCTGCTCTTTAAAATTATTCTCGGGATTTGAGGCATATCCACTTTATTCTTTCGCTGTATGAAATGAGTGTAAGTACATGAATAACTCTACCTAATTCCGACCACTAGTGATGATGCAAGAACTAACTGGTATGTTAGAAGTAGAGATATCTAAACAGAAAAGAATTTGGGTAAGAAAATGGATAGATGACAGACATACTAGTGGAGGTTCTGCTCTGTTGTTAAGAAGATCCTCGGGAATAGACGCCGCGTGGTCCCCACACAATAGAGCGGTAGCGACTGACTTCGACATTAACACGACGTCAGTGGCGCTGGCGCGGGTGGCAGGGGGAGTGGACTGACACCAAAAATATGAAGCGGGGATATTGAAGTCAGTGCTGACGCGACCGTAGTGTAGGTACTGATTTGAAATTAATTTACACAATGGCAGTGCCAGGTCAGCACTGATTCGGCAGTTGACTGACGTTAATTACGGTCTCAATGTAAAATGCCTTAATGTTTTTTTAATACTCCCTCATTCATAATGATGTACCATTTCGATTATTATACACATTGATTAATCGATCATATTATTACTTGTAATCAATTAAAAATTTGTATCATGTCAATGATTATTAAATATTTTTACCCAAAAAGTTTATTAATGATTTCACAATGTCAATATATTTAATGAAAATCTGATCTATTTTTGATGATAATAATTGCTCTATGTAATGGCTCTAATCACGTGGTATTTGTGACGACAAATGCCGGTAAATATGTCAAGGGGACAACCTATTTATCAGCTATTTATTTACGAAATAAACAAACGGTATTACAGAAGAGAAATTGAAGTTAATTTAACGTTTTTATTTGTTTTTAATTTTATGTTTCTACTTTGGTTTTATTTATAAAAATGAGCTACAAATTGTATGTATAAATACAAATTTTGCATATCTCTAATAACACTGTTTTGATATAATAGCTTCCGGTTTACATGTGACGTCACATGCTGGTAAACAGAAGTTGTTATTGGTTGCGACGATTATCAATTGTAGGGCGTTTTGTTTGTTCATTATAATTTCTTAAAAAGTTGCATTTTTTTAAAGTTATTTTACGAAAGCTGAACTAAGAATATTCTAAGAAATAAACTTTATTAGATTATTAACTAACAGGATTATCATAATACGAAACTTATTTTTAATAGTGTCAAATACCCTATTAAGCTAGCTGTACCCGCTATTTTATCCGCGTGGAAAGTAGCCTAAGTAATTCCTTATCACATAAGCTATCTGCTAGTGAAAGTTCCGTCAAAATTGGTCTAGCCATTTCAGAGATTAGCCCGGAACAAACAGACAGACATAAAATATTATTTTGTTATAGGTATGTACCGTGTACTGTGTGTATGTGGATTTAGTAAGAAACGGTCAATTTGTATTTGATAAAATAAAGCTGTAAGATCCGTTCATTTATTCATCGGGAGTTCCCCGACCAAAGAGTAAAGTTACCTTTTGTTGATGCCATAATAAGTCATAGAAAATCTACTTATAATATTCACACTCGCGATCCGCTAAGGGTTGCTGAGCCATCGAAGTAAAGAAAGTAGGTACTATTCTAACGTTTTAAACTATTCCTATTGCTAACTTTTTAAGAAATAAACAACAAAAATTTAGTATTTTATTTTATTCTATTTTTTCGGGTGAGAAGTACCTCCCACCACACGTGTGCGCTTACCGAATGGAAAAAATTACGTTTCGCTGGAGCGAAGAAACAACTTTAAAATTCGTTTCCAAATATTTGGAAAATTAATGCTTGTGGAATATTAAGTCCCTGCATTATAAAAACAAACAAATGAAACAAACCGCATACTTGGATTTATAAAATATAATGAATAAACCCGGATTTGGTGAAAAAAAAATCCTCATCCACCTCTTTTAAAATAGCCGTTTTAATTAGATTAATCTTACTTTTTTGCGTTGTAAGCTATTCATCTTGCAAAACACAACTCACTTGTGAACTGAACTCGAAGAAAGTGCGAACGATTTTTGGGCAGTAGTGAATATTTTTGCTAATAAACTACTCGCTACTAGACTAAAACACTAGTTTAATGCGAACTAGGCTTTAAGAAATCATAATCGATTGAAACTGATTATTTAAAAAATCGATTTTTCGATGAATGGTAACCGATTCCACAAACCACAACTCGTTCATCTGTCTCTCCTAGTATCTCATGATCTGTGGATGTATATGTGTATATTGTTCTGTGCTCTTCTTTCACGTGTGTGTGTGTTGTAGATGTATCGCTTGTGGTGATTTTAATTTTAATAATCTATTTACAATACCTATTATTAGTTTGGTGTGTAATAAAATAAAACTAAGACAAGGAAAATGGCCATGCAACCACATAGCAAGAAAAGAGTATGCTATTATTACGACAGTAAGTATTGTAAACTTAGTTACCCGCCACTTACATTTTTCAAGATTCATGAGATACTATAGATTTTACTTTTTTGATGTAACTATAAAGTCGTATACTTACCAATCAATGCTGTAGTTCAATTTATTTAGTATTCTAATGAGATATAAGTTCCATAATTTCGTCTTACCATTTATATCGCGTTGTGTATCAAGACATTTCATGGCGTCTGTAGTGTTTTACGGTCTATGATTGGTGGTCGAGTTTTTGTCCGCGAGTTGATATGTATGCTACAGTCTTTAAAGTGTCAAGCCTGAAAATGACTTGAGTAACAATCTTCTATAAACTTTGATTTGATTAATACATAAGAAAATTGTTTTTAGGTGATATTGGAAATTATTATTATGGCCAAGGTCATCCTATGAAACCACATCGTATACGTATGACGCATAATTTACTATTAAATTATGGTCTTTACAGAAAAATGGAAATATATGTAAGTATAATAATATAATATTTAACAGTAGCAGTAGTTAATCCATTTCTTATTCTTTAATTAATTAATTCTTTCGTAAATTTTTATAAAATGATTGATTGAAATATTGATATTCTGTAAATACTTAAGTTAGTTAATGTCCAACTACACCTATAAACTGTGTCTGAACTATCTAATGAATATAGAATAAGTAAAGTCAATTCATTTTCATAATTGAAGAGGCCTCACAAAGCCACAGCTGATGAAATGACCAAGTTCCACTCGGATGACTACATAAGGTTTCTTCGCTCTATCAGGCCTGATAACATGTCTGAATATAATAAACAAATGCAGAGATGTAAGTATTTTTATTCTTATATGATGTCAGAGTTTTAGTATTTCTGTTATTAAATTATTTTTATTACTACATTAAAATATCACTTATACTGAAGTAAAAGTATTTTAATATAGAGATAATTAATTGCTTTATCTGTGCATTTTGCACAATTCTGCCAATGTCAAGTGAATGAATTAATTTCTACATTTAAAATGAAAAGGAATGAATGAAAGATGGCAATGCATCTTATCTTATCTTAAAACCACTTGATTGATATTTGTGATATTAATATTGTTGAATTTAACTTAACCCTTGGTGCATGATGGCTCCCTCAGACACAGATTATCAATTGGATATTTTTTGTTCTTTCTCTATATATTTTTATTTGTTCAATATCCTAATACTTATATATTACTATAAAATAAGTCTTCACTTGCATCAACATTTTTTTGGGTTGGATTTCATAGCATTTTGTGTATAAAAAAATTGAATGATCCACATAAATGTAGCTTTTGCATGTTTAGATTTTTTTTTGACTGGACAAAAGTGACAATGTGATGTTTTAATCCTGGAGTAGATTATTTCAATGGTGGACCATCTTGTTCACCCATACTGTCGGCTATTCTTTTGCAAGAAATATTTTGTTTCATTCTACATATTTGGCTAGAGGTTTTACTCAGCAGTTCCAGTCAATATATTTTCTCTCTTTGTTTAGATATTAGACCTATATGTTCCATCTTTATGGATCAAGTTATGTTTTGATGATATGTTGAAAGTCTGGAAACATACATCTATTTCAAAATCTGACTTCTATCATTTGAGATGAAAATGCCCACATATCTGCTTCAGAAAAAACTTCTTCTGATCACAGTCCTTCCCACAAGAATTAAATATAATATCATCTCCCTCATTTTCTCTAGCAGTAAATTAGCTGTCTTAGTCTTGCAGTTGCCTTTCCATGTTAAATATAACAAATACCTAAATAAATCACTTTTAGCACACAATTATCAATAATTATTAGAAAGTAAATAAAATAATACTAACATAATAAAGTATTGTGTAAAATCAATATCCCACAAATATCAACAATGAATAGAAAATAAATAAATTAATACTTATGTAATAAAGTTACACCATATGCCTGATGGGGTCTGTTAGACCCGCGCGCACTTAATATCGTCAATTTTACATCGAGAGCTCGCTGAAGCCTCAGGAAGTATGTAGACGAGTTCATAAAAACCAGATACTGTGACTGGTAGGACGCAAAATTCAGATTTATGTGCAAAATTACGATTTACATGCCACTATGGGTCTTACAGACTATCAGGCATGCTGAGGTTTAAGCAAATTACTTTCATATCTAAACATGGAATGTTGTTAACAACAATTATTGAATGACATGCTTCAATTTGTTGTAATTTCTGTGGCCTCTTTTTCTATTCTATATAAGTTCATAAACTTGACCTTTGGGTCATATGGTTAATTTTATGTAGAAAATGATATTTTGTCTTTGGTTTGGCAATTGTGTTACCTTCATTGTTTTGGATTTCTATAATATAAGTGAAAAAAGTTAATTTGTTTGGTATCTGAGCAATGTATGTGATATTGTCGAATATTGCAGTCAATGTTGGTGAGGATTGTCCTGTTTTTGATGGATTATATGAATTCTGCCAACTGTCTGCTGGAGGTTCTGTTGCAGCAGCCGTCAAATTAAATAAACAAGTAAGTGAATATAGTAATGTTAGAACACAATTCTAAATAAAGTTATAATATTGGTTTATATGCTCAATTCATCTTACATTGACATTAGGCAACAAAATTGTCTATTGTTATAATTGAGATTAATTTTTTAAAATCATAAAATCTCAATAAATTTGTGCACAAAATAAAAAACAAAGTGACTATTCTAAATAAAGTTGTAGAGTAAATGCTGTATTTGTCAACTTTTTTTTGTTTGTTGTAATATTTTATATATATTATTTTTGCTTTAGGCTTCAGAAATTTGTATCAACTGGGGTGGTGGTCTACATCATGCTAAGAAATCTGAAGCGTCTGGGTTTTGTTATGTTAATGACATAGTTTTGGGAATCTTGGAATTATTGAAATACCATCAGAGAGTTTTGTATATTGATATTGATGTGCACCATGGCGATGGAGTGGAAGAAGCATTTTATACTACAGACAGAGTTATGACAGTATCATTCCACAAATACGGTGAATACTTCCCTGGCACAGGTAAGTTATACTCATGAAAGCATATATCTATGAACTTGATGATTTGTATGGAATAGTGGTTCATAATTTTTTCATTAATGTTACCACTATTACCTACGAGGACAACTGATTTTATCCTAACTTGAAAAGCTTTGTAATACATTACAAGTAAATATATATAGTTATTATAGTTTTTCATTCCCTAGTTTTTGATCTTAGGTTTAAAGCGCCGATTTCACTACCCAATCTATCGGGCACGATTTATCGGCCTCGACTTGGGGCGGTTGGCGTCGTTGTGATTACACTGTACTAGATCGCCTCCCTAACTCAGTTGGCATGCAAACGTGGCGTTGAAAGGATGGCTCCTTCGCTCACAAAGTACCAAAAAATTGGCATAGCCCATACTTTAACTGCGTGCGTAAATAATAAAACAAATAAAGAAAATGTTAGGTGAAAAAATATTTGCTTCTAAGAGACAAACTATGCAGTTTGAACTACTTCAGAATGAGTTCTGCACAATTTGATTATATATTAAACTTAGTCATACCTTATATATAAAAAAAAACAATATACCTACGCTATTTAAAACTGGTGTAAGCGCTAAACGACGGTTAGCTGTAACCTTCAGATTTTTAGCAACGGTATTTTTATCATGACTTAAAGTATAAATCATTGATATCAGAACCCCTGTTATCATAAATTGTACCAGACACATGTATAAAATCTGATTTAAAATAATATGATTTACATTTAATATTATTTCCTTTTCCTTTTGAGAAGACATTTTTCTCTGTTCGCAAATTTCGTTGTCGTTCACTAACGTCTCACACGCAGTCACGCACGCTGCGCAACAACCGACTGAGCGCTCTAACACCCTAACAGCGATCACATTGCCCGATAAATCGGCCCTAACTAGTGAGATCGGGCGGTCGGGCGCTCACGATCACCCGATATCGGGGCCCTAACTCTTTAATAGCGATTAGACTTCCCAATTTACAGTGTACCCGATGGTTCGTGTCCGATAAATTGGGTAGTGAAATCGGCGCTTAATTTTGCTGTAAGCATGTCTTAAATACAAATTTTTAACATTGAGACTGACTGTTACATTGTTCTGATATTAAATTGGTCTCGATTATTAGGTTCTTACCCTAATTATTGTTAGGTTACAAACAATTTACATTATAATTTGAAAACTTATTTATTCCACATTACTTGATTGTCTTACTCTTAAGTGTACATATTTTTTTAATAAATACTTCATTTATAACTTCTTACTAATTTTGTACTTTTTTTTAGGTGACCTGCGAGATATTGGTGCGGGGAAAGGCAAATATTATGCTGTCAATATCCCGCTACGCGACGGCATGGACGATGAATCTTATGAGTCTATTTTTGTTCCAATAATTTCTAAAGTAATGGAGACTTTTCAACCTAGTGCTGTTGTGCTGCAGTGCGGTGCTGACTCATTAACAGGTAACTTTAGTTACAAATTTGACAATTGAAACAAATGATTTTTTTCTCAGATCAATATATGTTTCCGAGTTCAAATAAACATGCCAAGTGACATATTTTAATCTACTTAACAGGAATGAAACATCACATTTAGAATAGATGTGATGTCAGAATCTAATAGGCAATAAGAGTTATTGCTCTTATACTTACTAGAGGTCCAATTTCCAGAAGTCGAAATTCGACCGTAATAAATATCAATTAGAAGTTATTACTGAAATCCTAAATCTTTTGACATTCAGTAAGACCACAGTAAACATCACAAACATATAAATAGATGTCTATAATAAACATATAAAACTTGATACTTGCTAAATGCACAAATCGTGCGAAGCCAATATTCAAAAGAAACATCAAAGTCTTTTTAAAAAGAAACAATTTGACCACAGAGTATATAGGTATATGCGTGTAGCAAATACTAGTTCGTGTGTGTCGAATGCAAAGTAGTGTGTGTAATGTTTTATTTATCGATTTAATATACTTTATAATTATTATTGAAAAATATTAGCCGTTTGCACTTCTCCTACGTATAAATTAGAAGTGTGCCAAATTTCATATTCCTCCGTACTTGCAATTTTCGCAAAAAGGGTCCAAAGTTTTTGCTTCACATATTAATATATATAGATTCTCTATTTGATTCAGGCAGAATTTGTGTTGAATTTAATCACACCACATTAACATTGAAAAGAAAACACTTTTTTTTTAAGATTAATGATTTCTTGGTTAAATTTAGACACATGTGGAAATTTATTTATTTTATTTACCAGGTGACAGATTAGGTTGTTTCAATCTGACAGTCCGAGGGCATGGACGATGTGTGGAGCTTGTAAAGAGATTTGGCTTGCCTTTCCTATTAGTAGGAGGTGGAGGGTAAGTTCAATAAAAGTTTTGCTAAACAACAATCCTTACTAGCAAGATAATATGCTACAGTAAGATTCACCTAATGTGCCTTATTAATGTACCTTGTGTCTTATGAATTGGACCATAACACAAATTAAAAAAAATCTAACTAAGCTTAATAGTTGACTAATTATTAAATTTGTTAGTTTTTACACAACCAAAAGAATGCAAGAGAAGATTATCATAAAATTGACATTGTATAATTTATGCTAGTTTAATCCTCTAGTTCAGTTTCAATAGGATGTTTAATAAAAGGAAAAAGATAACATTGACAATATTAATTTTTCTGTATACTCACATGAGAATAGGGAAGCAAAATCAAAATGTAAGTCTGCTTACCTTGGACACTATATAACAAATATTGTATAACTTAGTGAATACTCTGCATTCAGATAGTTATTCAGATGAACATATGTAGTTTTTGTACTTTGCATGAATACTGGCAACTTTTTTGGGGTTGGCAATTATTAAAATCCAGCGCTAAATTAAATTGAGTAACCCTATGGTGTTGTGCTAGTGCGCAGGTAACTTTCCTATTGCTCAAATATATATAAAAAAAAAAATTATAAGTAGTTGGAAGTTGTTGAATATTTAATAATTTGAAATTTTCAGCTTTAAGATATTGTACATTGTATTGATCGTTTATTATTATTTTAATTCCTTTTAGGTACACAATCCGTAATGTATCACGATGCTGGACGTACGAGACGTCAGTCGCACTCGGCGTCGAAATAGCCAATGAGTTGCCATATAATGATTACTTCGAATATTTTGGGCCCGACTTCAAACTCCATATATCACCCAGCAATATGTCCAATCAGAACACATCTGAGTACTTGGAGAAAATTAAGAATAGACTGTTTGAAAATCTGAGAATGTTGCCGCACGCGCCTGGAGTGCAGGTAATGTTGTTTTAAAGTTTAAATATTTAAGTTGTATATATTTCCATTGGATTTTGTCTGTGATTGAATATTATTAAATTTTCAGGTACAAGCTATTCCCGAAGATGCTGTCAATGACGAGTCCGACGATGAGGACAAAGTCGATAAAGACGAGCGATTACCACAGAGTGAAAAGGTTTGTTGTAGTATATTTCGATGTTTAAAAAGTGAGATTTCAATTCTTCACCTCGTCGAAATATCCACATAATAGAAAGATTTTTTACGTTTTTATTTAAACTGATAAATATGGTAAACATTTTAGGATCACTTTACTAAGGGTAAAATTGGTTAGATGCGTCTGTTGCGAGTACAATAGTAATATGTTTGTGCATGAGTGAAAGGAATGTACAATGTGGGACTATAAAAAGAATGTCAGAGTCATGCACCTTTAACATTTATATGATACATATTTCCATTTACTTCGCATTAGTTTATCGTTCCCGCTAATCGAAGTAACGATTTACGAACATCATGTCATTATCAAATCTACATTAACAATATCAATTAATAATAATATTATAAAGAAAGAAAGATTTGATTGTGTGTAATGAATATGCTCTGAAACTACTGGATAGATTAAAAAAAATCTGTCACCTACAGGAGGCTACGTTATATGTGGTGAACGTAGGCTACATTTTATCCCGAAAAACGGCAAATAAATAATATATTAGTAGTGTAACTTTGTATAGGGAATTCCCTATAAAGAGTTACCATAGCAACAATTATTTACTATTATTTGTCATTGTAACTATATCCGTGTTATGATATAAATCGATATCCAAATAAACTGCTCCCTAGAGATCACGCGGGCAAAGCTGCCGGCGGAAAGCTATTAAATTATATGTAACAAACTTAATATATTACACCGTGAGGTCACATTCCATTATTATATTAAAGAATTATAATAGTTATTTAAGATACGAGTGCGGAAAGTAAGGTTTTACGAATATTTACGCTCCTTTTACGCCTTTTGCGCTCAAGTTTCTTACAACATTTTTCAATGTTTTTTGCGAGGAAATAAAACTAAGTATGTATTAAATGTTAAAAATTATTTGTTAAAATTAAACGTGATATTTGAACATGTTTTCGTGTCATACATTTTTAATTGAAAATATTCGTTCTAGGCTCCTTGAAATACTTTTGCCTCTAAAGTTTGACATATTTTCATCAATTTCTTTTTAAATTTATTTGGTGCTCAGCCAAAAAAAAAAAAACTTTTAAACACGTGTGCAGTAAAGGATTTCAGTACATTTTTATTTAACACTTGTTTAAAGACTCACTTTCGGTGTTTACGATGGATTAAAAAAATAGCGCTTTATGAGCAATTGTATTGAAAAAATATGTACGGTGCCGTAACACGTGTATTTGCTACAGGACAAGCGTATAACTGGCGACGGCGAGCTGTCCGATTCCGAGGACGAGGGCGAGGGTGGCCGCCGCGACAACCGGTCGTACCGCGCGCCGCAGCCGCAGCCGCGCAAGAGGCCGCGCCTCGACAAGGACGCGTCCGCCGTCAAGGACGAACTCAAATGTGAGCGATCATTACTTGACTTCAGTAGATGCTCCTTATTCGCGGGTGACATAATTGTAACTCGATCTCTGTACTCCCGGCTAAGATCTGTTTATTCGCGGAACCGGTTGCTGATAAAGTCCCTGATAGTCTATCAGGAACTTATCTGCCAGATAAACTATAACTTTTGGTTTCACAGGTCTCGGATAAAAATATCTGGCAGATAAAGTGTTAGATATGTTATCAGCCGATTCAAGTGGCTGATATAGACGTTATCTGATAGATAAAAAAAAGTTTCAAGTAGCGGGAACGAAAATAGTTTTAATTTTAGACCATTATTGTGTGCTTTGCGTCGATTGCAGTCACGAGTGTCACAAATATTCTAAAATGGATTTATTTGAGTTTTTAGAAGACGAATTAGATGAATATTTCGAACATATTACGCGACCCCGTAGAAATCGAGTAATTAACCCTAGACCTAATTATTTAGAATCACTTGACGATCAAGATTTTTAGGAATCGATTTCGGCTTACCAAACGGGCTGTTGTTTATATTCTATCGTTAATAGTAAGTGATATAAAAACTAAAAAGGGCTACTAAGTAAAAAATAAAGAAGCTCCGTTTCTTCTTGATTAAAATTCACACTTCTTTCACGTTTTTGTTTTACCATTATTAATTAACAAATACGAAAAGAATACACAAAGAAAAGGTTTAAAAACTGAAAAGCGTCTTCTTCTTCTTTTTTTTCAATTAATGGCTTATTTATCTGCGCATTTCGCACAATTCTGCCAATGTCAAGTAAATAAATTAATTTTACATGAAATATGAAAATGAAATGAATGAAAGATTTTAAGCACAAAATATCAACAAAGCAAAACATATGCCAGTTGCGTTTCGTTTCTGTAAACACGTAGCTAAGTATACGAATATCGTATTATTTTCATTCTAGAATCATAAAATTATAATTCAAAATATGTGAAAAAAGTTCACTTAAATAATATTGAACATAAAAAAAATATATTAATTAAGTTTTAAAAATGATTTTTGATTGACGATAATTTGGGTCGTAGTATTGAAACGCAAAAAAGCGACGTTGCCGTTCCGATCTTTAAAAACTATAAAAAAGGATCATTAATAAAATCATTAAAAATCCTCATTTAAAGTTGACAATAAAAAAAATTGGTTAAATCCTCGAAAATTTGACCTCAATTGTGTTTATTTTAACATACATATTGCTTTTACTTTGAAGCCTTGGAACTTATCCTTTATAATTCTATGCCACACGCTATCCTGTATTTGCGGCACATATAAGGAACGTATCCTCCGCGAATAAAGGGCATCTACAGTATATAATAAATAAAAACTGGCTAAGTGCAATCAAAAAGAAATATCATTTATGTGTGGGTTCAACCGGGGCTAATTGGGGTGGGGCGGGACAGGCGTCTTTCTTCCTTTCTTTTTATATTTCTTTATTTCCTCTTATCTTTTCTTTGTTTTATTTTCCTTCTTTTCTTTTCTTCTTTCTCTTCACTTAGTTACATGAAAAATATGGTCCCTTTGCAACGCGATATCGAACATCGATATGCTATGAGTAAAGAGCCTAACTCCCATAGAGATTGATTTAGCGCGGCCTAGAACCAAAGACTTTGCTGTTGACTTTGCGAGATCATCAGTTAACTATTATTATGTTATTTGAAGTAGTCCTGCCCTTTACCAACCCAACATCTTATTGGTGAAATATCGTATATCGATATTATCGTATCGTATTAATTCTTTTACAATGCTTAATTTTTTAATAAATATTAATTGCAGGTACAATTAACAATTGATTAGTTGTTAATTGAAAAACTAGAAAATGTTAATTGAACAATTTACAATAAGTCGATTGTTAATTGTTATTTCGCAATTAATATAATAATTAAATTTGGCCAACACTGGTAGACGGCAACATTGGGGAAAAATGATAAGGACGTCTTGATACTTATATTATTTTAATATAATAAAAACTTAGATAACTTGAACATACTTCTACACCTGTACAATCTATATTACCAACATCTAATATTGTATATAGACAGGACCCGACCCCAAAGAAAAACCCAATAATATTTTACCTGACTAAGAATCTAACATGAAAAAAGAGATTTTTTTTTAAATCGTTGATCTTTAGCTTCTTTTCACAGATTTTGCTATTTACATTAAAAATAATATTTCTTACCTGAGATACCAATTTTTTTGGGCATATTCACAAAAATAATTTATTATTTTCGCAAATCCACAAAAGTGTACTTGAAAGTTGTCAGTTGACAATTTAAATAGCTATATAAAAATCAAGATTATTTCTTTTATTTTTGTGCCATCAGATTCTGGAACACCTATACCTACTTAACTCTGAATCTAGTACTTTGTAAACGATATTTCACCATTTAATCTTGAATTTGAATAACTGGCCCAGAGCTGTTCTCCCACTTCCGCTGGTGATCGAATGTATGATTCTTATTTCAATAATCATAAACTGTAAAATATTGGGCATTTGTTGTCCGTCTCAAATTAAGCTATGGCGCGTTACTTGAATCATGCTAATTGGCCGAGATTTCCTATGCACGGACATGCTGTGTAGGTACATTGATGAGTGACATTAGTTGTATCTAGCTTAAAGTGATTCAACCTCGGTGCTATAACAGTGCTATGCTCGACGTAGAGTTTGAGGCTATTTTTATTGCAGATTAGCATTACACAACTCTTTAGTTGCCTTCCGACAGTAAAAAATAATACAACATTAAAATTGTGGTAGCTTTCAAATCCATCGTAATTTATAGAAAAAAAAAAATCAACTATATTTTTTTTCAGCCGAAGATATAAAAGACGACGTGAAAAACATGAGCGTGGAGGAACCAAAGAAAGAAACGGCGACTAATCCCTGATGCGCGCGTTAGACTGGAACAACTTAAACCTGTTCGTACCATATGCAGGGATTCCACATGGAATTATTTTTTTAGCTTTGTAACAAATGACTAATCAGTCTTATGCTAAAGTTTATACTATGCCTTATGGCATGCAATCGTGAAACTTTATACATACAATTTCTGTACATGTTTTAGTTCACGGATTTTGTACTGATAAATAAGATCTCCTATGTTGAACAAGTTGTCACCACTTGGGATCAATTTGTAACTCGTATCGTAATTAATAAATAAAAGAATATTTTCTCCACACATTACTCTTATTTATAAACTCTACCCATCAAATTGATAGTACTCGTTTGCTACTATTACCGTTATTCAAATTTAATGTAAATGACATAGGAAATTCGACGAATAACCTTATTGTGTATTATCACGGTACATAGAGTAAATAAAATATGATTAGTGTGTTCAAACTGAAAACAAACCGCCTAATGGCTCATCTACATTAATTGATAAGAGTCCACATGAAGAGTGAGGGCGGCGTTTGCGGGCCCGTTTCATTGAACGATAAGCATAATTAAAAGTTCATCAATCAACGTAAATGAGCTATATTTTTATTCAAAGACAAGGCAGAAATTTTAAAACTAAATTATAGGAGTGCTATCATTATTTTTAGATTATAATTCACTATTGTAAGTGTAACAAGTTGCGCAAGTTGAATCTGTTAATTTTATATTGTGTGTTCTAGTTAGCAGGCTATTGATACATTACACCCGATTTCTGAATTGAGAATCTGAAGTTGAGCACGTCTCAAACCGTGCTTAAGCCATTTAAATAGGTTTTCATTACTGATTTATATTTTTTTATGATCAGTTGATAACGCTTTGATAAAACAAAAACTTTTTACCATATCAAAAGTAAAAAAATTAAGTTATTGAGAATAATCAGTTGAGATTTTGTGCTTTTCTCAATTCATAAACCGGCCGTTAGAGTAAAGAAACTTACTTCTACTACTTACTAAGAAACTTCATTAAATAAACAAAACATGCAATCAACTGTTACATTTACGATAAAATATTTTATCAGTCATACTGATAGATTCCATAATAGTTAAATTTTAAATTATTAACTACGTATTAATATAGTTCTTCCTGATTTTCAATTGTTCCAAAATAAAAAAAAACTGAAAATGAGTGCGATACTCTGTCGCAGCACCATCACGCTCAATAGGCATAATTCTTATACGAATGAATTGTACATATAATAAAAATTCTATGTTTTGGTTTTCAGTGTAAATATCGTTGTACTGCCACAGCAGTAATAAACTCTACCAAGCGGACTCACGATAGTTTACAGGATGTTTGGCTTATAAAAATGTACATTAATTGTACGTTCTATGGGCATATAATACATCTGTTTTCCTTGTTTAATTTAAAAAAATACGAAGAAAAACAAGTCAACAGAAAAATTATCTATAGGTTATTGCGCTTGCCCAATCTCCCCACAGAGTTCAGAATAAAACTCAATTTTTAAACTATGTCTACTTTGTAAAAAAACATCGGCTGGCTAAGGATGCCCTGTGGCAGTCCCACAACGATGTTTTATTTACACTGACATACGCACAATTATGTACAATTCATAACATATTATTTAAACATATAGGAATTATGTCCGTTGAGCGTGGTGGTACTGCGACACGGTGTCACACGAATACGGTATGAAGATTTCGTATTTTGTCAATTGTAATAAATAACTTGTTGGTAATTATTATATTTCATCAATTTTTCACTCTCAATACTATATAATATCTTTAATGAAAATGCGTGTTGGTAATGTTCGTTTTCGTAACAAATTCTGTGTTTTTAACTATTTTCTGAAAGCATTGATTCAAACCAATCTGAAAACGGGCATAAAAATGTAATATCTATGGTTTTATTTCAGAACAAACATCATTTACAATATTTAGAAAATTGTCTAGATATAGTTCTATTACATGTTCATTATTGTGTTTTTGTCCAGTACTTTCATTTTATATTGTCAAGTTGCTGTTGGCGTGACTTTGTTGTGGTTTGCAGATCTTACTTACAACTTGATTATTATGGAAACTAATCAAAATCGTATTATTGGCTGAAACTAAGACTTCAATGTAAACTTAGTCTTTCAATCTTCAATTTGATTGGTAAGCAAACCGAACTATTATTATAGTCCGTTTTACATAGCATAGCTACGGTGACGTTTGTTAACAAATCCATTTTACGCCATTTGTATTTAAAAATCATCGTTATAATACGAAGTTTGATTGTATATCTATTAGATATTTATTTAAATTTGCATATTAAAACACAAATATTTTTTTAATATCGGAACGGTCAGTTGTAATATCGGAACGTCAATTAAGTTTTAATGACGTTATTAAGCTCTAATGAATGTCAAATATGTATTGGTAATGTCGCTTTAAACTAATTACAGTTTAAATGGACGTTGGTGCAACTGGCTGATAATTCCAAACTGCAAATTCCAAACGTCACCGTACCCATGTTATGTGAAAAAGACTGCATGATGTCTTTTTCATCCAACGCGCGATCATGATTTTAAACGTGTACAGCTGCGTGCACGTCTGTAAAATCTATATTGTTAGAGCTAAGTATGTTCTAGTTATTCTTCGGTTACGTTTTAAAAATAACTAAAGAACTATACTTTACCAATATACTATTGAATAAGTTAGTTCTGTCATTCGATGTAAACTAAATTTCTCTTAGAAAATTATATCTCATGGTTATATTATTTAAGTTTAGGAAATAAAAAGCACATTTTATTAATATACAACTACAATCGGGTCCTCGCACTGAGACAATTTCGTAAAATGGCCTGACATTACATATCTCCCACTCGTGCGCATTACTATTATACTATCGCGATCGAACAGACACATCTAACCAATTTCGATATAGTGATTGATGTAAAACGTTTACGATATCTATCAGTCGGTACATATGTCAACGTACGTAATTTTCTGGTCGGTGACCTGACTGGATAAAAAGGTCTACATCAATGCATTTATTTATATACACTAATCGGCGCATGAACAGCGTTTAAAATATGAATTTATTGTTTAGACTGAATTATAGAAGTTTTTATTTGAAGTTATTATTTTAATATCTTTTACTATTACACTTTCAAGCTCAACCTTAAGCTATTATTTGAATATTAGATTATAATTAGAGGCAGGTTTTCGTTCTTGAACCTAACTACTTGTTCAATGTGAAGAAAATCATTAAGATAGGTTGTTAGTTTCTTATACTAGCGTAATTAATTAGCATTAAGGAGGCATGTTATGTAGCACACTCAAATCGGAACTCTGTTTACTTAGCATACCGCGCCGTAGGATAATTTGTTCGCTATTAAATCGATATTGGGTCATTTGTCAGCATGCCACCACACATACATTGCCTTTTTACGACGAATTGATGATTCCATTTGCCTATGTACTATAGACCTTATTTTGAGTTATATAACATATATATTCTCGTTTATGTTATATAACATATACCTAGTTATTTTTATCAAGAACGACTTCTGTTATTATAAGAAATCTACATTTAGAAATTAAGCTGTGAATATATTTTTTATCATCTGAAAATTATGTTTCATTTCAATTATTTGTATATCTCACACTACACAAAGATTTAAAATAAAAGTCCACATAGTTCTTGTATATTGCATGTATTTAAACGATTATCACAACGCTCTATACATAAATTGCACCATAAATAAAAGTACCGTAAAATCAGTCTGGTACCAAAGAGCTAGATAAAATCAACTAAATTGGAATGAATATAAAAATACTATGAAATAATTTAGCAATATACTATACATCTACCTATAATAATTAGTAAATTTACATACAAGAAACGCCACTAAAAGATAGCTTAATAAAGTATTCGATAGATAGTTGAATTTAGTCGTTTTACAAATAGTTACTCTAATGAACACTTAAAATGTATGGGGGCGTTCTACATATTTCATCCTACTATCGTAAAATTGAACCTTACATCACTGCAAATTGGTAGTTATAGTCAAACCTCGTTTTTAGTAAGAACGTGTTTTCGCTGGTGTAAAATTGGTTTGGGTGAATGGTCCTGTTATTTTGAGGCTTAATATCCATTGACCCAAGAGACACTTTGCTGTGACCCGCGCGGTTGACGCAAGATTGAGTGGAGTGGTTCACATGACAAAGGATGAGTGCTTTTAAGGTTTTGGCCCTGAAAATTATTCAAATTTCAGATTGATCTCATTTATAACATTTTTGAAACTAAATATTTCAGAATATATGCATTTTAAGTTTTCATATTTGCTTGTTCTTTACAAACCCAATGTTTGCAATTTTCGCCAAAATTCACCCTTTTTCGAAGATTTACTTTAATATTTTTATATCAGCACAGCCCAATGTTTGCAATTTTCGCACTAATTCACTCCTTTTCGAAGATTTTACTTTAATTAATATCTTCATATCAGCGCAATGATGCTAGTAGGTAACAAAAATAGACGAATATACTTCTTCTTCTTATATTAATGGCTTATCTGCGTATTTCGCACAATTCTGCCAATGTCAAGTGAATAAATTAATTTCTACATGTAAAATGAAAATGAAACGAATGAAAGATGGCGATGATCCGGTCTTCTCAAGTTTAAAAACGTTTCGCTTCGACTCTTGCGTCAATGAGAATTGCGCCTAAAATGCCTGTAGTAATGAGCTTTTTGCTATATTATATATTGCCAATTATGTAGAGCAGTTAGTATGTTTGAAATATTTATTGTTCTTAACTAAAAACTGGTTTTCACTTTCACAAGTATACTAACCTAAAATTCACCTCACTTTTTGAACTTCATTTCAAAAATCACACTTCATTAATTTTAAAATACTGTTAAATACTATACAATTTATGAAGGAATGTATAAATGTGGAAGAAGAAATCGCTTACAGAAACTATAAAAATATTGTGACGCCATCAAACCCTGCGTGTGAAGGCCGCACCAGACACGTACGCATATCAATGAACACTTTGTTCAAATAAAATTTAGCGCACAAATATATGACAAAGTATCAAATACCTGTGCCACATTTATGTGGTCAAATAATTGCATATGTGTGATGCCAGGGTGATGAGAACAGAAATAAAACTAAATTGTGCGCATCATTAGGCCTCTAAAACATGACTAGGCAAGACCAATTCATTGAAGATATAATTTTATTTATGAATAATATAAGCAAATAACTACACACTAAATATTTGGAGAAAGAAAATGCGACAGGTTCCAGGATCTAATACAAACTTTGAAATAGGATCGTAATTATCAGCACTGAAAAATATCACTGATATAGCTATGGGATAACCGACAATGATAGGAGATGTTTCAATTATGAATTACTGTTTATATGCCACTACTCGTCCAAGATTTGAAAAGACGTGACCTAGGGCATCATTCATGCTAGCCATGTTTTAATAAAAGGAACGTCTCATATCTCGATTATAACTTTGACTAGTGAAATGACTTCTATCAGTTCCTCGATACCTTCATAATATTTACATAAAAATCATTCTTCTTTGTTCAGTTAACACTATCACAGAAAATATTGCATAGATATATGATTAACCAAAATTGTCATAACCAATAATCAGTGCCGAATTCAACTTTTTAAAGAGCAAGTCTTATTTCATCTCCAAATATTAAAGAATATACAAAATTATTAGAAATATGATTACATAAATAATAAAAATTCATGAATTTCATATATGCAGGTAAAACTAACTAACACAATCACAGTAAATAAAAGTGTCGTTATTTATCATAAATCTAAATACCCTATCATAAGTTAGTTGGAATTATTATAACTGCATCATTAATATTTTCAATTGAAAACTATTCTCAAAATGGCAATTCGAATACCATATTAGAACACTAGTCAGTAGCTATTTGTTTTACTGTCTAAAAAAGTTAAAATTCTAACTGGCACAATTGTGAGCATCCGTGAATATAATCCGTTTAGTAATATAATCTGGATGAACCCTGCTCAACCTATCACGTAGGTACTAATTCCTCGCGCTATAAGTTTTCTGTGCTCATCTAGGCCTCCGTTCCTTCTGTAATAATAAAAAAAGTTTATTTTGATACACTTTGGAAGTAATGTATTTCTGAAATGCAGCTTAGAAGTCGCGTTTCTCTGACTAGACTAGAGACAAACTCGCGTTTGGGTGGTTATGGTACATTAAAAAGAACATGGTATTGAGAATAATTATTTACAAAACCAATGAATCGCTACAGATTCTTACTGCAATAGAGTAGCTCGGTGGCGTAGTGGATAAGCGCCGCGGCCCGCGATCGTAGTCGTTAAGCAACTTTCGGTCACGAGATGGGTGACCAAAAAATTATTATCTCGAGCTACTCCGTGCTTCAGAAGGCACGTTAAACCGTTGGTTCTGGCTGCATTTGCAGTCGTTAATACCCTCCAATCCACATTGGGCCAGCGTGGAGGGTCATGGCCCATCCTCCTTAACCATCCATAAGGAAGGCCTGAACCCCTGCAGTAGGGACGTAAAAGGTCTGGTGATGATGATGATGACTGCAATGGAAGTAATCTCATTGAATGAGGAATTATTTAAAAAAAAACGAAATCACTAAAAAAGCACCTGCACTAGATGGCGACTATAGCAAAAGTTAATTATTGCGAGAAACGAATGGACCAAAGACAGTCATTTCCGTTCCTTTTAACTAACATATTATAAAACTGAAATTCGCAAAGTTCGAAACTTAGATATCAATACAAATACGAAAAAGTACAAATAGAATATGAGTTATTTATTAAGTTTTGAATATTAATTTACTTTTATACATGAAAGAAAACCGGAATGGTTGTCATGGAGAAATCAAGAACGTACCGTAGCGACATCTAGTTTGAATTCGGGAACAAATTTATTTTAAATACTTCCTCATTGACTACTTGACTGTTTGACTTCGGAAAAGTTTTTTAAAACTCTCATATTAAAATCATATAAAACCATTTTCAAATTATTATTTTTTCTCCAAACAGTGTTAATTAATAAAGGAAGAATAAATTTTCATTCATGAAAATATATTCTTAATAATTTCATGAGAATAATTGTCCCGCGCAAAAATCAGCCACGTGACATTTAGAGCCGTGACGTCACATATTAATATACATGACTGCTGTTGCATGCATGTTTAGGGTATGTTCCGATATACACTGCGAGCACTGCGCAGTGGTCTTACTGCTGAAAAATCCGTTCCGTTATGGACTGCCAGTACACTGCTACAGTACCCTAGGGAAATTTATGACGTCATAAATTGCCGCCATATTTGTACTGTGAGCACTGGAGATTTCGAGGTAAAGTGCTCGCAGTGCTTTTGATCACGTGATCAGTCGAAACAGAATCAGAAAATGATAAGTTTCTAAATAAACAAAAAAAAAATACTTACGTTTATTTATAAGATGGATTTAATTGATAAATAATTTTTTTATACAATTTTCCAATTTTCTTTTGAAAAGAGAGAATCTTTATATTTATATTCACCTTGCATTAACAAATTTAAAAATGGCGCCAAAAAATAGGATTAACAGTATACTGGACTGCGTTCCGTTTTAAAAAGTCACCAGTATAACTAGCTATAAAGGAACGGGCTTCCAATATACTAAATTGACGTCATACTGATCAGTGGTCGCAGTGTATATCGGAACATACCCTTAGTTTATTGAAATGTGACGTCCAACGACACTTGGCCATGGCCACTCGCATTTTGGATCTATAGAGAAAAAATAAATATACTTAATCTATATTTAAGTTATATCTATATTTATAGTTACATATCATTTCCAACATATTTCATAATTTATTGTTGACTGTCAAGTAGCCAGTTGCGAAATATCAGAAGATAACTAAGTATGTATTATAATATATTACTAAAAATAGCTATTTCGCTAGTTTGGTAAAAATATTTTAGCACTCACCTGGTGTTAAAGGATGATCTCTGAGCATTGAGCCTGGAAATTACAAAAAGGCAAGTTGTTTTTATGTAGATTGTATTATATCTAAACTTTCCAATATACTCAAGCGTTGTAATAACTATATATTATAAAGAAAACAGTCGTTTTACCCTAACGACTTCTTTTTAATGACAAAACTAGAATTATAAGGAAAATTAAATATAATAGTCATGCAGTTAACGCACTATAAAGCCAATACACGATGCCAATAACTATTGCAATATTTTTGGAATATATTTTTAACAGATGATGCTTACAAAAATTTCACTTTATATCTTCGTTACAAATATCAATTATATAACATAGATTTATTAATGAGTATAATAGGGTGACGACAAATTTTTGTTTGTTTGTCCGTCAGGTAGATTAATAAAGATTTCTAAATAAGTATTTTTTTTTATATTTTTTGCTTTATCAATAAATAACGCCGATACAATTAGTTTGAAATGTCGCATGACGTCACGCTTTAGTACATTTTCTACAAAACTGTGACGTTACTAGTCCCCCAACTTTAATGCCTATCATCTAAGCCATTTCTTGTTTTAATTGAAACAAAAGAGAAATACATATCTAATATTTTTCTATTATCTGACTAACGGAATAAATAGAATATTAACTACTTAAATGACGGGTGCAGTAAAACGTACAGTATGCGACATAAGTTTGCGGTTCTGAAGCCACAAGAAGCGTCGCAAATCGCATTCTTTAGGTATGAGCGTGATGTACAAGTGTTTTACGGGAGGGGACTACATGTACTGTAGATAGCAACGGATTATCAAATTTTGTCTTATCATAACATCTGTTCAATCGGCTGTCACTATTTTATATTTCGATCGTCTGTCATTTATTTGTGAATTCACTAGGATCCGTAGCCTTAAAAAAGCTCTCCTAAACAATGCTCAAGCCATTGTTTAAAACCAATTATCAGTGAGAGATCCCTTCCTCCTTCGACTACTATGTGTTGGTGTTGTATCATGGTAAGAATCGATAGCACCGATTTCATTAATATTTAGCTACAAGCATTTTCCACAATCTACCGTCTAATACTGAGAATTACACATTTGTACAAGACAAAGACAGAATTACTAGTCTGTTCCTAGGGCAGATGAACAAAACGGATAATAACCGAAATAATATGTGAGTGCTTAAATTTATGGACATGTATCGCTATCCATAGAACTTAGTATCTTTTCACGTATTACCTATTGTTATATAGGATGGGGGTCAGTGAAATATAGCGTCGCGTCTATCAAAGCGCTGTACTTCACGGAAGCGATGCAGATTTCAACAGATAGCGATACGTATCGTGCTCACACAATACTTCCAATTTATTCGCCTACCTAGGAATATACTATAAATTCCATCTCTCTCTTAGTGGTTTCCTCATGACTGAGGGTCCAAATACCCATATATGAAGTCATAAACTAGCATATGTAAAGCACGAGAGCCACAAGTATAGAAAGCGTTCCTATCTGGTCCAACCCAAATCTTTAATAATTAAATTCCTGATCAAACTAAAAAATATTTCTTCTTAAAAAAATTTCATATAGGCCTTTTTTCTGCCGGATGCTCATAACCTATCGTATTCTACAGTAAGCGAAAATAAACCTTTTACCTAGACACACAAGAGGTGATGAAGAATTGCAGTGTTAGCACACATAAAGCGCAATACCTACACAGTTAATGGTACAGCTAGGGCACATTGACTACGTCTCAGTACAGAATAGCGTCAGAAAGTTGGTTACTGGTTAGTGCGGCGCCCGGTGTGATGCCCACAATGCTGCCGCCGACGCACGCCTCCACGCCTTCTGTAGACCACCACCGCACAGTTACATACGATACACTCAATGGCTGACCTCAGCTAATCTAATTATGAACATTCTACGCTAACATTTAACCGAAAATTACCTTGAATATACAATGAGCTCATTTATGAATTGCAAACGTTCTATATTTTATAATAATAGAAGCTTGAAAATTTAGCAACAAAATAACTAGGTATTCAAAATAATATTGAAGTAGCATTTATGATCTGTATGTCTGAGATAATTGAATTGGGTTTCCGCGTACAGTCGGCCAAAAAAGTGGTCTACCAGTTTATTTAAAAGATCTATTTATCGCTAAGGTTGGTTCAGGTTTTTTAAACGACTTTAGATGCTCAATTATGACGTGTAATCACCGACAGTCCGACTATATTATTACAAGCTTTTCGCCTGCGTAGTTCTTAGGAAACTGTTTATTTGGATGTCCATTCATATCACGATACGGATATTATTACAATGAAAAATAGAAAAGTACACAATGGTTAGTATGGTAACATTTTAATTCCCTATACAAACTTCCACTCCCATTTTCATCACTTTATTTGCTGTTTTTCGGGATAAAACATAGCCTATGTTTACCGCATATGAGGTATCTTCCCGTCGGTGAAAGAAAGAATTTTTAAAATCATTTCAGTAGTTTCGGAGACTATTCGTTGCAAGCAAACAAACAATAAAATAGTTAGAGATAAAAATAGATACTAGTTATGGTTCACAAAGTGAAATCGACCTTTTTGTTTCATGACGCTCAAATGAATCTCAAACGTAGGGCGGTAGACTACAGTTTTGGCCGAATGTAAATACATAACAGTCTATACTTTTCCTACGTTTACAATGAGATGTACGGGTAGTTTTTATTAGAAATGAGCAGAATGTATAATCAAATATTTATATATCTAACGATGGTCTACAAAAATATATCAAGTTAACAGACAAAAGTATTATTTACTTACGAAAATAAAAATAAGTTATATATTTTGCCAAAGAATGTTCGTATATATAAAAAAGTAAGTGTAAATGGGCATGCATATTTCCGTAATTCACCAAATTGAAATGTAAAAAAGAATATTATTATATCACAGTTTTTGAAAGGAAACTAAAAACGTGCAAAAGATTGATCACATTATTGCCAATTCATTCCATTAGTGGAAAAATTAATGACGAAATTTTCAATTCCTAAAAATAAAATTACAAGTAGTCAAAACATACAAAAAATGAAAAAAGTCGGATATATCTAGGATTTAATTAATTTTATAACAAAAAAAAAAGCGATAATAACATTTCAATCAAACATGTCACACATAAAATCCACAGGTATGTAGTCAGATGTTCAAAATAAACGCAATACGTTCACCTGTAAAATTAAAGTTGGAACTGCTCAAAATTATATCATACAACACAGCACTTTATACAAGAGCTATGCTTTTGTATGATATTACCTTAAGACATTTTGTTCTTAAGTAAATAATTTACCAAATACCTACTAATTAGGCCTATTGCGATATAGTTTAGCAAACATTTTTTATTCACTTCGCTTATGCCATGCTGCTTAACAGTAAAAGTCAAAATATTTCTTTTATACTGAATGTGCAGTCGAGAGTTTATTATTATTATTACACTTTGCACACAAAATGCTTTTCAATCAAATTACAAATGCGAGAATAAGCGGTAATCGTCTAAAGATGACAGAACGTCAACGTCCTCGACTGTACATCATGCATCACATGTACGTAAACCCTATTAAAGACAACATAATTAAGAATAAGCGTAAGCTATGATGCGAGTGTCGGTATGAGTTTAAGCGACATTGTTTTTTGATGAGCATGTGGTGGTGTGCGTGAGTGTATTCAAGTGCATTAGTGTATATGGGGGAATGAATAAAAAAATGGAAATTCTTTTCTATTATTGAAAGCACTTTTGAATAGTCCAACATTTATACCTACCACTTAAAGAGGACGAGAGAGCTTATTATAAGAATGGGTGGAAACATAAATTTAATTAAACACATTTATGTGTACAAAGGTTTGAAATATAAACAAGCGAATCAATTAGCGTTGTTTGTCTTTCAAATAATATTCGAATTCGTAATGACTTTGTATATGCATCATCTCATTTTCATATTTTTCTTAAAACACACCCCTAATGTACTTTGATAGTCATAAACTCATATTTTCTTCACTACCATTATTTATATAGACTATTTGTAACATTTATAACTGCAAAAATTGTCTTTTGAGTGATTTTTTACCTAATAGACTGAGAGCTCGTGACAAATATTTGTAAGAGTTTTATAAAGGTATGTGCTAGTATTTAGGCTATACATCACTCAGTATCCAGTGTGGGGCAGCCGTTTTCGTTCCATTAAATAAAAGTCTCGAGTTTTTTTTTAAATTATCTAACTAATAATAATTTAGTAACAAATTAACTTTCACCTATTACGAAATTATTTTTCATTTTACACCAACTTCTGACATATGCTGAGTCGCCGCATTTCACGAATGTGCAATCTGAGCGATTTATTCTAAACGTACTATTACTATCTATAACGATTTCTCGTACATTAAATTGCGCCGCCGGCACCAGGTGTTCGTGCGCCTGACCGTCGCACTAGGTACATACTGAAATATCAAGCTTTTGATAACTCTTGCTTATTTTCGTCACGAACTCTTGTACTATTAGTTCTTGAGTGAAGTGACGCAGTTAGTGAGTGAGTTAGTGTGTTTTTCGTGTATGTATGGTACCTGTTGTACAGACGGCGCCGCTGTCAGGGTTGACGCCGGCCACTGACCAGGGCCGCGCCTTGCCCGGAGTACGCGCGCATCCATTCCCTATACGCACATGTACGGTCACGTGTTAACATGTCTATACCACTTCGGCGGATTCACTCTTTCTCTTTTACGAATATAAATCTCCAACTATTGTTAATAATCAATACAAGTTTTATTTGCATTCAAATAACTTATTCTCTAAAATTTTAATTACGATTCGATACTCATGTTCTGATGGCTATCAATGAGAACTTTATAATTTATTGACGTAGTCGAAACTACAATCCGTTTCGCCCGAATTAGAGATTATTTTAACAATTAAATATACATATTACGACATTGCGTTAACATATAACATTAGATCATAACTAACCACGTGTTATTCGTGAGTAAGAACGTAAAGACGCCTATCAAACTTTGTAACAAGAGTGTCTAGCCGTCGAAAGTGGCATATACATTTTTACACGTCACTGTACTCTCGCTGGCGCAATAATTTAATGAAGGATCGAGTTCTACTATTAAATAAAAACTAACAAACTCTAATCAAACTCAATTTTAATTCCATTATGTTAAATCGAAATATTTCTTCCGTTCAAAGCATAATTTGCTGCTATTACATATAAACTCGATTCTTGCATAAGTTGGCATGTTAGAGTTACTAGCAGATACAATGACGGGCCAAGCTTCATATGGCCTTTTCACAAACTGCACCGAACACAAAGCGTGTCTGCACATTCCCAAACGCAGTGTATTGAACGTACACGACTCACATAAGACATTTGAAGCTAAGCCAAGTGTATGATACGAATAGAATTGAGCGTAATTTATTATTATAAATATTTTATGGTAATAATTACAATTGTTTGTGATTATACTTTTAGTACCGGTCATTAAATGTATAAGTAAAAATTATTCATACTATATTCGATTTCAAGTATTTATTTATGTGTGTAATCATTTTTAGTTATGTGCAAAGCGCAAAGACTCAGACTTTATACTTAAATGTTATATGTATGTATATATCTTGACAAATCATGTTTCGATATACATGTTTCAAGCGTAACACATTTACTTTTAAATAGTGAAGCTAAAACTGATCAATAGATAATGTACTACAAGGTATTTACTATATTCCTTCAAGTTTGTAAAACCAATCCAAGTTTGTAAAACATGTACAAAAATGCACAAGTCTTACAATGCAATTATACTACCGAAAAAAGTTATGAAACTTTTAGACTAATAAAACACAGAGTCAATAACTTTACATAATTTTTTAATGTAACATTATTTTAGCATATCTATGCGTTTGCCAAGTACTCCTAAATCTATGACAAGGTTGGATAGTTGCCCTCACAGAAAGACAAGTGACAAATCGACTTGGTTTACATCATTTCATATTTTTTTAAGGCAGAAGAATTGCATTGTGAGCCTAGTGCATTTTTGTACATATTATGTTTTTGATGGGATTGGAATAAGAATTTCATTACTACAATAAAATTTACATGGTTCAAAATAGTCGATCATCCCATTGAATTTATTAATAATCAATTGTATATATTGAATTAGAAATATCTTTACTGCAATAACTTTTATGTTTAGTAATAGTAAGTTATATTTACCCATTGTGTTGACGTTATCTGAAGAGCGTGACGGCGGCGGAGTAGTGGGAGCCTTAGAGCCTACGTTATCGGAAGACTTGCATCGAGATACTTCTAGAAAATTCAAGAAAACAACGTCAAATCTCACAATGACACGGCAGCTTTAGCGTGGCGCTGTGTGCAATATGTCCAATATAGACCTTATGGTCCAAAACCTGCTTCGAGTGTTAAAGTGGTACCTCCATCTAACACTTCAAGCATGTTGAGTGAAATAACTCTATTCATATTTTTTTCGAAAATAAGTTATATGCTATAAAGTTATAATTTAGTAATAATCATGTTCTTCGCTTGTTGAAGTTGTAATGCAAATTTTTTTATGCAATATAACGTAAAACATACTACAACAATCTACTTCTAAAAATATCAACTTGAAAACTGGTTCAGAATAATCATTCAAGTTCAAGATATACACGTTCAAGTATGTATTTTAATAAAAAAAAAAAAAATCGTTTTCACTACGTATAACATCCGGTCGCCGTTAAGTAATATGTATATCACCTGTACCTTGGCCATAAACAATTAAGTAAATATATGCCTAGGTTTAAAATAAAACCACATTTAACAGAACCAATTAAAAAGGGATCAAAGGAACTTACCTTTTACAAAAACGACTTCACGTGGGGTTGAGTTCATACTAATAACCAGTTCTAAATATGAATTTGTAAAGTCTTAATTCGTAATGAATAAATTCATATTCTAAATTCAGCAGTCATAAGAAAATAATGTCTTTACTAACCGCATTCTAATAGGACAGGTGTACTTTCTCCAGATGTTACACTGTACCTGTAATTATATAAATATATAGCTAATCTTGAGGTCCATAAATATCTACGAAAAATCAAACATAAATATCACATTATCTTAATGTGTTCCTAATTCAGATATCGTGCTTTCACGTGCTGTTAAATTCAAATAATAAAATATAAAATACGATTAATAAGAAATGTGGAAACTTAATCGGGAAGGCAACTGTCAAAATGGCGCTGCCTTAGCTTCATCCCATAGGGCAAATAAACGAAAAAAAAAACTCTCCACTCTCAGTCTGATGCACAAATGTTCATTAAAAGTGTAATTAGTTTAAAGCAACATTAGCGATCATCATCATCATCAGCCCTTTAACGTCCCCACTACAGGGGCTCAGGCCTTCCTTATTAAGGTTAAGGAAGACGGGCCATGACCCTCCGAGCTGGCCCAATGCGGATTACAGGGTATTAACGACCGCAAATGCAGCCGGAACCAACGGCTTAATGTTCCTTTCGAAGCACGGAGTAGCTCACGATAATATTTTTTTGGTCACCCATCCCATGTCATTAGCATATAGCGATACAAATTTTCAAATTAAAAACATTTATTAGATCTTAAAGTCGTCGTTGAACCTCAACAGTTTATTTAGTGCCACGTTTGTGTAAATGCGCGTAAGTCGGTAAAACAGTATCTTCAGCGCCATCTCGTAGTTTTAAAAGTATTAGATATTGTAGTATATATTGTTTATAGACGAGATATTGCTCACATGGTGTCGTCTCGTTGTAGCGTGGGCGAGTGGCGTAGCGGCGATGGTGACGCGAGCGATGAGAGCGAGTGTAGAGAGCGAGACGTGAGCGGCGTGCGAGCGGACAGAGACGCCTCCTCACTACCGGGCGGCGTGCGGCAAGTGCGCCAGAACTCATCCAATCCTACACAGGAAACATGTAGGCAGTGTAATAAATAAGGGTTAATTGTACAAACTTACTTCAACATTATCAAACATGTTAAAGCACCCTAATGACAACACAAGATGATTGTATAAGACGGGTATTAACGCGAAAAAATTTTCGATAGTTAGGTTTTTCCCCTACCTATATTTCCCGACGTTTCGACCAGGTTACACCGGCCGTGGTCATTTAAATGAAGACATTGACTATAGACATGTGGAAAAAAACTGTGCAGTTACAACAATCTCGTTATAATTACCTCCTAAACCAAATAATAATGAGTTGGGTGACGTAATAACTTTAAATTGTAAACTATAACCACTTCAATTTCGCTGATTAAAATTATCACCTTCAAAACCTAAAATTTTATGGATTTGTACATTTTAAAACTGCTAAAATTCGTTTTACTCATATATCGTAGCAAATTTGAGTGTATAAATCTACTACAGTCAGAGGGTATTTTAACTTTGCATCTAACAATAAATAGTTTTTACGAGTATATAAACCAACCAGCAGACAGTAGTTGTTTGATATAAATCTGGCTCTCTATACCTACGACGAAGTGCATGTCATAAATTTTGTTCTACAGTTCTAGTAATATAGATAGAGGTCTATGCATTTGTAGTGTTTATACGCTCACCTTCATCAATGTCTTGCGATTGGTCTGTGATAGGTCGTGTTGGTGCTCGCGTTTTCACCCTTCTGGGTCTGCCTGTAATTTAAAACCAATAATAATAACTTATTACACTATCAAAAAAAGTATAATTAGAAACCTTTACCACTTTCGTATGTACGCCACAAGGATATAATTTTAAGAAAATTATAAGAATAATTCAAAATTTTACATATATTCGTTCGAGTAGAAATAGAATAGGCATTCAGATGTCATGTTAATTCAGTCTAGTTATATCTACGAGTACTTAATGTATGCATTGCCATGCGCGTGATATCACGGTTTAAACAAGACAACCACGTTCCTAGTTGTGTGATATCATGCGCAAGATAGAGTCTAGTAAATACGTCATTGCCCTCTCTTAATTCTTTTTTTTTTAATAATATTTTTCTCTATAGAAATATATATTATGACCAATAAATTCTTCTTAGCCTTGACAAATTCAATGTGAAATAGAGTTAAATAACATTTTTTTTTTAAATAAATGATTTTATCTGAGAAATAATATAAAAGTAACAGCATTTCTGCGAATAACAATTTCGGAGATATGGTTTGATTGCAGAACTGCTGCTAGTCGGCCGAATGTAGTTCCTACAAATTTAAGCCACGAGGTGATGTCACACTGTGCTACGGTAGCGAAAAACGTATGGGCGTCTGAGCAATCTTTCTAATATCTTTAGTTATTTATGCGTTTATGTTTATAGTTGTATTAATGAAATTTATTACATTTTATTTAATGGCATATGTATTTTAGCAAATATTAGTTCAAATTTCAAAGCGTAATATTTTTCAAGTTAATTTAGTAAAATTCATTTTGTTAAATAAAATAATAATAATAATATACTTTTATTTTCCTTCACAAACTTAATCTACGAACATACATTAACAATAAACCAAATCGTTCAGTTTGTGAGAGGCTGATGCCTAACAGAGGTTTTGATAAACCTGACCTATGATAAAATAAATTAATATGGTTCATATTTTACGAACGTAGAAACCTGAATTTTCACTTGTGGGTAAATCTTACCCTTGACTAGATGCCTGAGCGTATGCGCGGGCAGTTCAGCGAGCGCGTCCGCCGCCTCCGCGTGCAGCGGCGGCAGGGACAGCATCTCGTTACTGCTGCACTGCTGCTCCGCCACGGACTTGGGGCGGACGCGGCGGCCGCACCGCTCGCGACGGCGGCAACCAAGCGGCGTCGCCTGGTACAACGAGGCCGGGGTATTATTTAGCGGAGACAATGTGACTGCCGCCTAACGATCGCTTAATTTACGCCGTTAGTACACCGGCGCAATCGCATGGGATTACAAACATTTGCGAAATAGGTATTGTCATTTGTATGGCAATGTTTCGTATATACTTTGTCTCGATCAATAATTAGCCCGATGAAATAACTGTGTCCTTGACAGTGCGGTTTCGCAGTCAACTTAGAAAAAGGTCGTGACACAGACGCACACATTTCGCATTCAGGGTTGCCACCCAAATTTTGTTTCTGAAAACCCTGTAAACATTGGTTTGCGGCAAAATGTTTTGTCGATTAATCGATTTGGTAGTCGACAATAATTTAATATCGTCATCTGTGAAATTCAGACTTGAAGAGCATTATGGTTGACGGGGGACAGCCGCAAGAAAATCTTCGCTTTGTCTTAACTCGCTTACTCATTTAGCACGCGGCGACCGTGTCAATGACGATAGTATATCAGAATTGAAATGGCCTAGTCAATAGAGATTAAATTTGTTATGAATTGAAGACAAAATCCAAAATACATTGCTTGAACCAGGTCCCCCGAACTAACAACACCCAGCTCAGAGAGACACAATTTCCTTTTAGTCGGTTGCTACTACCAAGTAGATTCCGATCTTACGTATTCAGTCGTTTCATCGTGAAAGTTTTGAAAGGCGCTCAATAGTTTTAATAATATCTAATTAAATATAATAGTGACGTACAAATAAAATAATGTTAAAAAATTATAATGGAAAGCTTATTTGGATACTCACCAGATTCAAATAATCCAATTTCTGAACAGCATGAAACCCATTAAAATGAAGTCATAATTCAATCCACTCAAAAGTTTTCTACTTCAAGAAATGTGATGTCTTGTCAAAATATCAGTTTTATTTACCATATAATTAAAATAAATGAGAACATACAATATAAAGCAGAATATAACTTACACCAGAATGTGATATAGGTGTCAGTAGATCTGGTATGTCCGGATCGTTGCTCGTGATTGGCTCGCTGTCAGCGCTGTCCACGCTCTCACACGCAGAGAGCGCAAGACTCTCAACGGCTTCACTGTTGATTCATTATCTATATATTAATACGCGAAGCAAAAACTTTGGACCCTTTTTACGAAAATTGCGAGAACGGAGGAGTATGTAATTTGGCACACTTATAATGTATATGTAGGAGAAGTGCAAACGACTAGTATTTTTCAATAATAATGCTTATAAAGTACATTAAATCGATAAATAAAACATAACACACACACTATGCGTTTGACACACACAAACAAGTATTTGCTACATGCATATATATATATATATATATACTCTGTGGTCAAATTGTTTCTTTTGACATAGACTTTGTTGTTTCTTTTGAATAATGGCTTCGCACGGTTTGTGCATTTAGCCAGTGTCAAGTTTTATATGTTTACCATAAACATCTATTTATATGTTTGTGATGTTTACTGTGGTCTTACTGAATGTCAAAAGATTTTCGATTTCAGTAATAATTTCTAATTGAAATTTATTATGGTCGTATTTCGACCACTAGTTTATATGATTTTGTGTCGAACTTTAATTTAGATTGATTATGATTTAAATGGCTCATTTTATTCCGCACGCACGTCGGATGTCACCGCTCTAACTTTAAAGTTAATGGCACAATTACACGGTATGGTTTGTAAGCCGTCAAATCGTTTACGTCTTTAATCTACCAAATATGGCCATTATATTACATGTCATACATTTTATAATTTCAATTTAACAAAGTCAACAGCTGGTTGTAAACTTTGTTGTTAGGAAGTGGCCCGCACACTTCAAGCGCGCTTGCGGTTACATCTACGGAAATTACAAGACGTCAGCGGGCAAAGTACGATTGCGTTCATCGATAGCTATCGATTTAAATGTACTATTAATACCTTAATACATTTTTATAATTCGTTCTGTGAACATGATTGGGCGGGGGACAATAAAAATAAACTATACTAGTGGACGCCCGCGACTTCGTCCGCGTGGAAGTCGGTATCCCGTGGGAGTGAGAAGTTTTCCCAGTAAAAAGTACCCTATGTGTTATTCTGATGTATAACCTATATTGCTGTAAAGTTTTATCCAAATCCGTCCAGTAGTTTTTTCGTGAAAGAGTAACAAACATCCATACATCCATACTTACAAACTTTCGCCTTTATAATATTAATAGGATAAGTACCTATGGAAATAATTTTCTAGGAAGTCCTCTTCTCAATTTATTCTATGACCAGATAAATATCTTTAGCTACGCATTGCATTACAAAAATATGGCGACAATTTTACATCGTGAACGTCAATGAAAACCAATAAGATTCTTTATGTATTTCCGTACAATTTAGTTTCCTGTGTTATGTAATAAGTTGTGCTTACTTTATTAGATCTTGTAGAGTAGACGAACAGGGAGCCATCGCATCCCTCACAGCTTGTAACGTAACCAACTCCCCGCTAGTACCACCACCTCCCATCGCCGCAAACACCTCACCACATCTCTGGTAAATAAAACATATTTAAAGATTGTAACATAAACGCTTTTGGAACTAATGAAGATTTGAATGATCAAGAAACATTATAAATACTTGGCTAAACCCGTCGAAAGATTGGAGTCAAATTAACGATATCGTTAATTCAATATCCTTAAAAAAACGTCGCGAGCGCAATGATTATCACAAGTCAAATAATTATATATCTATAATATATAAAGCTTAATTTCTATATATATATAACTCAAAGTTGACTGACTGACATAGTGATCTATCAACGCACAGCCCAAACCACTGGACGGATCGGGCTGAAATTTGGCATGCAGGTAGATGTTATGACGTAGGCATCCGCTAAGAAAGGATTTTGATCAATTCTACCCCCAAGGGGATAAAATAGGGGATGAAAGTTTGTATGAAACTTTGTCTATTTTAAACCGATAGGGCTGAGATTTTGCATGCATAAAGCTACTATGACTTAAGCATCCTCTAAGCAAGGATTTTGATAAATTCTACCCCGAAAGTATTAAAATAGGGGATTAAAGTTTGTATGAAACGTTGTCAATTTTAAACCGATAGGGCTGAGACTTTGCATGCATAAAGCTACTATGATTTAAGCATCCTCTAAGAAAGGATTTTGATAAATTCCATCACCACATGAAACTTTTTTCACGTCACGACAAGTGCGCCAAAAATTCCCGCGTTTAATCTGTTCGTTGTTGTTATTTTTTTCATCAATTATTGTTGTTACTAAATTTTACTCTTCGATGCCGGGTATTTTTTCACAGTTATATAATGACGTAAATTATCACCCAGGCGCATTAGCAATTTGCGGAGATAACGCAATTAGTACACCTACGCAATCGCATGCTAATGCGAAACATTTACAAAATATTGTCAGTTTTATAGCAATGTTCCGCATGTGCTTTGTCACGCTCAATTATTAAACAGAAATAGCTGCGTCCTAGCCAGTACGGTCGAAAAGGGTCGTTAAACATACGCACATATTCCGACTTCAGGTCAACGGCCCCGTTAATTTTGTTTCTCAAAAGGTGTCAACCCTGTCATTATTCACATGGTTTCGCATTCGCAATCGAATGCGTCAGTGTACTGACGGCGTTGTACTCACCCGCGGGTACAGGTGCGCGGCGGGTGGTGGTACTCACCTGCAGGTACTGGTGCAACAGGTGGTGCGCGGCGGCGGCGGCCCGCTCGAGCGCGGCGGGCAGGGGCGGCGGGGGCAGCGCTGCGGCCGCCTGCGCCGCCAGCGCCGCCGCCGCCTCGCCGCCTGCCCACGCACGCTCCAACGCTAGCGCGCGCACCCTGTGCGACTGGGCACCGCTAGAGTTACCCGCTAACCTGCATCATACATATATATCACAGAACATAGAGAGAGATTAGAAGTATAATGATATTAATTTAGTATGGGAACCGAGTGTCGCCTCTCCGCACACAAATACAGATTAGATGAAATGATCATTTTGTTCACTACATGAAAAACCGCCACGCGATAGGTTCGCGATAACATAAATCAAATCCCAAAAAGATACTAAGCTAAGAAATCACACGATTAAAAACAAACTCTAATTCAACGTGATAATAAATAATTTACTTTAACATGAATGTTGAACTGTCACGTGGCTGTATATGGGGATACCAGAAGGAAAAAAATATTTTAAGATTATGCACATTTAAAAAAATTGGGGTCATCATTTTATGTGCGAACTATTAATATTAGATTTTGCTGTAACCAAGTGAATACTGAAAAATTAAGGCTTTTCCCTACATAATTTATTAAAATATCTTTTAAAAAACGCAGTACAAAAACTAAGAAAACTTAATGATACACTCTATCGTATGTCTGTGGAGTAATATAATTAAGCGAGGGAAAGTGTAAAAAAAAACAAAAATTAAGAAAACAACAGAATTTTTGTATTAATTACATTAAGCCTAATTTGTATTTTTTTCTTACTGGTATCATTCCGATTGTGCATATTAGTGATGTGACATATTAGTTGATAAAATAAGAGCTTTAAATTTTGTTATGAAACAGTTCAATGTAATTCAGTTCGACAATTTTCTACAGTGGTTTGATAGTAATTATTTAAAGCTTTATTCAAATAAAACGAAATACATAAAGTTTGCATTACCTAATGTGAGGCATGTTAATATACTTATAAATGTAAATAGTGAAAACGTTGAGATGGTGGAATCGACAAAGTTCCTTGGTATTTTGGTATATTGATAATTTGTCAAGTAGACTGAGTTCTGCAGCATTTGCTGTTAAGAAAATTAGACTCTTAACAAATGTTGAAACGGCAAGATTGGTATATTTTAGTTATTTTCATAGTGTAATGAATGACGTATAATCTATTGTTATGGGGTTCTGCGGCTAGCATTTATTTTTATTCTACAAAAGAGAGCTGTCCACGCTATATATAATTTACGGTCTAGAGAATCTCTCAGAGAAATATTTAAAGAAATAAATATTTTGACTGTTGCCTCTCAATACATCAATGAAAATATTATGTACGCAAGAAAACATTACGATTCCTTCACAAAAAAAAGTAGGTACAACCTCGTTACACACTAATAGGGTAGTTTCAGTAGTGAAAAATAAGTCACGAAATCGCACAGAAACCAAAATTTTGATCATAATAAACATAGTTTCTGAATTTGAGCCTTAAAATCGCACGATTGTCTTAAAATCAAAAGTCGTGATTTAATGTTTGTGTCATATGTATTGAAACACGACCCGCCATTGTGTGACGTCACTGTGGCGACGGCTGTCAGATTAGTCATAAAGATGCATCTGTTTAGTGTACATATCACAATGACGTCATGAATATGTTGGACAACGTTTTCGCGGGTATAAAAATATATTAAATTTTTGATTGCAGCAACCGAGTCGAGTAATAGTTTAATAGAATGTAGTAAATAGTGCGTGCTTTAAGATATACGAAATCGGAAAAATTTATTGCCTGAATAAATAATGCAGTAACAAACGACAAGTCTGTCTGTTAAATTTTCTATTTTATGTAGTTGAGACCTTGTATATAGCCGAAACGTTAAAACTCAACAAGGACTTCAGTTTACAATTTTATTTCAGAAAGAGAAGTTAGAAAGAAGCATGACGTCACTTTTACAATACGAAATACCAAAAACGTATTATCGTTGATGATTAAATATAATAGTTATATCACAGAATAATACAGTAGCGCAATTTGAGCAAATTCTGGAAATAAACACCTATGCCACATTGGAGCGTTAGGGTTGCCTTCTTATTGAAACTAGTTAGTCATAAAATAATATTAACAGGGCCTGATTAACTCCGAGCTAATAAGGCTGCAGCCTGGGGCACGACGATCAAGGGGGCGCTGAAATCTTGGCTTCGCAATCGTCATCGTTAAGCAAATTTCGCAAGGGTCGGTCACGTGATGGTTGACCAAAAAATTATTATCTCGAGTTACTCCGTGCTTTGGAGGGTTATGGATCATCCTCCTTAACCATCCATAAGGAAGGCCCGAGCCTCTGCTGTGGGGACGTAAAAGGGCTGTTGCTGGATACCTTTCGTGTAACTCCCGCCACAGTGTAGCGACACGTTCGCTAGCAGCGCGTCCACCGGCGGCGGCGTCGCAACCCGGAAACTCGACGCGACGGACGCTCACCGAACGACGGAGCGCCATCGCTATATCTGTCAACCCTGCCACGGAAACATTATCCTTCTTATTATATTTTATCTTTATCTTTGGTACTAGTAGACTGATAGGGGATATGCGTTTGATTAAAAAAAGGATTTAATAAAATTTATTACAATCATTATTGCTTTACAATAAAGTTTATGTAAATATTTCACAACATTAGTTCGTTTTCGTCTTAAAAAAATAGTGATAAATTCAAAATATTCAAACGCCATGCTACTTGTCAGAGCAGATGTGATGAAAAGGTGCACGAATTTAGGATGTCGTTAGTACAACAAGATAACATCGATGCAAAAATATCAAAGTATTATGTCGCAAAATAAAATCCAGATTACATGTAATTGTATTACATATTTTGAAGATACCGCATTTTTTTTAAGACGTAAACGAACTTATGTTGATTAAATTAAATTAAATGATGTTTTAGGCTTTTATTTTTATTTCACCAATTTGCTAAACTAACATCGATTTGTAGTTAATCGATTTGGGTAATTTGATAATAATCAATCGCTCAAAATCCATATTGACTGAAAATGTCATAGCTCTAGTCGTGTCGACAAGGACGCCAAAAATACCGGCGTTCAAATTGCTCGCAGTTGTTACTTGTTTTCATCAATTATTATCGTTACTAAAGTTATATTTTTCGGTGCCGGGTACTTTTTTTAGTTATTTAACTACTGTAATTCCTTTTTAAGGTATAACGATTAAGCTGTCCTAGTTGGAAAAAATCGTAGATCAGGTCTGATAGGTGTACCCGAGAAAAGTGATATTTGAGTGTAGACAAAACGTTCGTTCTTGAGTTCATCAAGCTACGCGTGACGGTTCGGTATAGACGCATTATGAGAAGACATTAAATGAATGTCACTAAGTAGAACCACTTCTAAAGTCGATGGAGAATAAGAGGAAGTCAGAAAGAAGCATAGATTGTATAAGAAATAGAAGGAGAGATCACGTGATCAAGATAATAATGACGCTATTTTGTTTTTATTGCGCCTTTACTTTAGTATTTCAAAAATTGATTATTCTAAAAAAAACATTTTAACCTCAATTAGACAATGACAGAATATGACGTCATAAGTGGAGACCTCAAACCAACATCTCATTGTAGCAGTATTTTCTACTCACCTTGTAAACTGAAAGCGTTTCGATCGATGTACAATGTGTGTAATGTACAATTACACTGTAAAGCTTTAGCCAACAATCTTGCGCCCGCGTCTCCTGCCAAGTTACCACCAACGTCCAATGAGCGAAGCCGACGAGCTCCACCGAGGGCATTCAATAGCCCGTATAAATCACCCTGCAATATTAATATTTTTGAGACATATCTTGATATAAATAGGGTTGATATTATGGTAACTCTATTATTTATACTCTATTATTTAGCTATCAACTTCACAGCATGTTAGGTTACTGTGTAATATTATAACATTCTACCAGTGAAAGACATTCAAATAACTTGAAGAATTTTTGAGCACTTTCATTAAATAGGGTAACGCATGTCAAAAGAAAAAGCTGAACACTTATATGATCACTCAAAATCGTGTCATCGTGTCATATATCAAATGAATGGTCTTATTGTAATAATCTTAGATATACTTTTTATATTAACATGATTCGAGAAACCATTTTGAAAGCCTGATTAACTATTGTGTGTGTTGTTATATATCAAAAGACTAAATTTACTTTTACAAATTTCTATAAAATTGTTAGCCTTTTAAAAATGACTTGTAAATTTTAACCATGCTGACCAGTAAATAAAAGAATGTTTAAAATCTCAAAGCTTATACACACTTAAAAGATAATAAATATTCACAACTGGAGGTGTATCTTTACATAACACAAAATTCTATTAAATACGAAATATTTATATAATATACAACAAAATAACGAATTTACCTTAAGTTTACAATCGCTGAGATCCAATGATGTCAAGGCAGTATCTGGTTCTTGAAGGACATGCACTAGAGCCTGTTATGGTAATCAAATTGTAAATTTAGAATATGTATATAATTTATGATTTACAAAAATCAATCAAAGAATATAGAACACTGCACTCACTTGTATTAAAGGTGGAGCATAAGACCTTTTGCCGGTCAGTCTGCTTAAAGATAAATGTGTTATAGAGTGGTTTTTCCCGATGGCTCTCACTATACCGGACAACTCAAATTCCATACCTAAAACATATTTTTATTATTAGAAGAATATATAAGATTATTATATATTGTTTTCTAATAAATTTAATATTTTTGACTAGGTTCTGGCAGTCGATAATTTCCTACATTGAGTTGTTCCATCTGTATTATATCTACTCTGTATTATAAATTTAATTTTAGTATAAATTTTCAGGTTCTTCTCACTACAGCTGTATAACGTTGATACGAGTTTTGGGCCTAACTACTATTACAAATAATGAAATTAGTGACGGCTGGCAACATACTCTCTTTGTGGAAGACTCTAAAAAGACCTATATTGTATTGCTTCTACAAATTATACATATAAGCGATGGCATATAAGTTCTAAACCGAGGGAGAAGGGCCATAATTATAAGAGCTGATTGATTAATCACTCCAGATGCAGCCGCGTTTAAAAGGTTACATATATATATATATGACAAATTTGTGGTCACCCATCCGGGAATCCACCTTTGCTAAAGTAACCTAGCAATTGCAATATCTCTAGCTCTTTGGGAAAGAAAGAATACTGACTGTTATCAGAGAGGTCCAGTGATTGCAGACAGCGAACTCCGTGGATACACGACTCTAGAACGTGTGCCGCTTGTGATGAAGATAGCACCCCTGATAGGTTTAACTGAACACCAGTAGCACTTTCGTTACATGCCAGCCCTAACAGTAAACTCCTAGAAAAGTAAAATTGCATCATTTTAAATGTAATAACTTTTATATGAACTTCTAGCTGAACTGAACTGACTAAATAAATAAATAATAATTATACATTTCGTTTATACATATGTGAGATATCATACATTTACAAGGCGAATACAGCCATTCAATACGGGTGTAGACAGTAAACGAAAATAAATACGTATTATTATTTTTCTGGTAGTATTTAATGTAATATTACAGATAAAAATATATATATATTATACTCGTTGTCACGTGACTGCAAACAGCGAGTGACGTCACGCCCCTCTTACTCATATCAGAACTTAGAGAATTAAATCGTGATATATTACACACTCACTTCAAGGCATCAGGAGGCATTTTGCAGTAGGAGAAGTCTAGTTCTGTGAGTGCTAAGCAAGCTGTGAAGAACTGTCTAAATGAGGGTGGAGGATCCTTAGGCCTTCTCACTGCTGACCACGGGTTACGACCCACGAGAAGTGATGACAGACGGGCTGCGCATCCCCGTAAAAGAGCACCCCACATCTATATGAACAATATCAAAATTTATTTATTTAAAACTTTATTGCAACGAACCGCAAAAGGTGGACTTAACGTCAAGGGCATTCTCTACCAGTCAAGACAAGATTTAAGAGCAAAACGACACGACAATTAAAGAATGCAGAAGTGCAAAAAAGGCAAAATACACTTATATTTTAGGTAAAAATAATAATAAACATTCATAACATTTAAATATATTAATACATACTTAATTCAAAAACTATGTAAACATATATAATTACATACATACAGCAATACAATAATTATACTATAAAGTCTTGAGAACATCTTGTCACTGTTTACGGGTAGCCCGATTAAAACACAACATTAAATTTTATAAAGTTAATCGATAAGAAATATTTATATTGTTAACTAGCTTTCGCCAGAGGCTACGCCCGCGTGGTCTAGGGAAATGTTTAGTGGGATAAAAATCCTATTATCTAAATTAGCTAATACCCTACCTGTATACCAAATTTCATCAAAATCCGTTCAGTAGTTTCGGCGTGATTGACGGACATACATCCAAACGAAGAAACTTTCACATTTATAATATTAATATGTCTGTCGGCCGGTTTCTGAATTGCGAAAAGTTCAAAATCTCAACTGATTATTCTTAATAACTTAAATTTTCCACATTTCACGAGTCGAAAAGACTTAGTTTTGTCAAACTGTTAACAACTGATCATTAAAACAACTAAAATCAGAAACGAAAACCTGTTTAAGTGACGCTCTTAATTTTAAATTCTCAATCCAGAAACCCACCCGGTTTAAATAAAACGACAAACTTACATTTTCTAATGTTGTTTCCGTGTTGGTTAGATTTAAATGGGTCAGGACGTTCGGTTGTGCGAGGAAGTTATACAGGTTCTGGAAACATATAAAATATTTAAAAAAAAAGTTTTTATACATACGTATCTGGAGTTCACAATAACACTATACAGATATATTACTTACATGAACATCGTCTTTCAGGTTGTTATGCGAAAGATCTAAATGAGACAACGTCGATAGATGGCACGGATTATCGTTAAGCATAGTTGCGAGATGCGTGACAGTCTTCCCAGTAAGGCCGCATTGCGACAGCGCAATGTATCTCAATCCATCCGGATTGTTCGCCAACCCAGACAGCACACTCATAGCTCCTGAGGAACACATTGTATCGTCTGAACAAACTGACAACATTCGTCTCTGACGATGAAAAATGTTTACAAATCACAATTACGTCAATGTTTTGAATCAATATTCTTACGTCATAGCAATCATAGATGATAGAATAATGAAATATATTTCTAAATAAGAGCGACTTTGTTTCTCAATACAATATAGATGAACGTAACATGTTGTAAACACATAATTTGGAACATCGAGGGCATACCTACGCGTTAGTTCTTATACAATCCATTCGAAAAGTACATTTGTATAAAAAAGAAACTTAGATTTTCCCTGTTACCACGTCGTCACTAGGCGACGAACGAAAAGATTATTATTTTTTCATCAATAACCTACTAATGTCCCCACGTTAGTACCCACAGCCGAGACCGCCTAACTCTCTAGTCATTGAATACGACATCTTAGCGAATATTATGACTATATTTAGTTTTGGATAACCACTCATATCATGATACGGATATAATTAAAATGACAAATTGAATAGTAAACAATGGTTACTATAGTAACATTTTAAATCACTATACAAACTTCCATTCCCATTTTCATCCCTTTATTTGCAGTTTTTCGGGATAAAATATATCTTCTGTTCACCGCATATGATGTAGCTTCCCGTAGTTAAAAGAATTGTTAAAATTGGTCCAGTCGGAGCCTAACGCTCGCATGTTTATACTTCTAAGAATTTACACTATGCAAGTGGGGACCATATTACAATCTGTTATACCCATAAACAATTTTAAAAACTACTTTGTAAACTAGCATCATAGTCAATTACAACAACAATCACGTTCTACAACAAACCTTGAACAGGATATTCGACAGGTTCAGTAGTCACTTTTATTTAAAATCTCCATCTATGCCATAGAATTACTATGCAGAGAAATTGAACAACCATATCATTAGTAAGTCTAATCATACACGCACGTCATGTATTACATGATTTGCGGTTACCAGCTGTTTTTCGGGATAAAATATAGCCTATGTTCACCGCAAATGATGTAAATTTTTTAAATCAGTAGTTTCGGAGCCTATTTGTTGCAAACAAACAAACAATCAAATCTTTCCTCTTTATAATATTACCTAATTAGTATAGACAACATAAAAATATTTTTACAATATTTGGGTTAGATAAATAAAAAAATATTTGAGGTATTAATTTACCGAAGAATCTGCTCAGTGCGTGTGGGATTTTCATGAAAAGAACTTCGTATTACCGAAAAACAAAATTAATACCTACCATAAAATATAAAATGTCATAAATATTCATGTTTAATTTGCACTACAATATTAAGGCCCAAGATAATAGTTAAGTTTATTCACTAACTTTTAACCAACCCAATGGGAATTGGGAATCGAACCCAGGAACTCGGTGATGGCGTCACCTTAAAACAGGTGAATTAACCTTACAACATATTACCCAACTACCATTAGAAACCAGATTGCGGCTCTTTATGTTTCTTTCATCATCCGCTTCGTCATTACAGGTATGCAATTTACATCCACGTGATTTTTTCCTCAACAGTCATCGTCAGCGTCAATGTACACACAAACTCAACGAATAAAATTAAATTAGATTCATTGATGTGATAACCTTATATTTTTAATGTAGTGATTATTTACTAAATTTCTCTTCAGGTCTGTAATCTGACATCTGATTTCTAATACCAGTCTTTGGCACAGTGTTAAACTTAATTTTTACGTGCTTTTATAGCACAATTCTTTTCTTATAATCCACTTTATACAAATTCAACCTGTCTATCCATTAATTAATTATGCATTTTACCATTAAAACGCGATTACAATTTCGAGTTTTTTGACGTCATGGAACGATATTGAATTTACAACAATGTCGCGGCATGCAAATCTAAAAACGTTTGTGCAGTACGATAAAGAGGTCAATGGAATAAATCTCTATTATTGCTGAACAATGGCAGCGGATGACGCGGACGAGTTTCGAGGTTGCGAACGATTTCCGACCCATACCTTCTTTTACTATTCATAAAATCAATCAAGTAAACCTTGAGTAACTTCAATATAATTTGCAATATAATCCATACTTAAATATTTCTGTAAGAGGCAAGCTTTTCTTTTAATCTTACTACTCTTTTATATTTTAAAGATGTTTAATAAAAAGTTGATTATCTTTGTTTAAAAAAAAACTAACTTTCCGCCAGCGACTTCGCCCACGTGGTTCCTAGGGAACTGTTTAGTGGGATATAAAGTAGCCTAATGTTAATCTAGGCCAACAATTTAACTTAAAAGTTTATTTGGATAAGGTTTCACAATGACAAATCGAATAGTAAACAATGGTTACTATGGTAACGTTTTAATTCCCTATACACATTTCCACTCCTATTTTCGTCCCTTTATTTGCTATTTTTCGGGATAAAATATAGCGTACGTCCACCTCATATGATGTAGCTTCCCGTATGTGAAATAATTTTAAAAATCGGCCCTGTAGTTTAGGAGCCTATTCGATGCAAACAAACAAATAAATCAAATCTTTCCTCTTTATAATATTGGTATAGATATCTGCAGCTATGCATTTGTGACTGTCAAAGTAGAAGAAATTTTTTTATAATTTTTAGTGTAAGGCACACTACTTTCTCACGTGTAGCATAGTTATTATCTATTTATGTCAGTCTATTTCTATTTATTTTGTCAACTTCACTATCTAAACCTACCACCAAATTTTTAAATATTTTGTATCAATAGAACACATAGGTAGTAGAGATAGGTTTTCAACAGGAGATCTGACAAGTTTCTAAAAAGTATTTTAAACTAATCATTATGGGCGCCTATTCCCACAACAAAATAATATTTTATGTGAATAAACCGCATTATGTACCCAAAACTAAGTTAAAGATTTACTATTTAAAAAAACCTCGAAAACGATGTCATTAGTTAATCATCGTCTGCAGTCATTTATAAATTTAAAATTTAAGTAGGTCACTTCAAAGTGGAAACTATTTTGTTACGAAAACTCTTTTACTGAAAAAGAATATATCACTTGACAATTCATGTCAAATATTTTCTCGGCATTTTCCGTAGGATTTTCCTAATTAATTTACACTACAATGCCCCGAAATTTATCCATTAACAAAGAGCACAAATAATCGCATTACACAATGATGGTTTGAATATTAGTGAGATTTCTAGAGAATTAAATGTGTCGGTAAGTATTATTATGTCTGACGTGAGTTTAATGTAAAATCTCAGACCAATCCGAGTGTAAAATTTTTTTTTATTTCTGTTCATATTTTATTTTTGATTATAGAGACAAGCTGTCCGTCTTTGGATAAGACGAGAAAGCGAGGAGGGGAATTTGAACGCTCGGAGTCGTAGCGGTCGTAGACCTGAAATATCAGATACTCAGCGAGTCTTCATGAGACGGAGTTATGAGGAATCTGGCTTTATACCAACGCGTTATTTTGCCGACATATTTGACGTGACTCTCCAAACCATTAGAAACCATTTACATTACATGGGCTTACATCACAGGCGTTATGCAAAGAAAATTTATATGACTGACGCTCATAGAATGGCCTGATTAAATTTCGCCATAGAATATTTGGATTTTGATTGGAGTAACACTGTTTTCTGTGACAGAAAACTTTTAAATCCATCAACACGGGCGTCTACACTTTGGCGAAAATAAAACGCGATACACGCAAAATCATGTCGTGCCAAATAGAGAATCGGGTCGTATCTCGGTAAATTTGTATGGATGGATGACTGCTGATGGTGTTGGAGACTTGACCTTTTTGCCACCACGAGCAACGGCATCAGATTATGTTGATGTTCTCCAAAATGCTATGTTGCCATCCGTCCGGAACGTTTATCCAGAAAATGAAATGCGTCAATTTAATTATTTACAGGATAACTGTCCCTTACATAAAGCAAGGGTAACACGTGCTTGGTTTGATGCACATCCGGCAAATAAACTTGATACCATGGCCTGCAAAATCGCCAGATCTCAACCCTATTGAAAATATTGGGGTCTTATGGTTCAGAGATGGTGTAACCGTAATGAACGAACAGCAGAAGCACTACAAGGGCACTGCAATGAGGTTTGGGAGGAAACACGTGGGTCTGATATCTGCTCAAGACTGGTGGGCTCGATGAGGGAACGTCTCCAAGCTGTTATAGAGGCAGATGGCGGCTACACAAGATTTTAAGAATTATAATTTTATAAAAGAATTGTATATATTTTTAACAACCAAAGAATTAGCATTTTCACTATCTCTTCTAGTTTTAGCCCTTGTCTCGCACTAAGCTATGGGTCGGCGCAATATGTTTTTCGTCGCTATTCATTTCTGTTATCCGTTATCTCAGTATATTCAGACCTATAACACGCATAGCTTTTTACGCATAGCATTTCACTACCTACTGATTTTTTTTATTTGTATTAAAATATAATTAATCTACATTCTAATGTAGGATATTTGTAGACTATAAGACTTTATTTACGATATTCTAACTCTAAAGTATTTAAACATACAAACAGACAGACAGAAAAAAAAATATTTTTGGCTTCTATTAGTCTTATGAAGGCCGTCCATATATTTTTTTTCCAAAATATCTTACAAATGTAACCTTGTTACATTTTTATTACAGGTATAGATAATTACTGTCAAAGGTTACGTCAATATGATGAAGATAGCGATAATGACGTGTACTTGACGTGTCAAAAAATTAATGCTACGGAAAATAAAAATAAAACAAATTTAATGTCAATTGGTCGCTCCGTTTGTAAGTATTATTTAGAATAAGTTTTTAATTTCCGCTAATATAGCTCCCAATAATTAATCTAATTTGAAGTTATAACTGGTGAAAAAATAGGGGCGCTTAAATTTTTTTTATTCTCAAAGTGGGCAATAGACGTAAGTTTGGGAACCCCTGCAATATAGTGACATAATATAAATTGTGACAAATGAGGAGCTGATAAGCTAACAACCCACCCTTGTCCTCGATGTGGTTCTGCGAGAAGTCAACGGTGTGCATGGCGGGCGGTCGCTTGGCGCGCGCGAGCGCGTGGCCGAGCCTGGCGGCGTGGTCGTGCCGCAGCGTGGCCGCGCGCCAGCTGAGCCGCTGCGGCGCGGGCCACGCGCACCTCACCACGCGGCACACGCCCTCCCACGCCTCGCCGCCCGCGCGCACGCCGTCCCCGCACACGCCAGTGAACCAAGTGTTGTGTTGTAGTGCGATCACCAACGGTATCAGGTCCCTGCCGAATCAGGGGCGTGTTTACTATGCCGCTAAAGGACCTGTTCGTTGATTTTCAATTAACATAACATTTACATAAAGGTTTTCACTTTGTTTGTAACCAAATGTACATTTTTACAGATCTAATAATAAACAAGGTTTAGCGTCAGAGTAAATTTACGCTTAAATTGCAAATTTAGTATTAAACCTTCTAGGAGTAAATATTGCTCCCGTAGAACCTTATACTAGGTTAACCTTTGCTAAATCTTTGTTTAATGATATAAATTTTGACTAATACTCAGAGCAGTCTTAGCGTAAATTTACTAAAACGCTAAACCTTGTTTATTAATAACTAGATAAGGGTTTAGATGTTAAAAAAGAAAATAGACTTAACTTTCCTTCCCCCAATCTCCGAAAGTACTGGGCATATTTTGAGATTACATAGTAGGTCTCCTGCCTCATGAGTTAAAGGAAACAACAAAAACCTTTTGACTAGTATAAGTAAAATTTTATCATGCAGTATATTTATGTGGACTGAGAATGTCGGTAATACCCTTCACAGCATAGCCGCCCCAAGACGTTAAGTTTAATGCAAGTCTTTTAATGTAACGCTGTTGGTTTCAAATAAATAAATAAACACTTTCATTAGTAAAAATAGTGTAGAAATATGTCTTAAACATATTCCAGACTAAAAATTGATATACATACCTTTGATCTAAATGATCAAAATCTTTTAAATGTAGCATTCTGATGTCATGTGCTAAATATATCGTATCTATATCCCACGCCACTTCAGCTCTAAAAAAAGGAAATTTGTTACACTTAGATATAGAATATACCTTCTTTTGTACAGAAATTTTTAATATCTACACCCAAATTATTATTACTTAAGCAATTAATGTTAATTAGTAGAAAAAAAAAATAATTCTTTACCTAAAAGGTGTTTGACAAAGATCGCACATTGCGGCGTATTGATTAGAAAAGTCCCCACATGTGGAATGTTTACGAGTACCACTAACAGATGGAAGTTGGAAGGGAAGATTGACCTGTTAATAAAAAAAAAATGTTAGTTGAACAAGTGAAATATCTGATTTACTGAACTATTAACACTTGATATTCATTAGTCCTTATCCTGTTCAGCACGCCATATAGTTGTCAAGCAATAGACTAACGAAAATTAAAGCGGAAACACATATTTTGTGTCGTATTGTGCTATTGTTGCCGCTGTCGCGTTATTTCATACATTAGAGTTAAACAGATATATTTCTGTCGCGACACAAAGGAATCTGATCAATGTATGTGATGTTGTTTAATATTTATTTTATTAAAAATATACCTACAAATGTGCGTCTAACCATAATCCTATTAATATTATAAATGTGAAAGTTTCTTTGTTTGGATGTTTAGATGTTTGTATGTTTGTACGTCAATCACGCCGAAACTACTGAACGGATTTTGATGAAATTTGGTATACAGATAGGGTGTTAGCTGACTTAGATATTAGGATACTTTTTATCCCACTAAACATTTCCCTAGGGTCCACGCGGGCGAAGCCGCTGGCGAAAGCTAGTAAATACATAAAACCGATATGCTTCTTTCACGCTACAACATAAAACGACATAAACATGTATTTCTGCCTTAAGCATTAAAATATGTAAAATTGATGTAATGAAAAATAAGAAATATAAGAAAAACATATGAAATATGTTGATTTCATGTATTTCAAAATTAAATGCTGAAATAATAAGCGAAAATACGACAAAGGAATAATATGTCAAAAATTAAAACTTGTTAAAGTGAACAAGTTTAATTAAATGCATTCAGTCTGACGCCCTCGTTTCAGCTCAATTGGATAGATTAATGAATTTAAAAAAAAGCTTTTAACTCTGCTATGAACTAACCTTGGATATAATATCCTCCACAGCTACATTCGGAAACAAGTCATCAAAAGCTGCTACCAATGCATGTAGCACATTTGAAAGTCCCTCTGATGTACCTTCTTCCCCTGTAAATAAATTTATTTATAGTCTAAATCAACTAATCGCCAACTGTGGGCTGTGACAATCTTGCTCTGGATACTTAATTTCTATGTCAGTAATCCTCTATAAAAAAGGTTTAAAAAGTATTTTAAGTACAATTTCAGTTTAAAAAAAAAATGGTCACACCTATCTAATTACACATTTATCTAACTCAAACAGTGTCAATGACAATAGCAGTCACTGTGATTTGTAGTAAACAATAGATAATATGATACAGAAGTTAATTACCTATGAGAATCGATACTGGTTTGTGTTCATGGATCAAAGTAATTGACAAATGGTTTGCCTTTTTACTTTCCAGTGCCTCTATTTCCATTAAGTGAAATCCATTATCCACCTGTGGGTGCAAAACAGGCATTAATCAGAATGTATTACGTTATACCAACTAATGAGAAACTCAATGGCGCAGTGAATAGCATGCTTGATCTTGTTGTTAAGCAACTGTGACCAAAAAAATGTATTGTCTCTAGCACCCCCCTGTTTCACAAGGAATGTTAAGCCGTTGGTCCCGGCTACATCTGCACTCATTAATGACTCTTTTAAAAACCATTATCATTTTAAATCATAATTAATTTCATGATACAAGGTAATATTTTAGGCAATATAACTTACCCTTGTTGGTACTTTTGTAGTTGTAATAAATATTCTATAGGAAGTCACAATCTGAAAGGCAGTCAAATTTTGTAGTTCAATGTGTATATTCCCATAAGTGTACTTCCACATTTCTTTAAATGAGTTAAATATATCATTTATTAGAAAATTAAAAACTATCTTGATTTTGTAAAAATTGTCAGTTGTGCACCATCACACTGACACTTACTCCACAGACAGTTTTAATTTGAAATTTTATGATATTAATAACATAATAATTTATTAAGAAAGGAGTTATTATTAATGGGTAATATATTATTTTTTCATTATAGTATGATCAATTTGCATTTTAGTTACAACATCTAAAAATATTGTTAACTCAAGCTCAATTTAAATTTGTGTAACAATAAGTACTTGAAATTATGTTGTATACAAAAGTTAATGAAGTCAATGGTTTTTCTGATTGAATATATATATATATATATATATATTGTTTTATATAAATATGAGGTTGGCAACCCTGGTAAATAAACACAAATAATAAATCACAAATAAATTATATCAGACACAAATTTTGATTACATAAAAAAATATTCTAGCAAATATGAATACTGAATTGGTTAATACAATTCAAGAGGCACACCTAAATGACTCATGCTATTGTTCAATGTTTATCTGTTTGTGTCATTCTTTATATTGCCCACATGCTTTCCAATAACAAAACAAATTCTAAGTATTGACAACTTAATTAATAAATCACTATTCATTGATAAGTTTTATTGCCAACCATTAATAATTAATGTTTTCATTTATTACGAGAATTACTTGTTTTAATAAAATTATTTATAACTTGTAGAGAGAATTTATTAAAACATATAGAAAAAAAAATTAAATAGAAGAAGAATATTTATAACATTATTTTTTATATTCTTAATCTGACCTTTATATAGTAAAGCTATCATATTGTATGAATATAAAAGCCTCAACCTTTAACACATTCCACAAACCAAAAGTTTGGCTTTGTTGTTGCTAGTTACATTAGTCCTGAATCCTGATTATTTACAATAATATAACTTTTTTATAAATTTAACTTAACATCAAATAAATAGTAAGGAGGACAGATTATCAAAGTAAGTGGTACTGAATCTAATTGAAATTGTTATCTCAATTATAATAATATGTAACTGTTGCAATTAATTTATTCCTTACCAAAACTCTATTGTCCACCTTGTCACCCCGTGACTCCATACGAATAAGGGATTTATACAGAATTCGAACATTTTTCCCGAGTACATTACTAATGCTTTCTGTAATAAAAATAATAAATTTCAAGATCACAAAATATTTATGTCTGGGATTAGTGAATTTGATGGGTTTTGATATAATCGTATAAAAAAACAACGAACCGCTTAATTCTGTAGATATTTGTGATTTTGTTGACATTTTCGCAATTTTCTTCAGTGTCATTACTACAGCAATTTGATAATTACAGAGCACACAACACAAACACTATCGCATTTTAATAAAATTATATAATGAAACTAGGTGAATTTATCACTGTTCACAGGTCAATTGCTGAATCCATTGAAACAAATCTAACAAAAATTATTGACCTAAAACGTCCGTGCTGTGACAGTCTGACATCTACACACAAACACACACCCTATTTTATTACAGACAGAGAGTAAAATTTATTATAGTATATGTATTATGACGACTTGTGTCTAACAAAGATCGTATCGTATGATAACCAATGTAAAAAAAGTAAATATTTGCTATTTGTATTCCATTCCCATTGATCCGATAGCAGGTAATTTTTAGTGTTTTATTAGTAAAAAAAATATCCATGGTAGGTCAATATGTATACATACCTATATTTATCATAGATATAGTGTACCAGCTATTTATTACTCCCTCTTTACTAGAAATGGATTCCTTTGCCCAATATAGTATTTGACATTTATAAAAACGACTGTCTGTGTCATGTGTCAGATCAGCAGGTTGGCTATTGTTTGTTTCTCTTGTTACATATTTCTGTGAAAACGAATAATAGTAACTGGTGTGTTTGTTGTGCTTAAAAAAAGATAAATTATTATTTAAAGTATACAAATTATTTGCTGAATCTGTCAATGATAAAGAAATGAATAAAAACTATGAGAGATGTACTCATTGCAATCGTAAAAAATGGCTTACTACTGGTTGTCTTCGCAAATGGTTGAAACCAATGGAATGTAAACACCCACAGCGAACTATTGATAATAAAAGAGATTATAATAACACAGACATAGTAAATTGTGTATTTTTACCCGATCGCAAGTCACCAGTTAACAGCAATAAATTGGTAAAATTCTGGAAAAACAAGTTGTTTATTACAGGTAGTGTAAGATCTCTGCAAAGGTATTTTGGAAATAAGAGCAATGGCAACGAATATATGTGTAACTTGAACAAAAGAAATTATCCGTCAACATCTTCCGAAAAACGTATTATTGCTCATTCTAATTCTGAATTGAAAGAAATTGTAGTAACCAAAAAAGAAATGATAAAATGCCATCATGCAGATGGACATTTAGTCCTTCGAGGGCATCACCAACACACTTCACTCGAAACATGTGCTATCTACTGTCAATTATATAAGTAATTACCTTTTGACTACTTTTGTTTTTTATGTGTTTAGGGTTTAACTATTATTAAAACACCTTTTTTTTATAGACATGGGTGGTACTGGGGAGGCATAACTTCAAGTGAAGCTGAAGAGCTTTTGGCTGGGCAACATGATAATGTATTTCTTGTAAGAGACTCGTATGATTCTAGACACATATTGTGTGTCTCGTTTAGATGTGTGGGTCGTACATTGCATGCTCGACTTAGACATGCAAATGGTCTTTTCTCTTTGAATAATGAAACATTTGTACCAGTAAACAGGATATCTGAACACTGTGCTGCTGTAGATGTTAAATCTAATTTATTTGAAATGCCAGTAAAATTAGCAAGACCATTAAACAGGTAATTATGCAAAATTAACAATTCATGTTCATTGTATTGTATGCATATATTTTTATACATATTTTCCTCTTTCAGTTTGCAGTGTTGTTTCAATATTCACTTGACAATAGGACTCTTAAAACAATTGCCATTTTTCAATATACTATTGAAAAATGTAGGTACCTATAATGTGATGAGATAATGCTAATGTATGTTTGTTAAAATATTATTTTGTTTTCTATAAAAAGTGATGTACACAATTTTAATACAAGAAATAAAAATAAATTAACGGTGCCTGTCACTAGACTGCAAAAAGTTAATAACTCATTCAGGGGTCTTTTTGTGCACTTCTACAATAAGGTCCCAAACAAAATACAACAATTAGATACCATGCAGTTTAAATCTACTATTAAAAAAATCTTAATAAAAAAGCTTACTATAAGTAATCCAATTATATAACAAGAATACTTGGAATACTTGGACGTAGATGGTCCAGCAACTGGATAGGTGATTTCTTCTAATGTCTCCTCTACACATAGACAGATTCATCTGCAGATGACGTCGGCAGACGCGTCCACCGACGTGTAGAGGGGGTGATTTGCTCACTGTGGTAGGTATTTGACGTCGGCAGATGCGTCCGGCACTTATCCGCGAGTTGTCGGTTTTTGTGGCACGGATCAAAGGGTTCCTGGGCAAGCGATCGACGCAAGCGAGCGGTCTGTCCACACGTCTGAAGACGCATCAGTGTTCATCGGGAAGCGAATGAGAGTGTACGCGTGATTATTACAGTTTTTTTGCGTGTTAAAATGGCTAACATGAGCACTGAAGAAACTTTTAAATTTCTGGAGCTGTATCAAGCAGAGAACTGCCTGTGGAATCCAAACGGTCTCGATATCCATTTTGCGTGCGTACGTGTTGCGTCTGACGAGAACCAACACAGACTGATCGACCTTCAGACGTGTGGACGGTTCGTGGAGATTCATCTGCGGATGCGTCCGCCGATGTCCGCAGATGAATCCGTCTACGTGTAGAGGAGACATTAAACTCATTATAGCTCAAAAATTATCTTGTTTCCATTATAATTAAATTATTATGTTATCATTATAAGACAATAGCTTTTTTTCTTTATTTATTATGAATGAATCTGGTAATGACATTGTTTTTGTGAATGTTATTACTTCTATTGTCGACCTCCGTAGCCGAGTGGTTCGCACGCCGGTTTCAAGGTGTCGCCATCTCTGAGGTCCCGGGTTCGATTCCCGGTCGGGTCAATGTAGAAAATGAACTTTTCTATATTGACTCGGGTCTGGGTGTTGTGGTACCTTCGTTGTCTCAGATACTCCATAATACGGGGGCTTTAGCTACTCATCTTGGAGTCTGAGTAATGTATGTGATGTTAAATATTTATATATATATAGCATACCTGTCCTCCTACCTGTCCTCCTATATTAGAGCTAGTGAGTTTCTTCTTAACAGTCTAAAGACTCCTGAACAAGTGGCAGGGAATAAATGTTAGACGATTCAAAAGTACTTTTAAGTCTATTTGAATAAAAATTATTTTGACTTTAACATACATTTCATATACACAATACTATAAGTAGTATCATCTATCAAACAATGGTTATATTCCATCTCTTCTTTATGAAAAATAAAAAGTACTACTACATAAGACTTTATAGGCAAGTCACTGACATAATATTATTGTTTCTTTTTTTTTAGATTTGCAAGACTGGATTCATTACAAATGATATGTAGATTTGTGATTAGGCAGACTGTTACAGCAAATGATTGGAGCAAATTACCTTTACCACCCAATTTAATATCTTATGTGGCTCAGGGAAGTGATTACATAGTACCTTCATAGCAAATGAAAATATTATGTGCCTTCAAAAACTTCATTCTCAGCATATATTGTAATCCTATTTACACATACTGGACTGTAATTTATAATGTGTAGAATAGAAATGTTTATAAATTTTTATACAAAACAATTATTTTAATAAAATTTGTTTGTACCACCATAATTTTGTTCTTTATACACACTAATAAAACAAGAGACTTAACATGTAAATGTTTTGTTTATTAACAGCAAAATATTTTATATACTTGTTTATACTATTTATAAGCTATAATTAAATTATCACTTCAATGTGTTAATACCCAACATGTTTTTGGCCTGAAAGAGAAAAGATTATATTAAAACAGGATATCAATAGAAATATTGTAGAAAAAAATAATAATAAATTCAACTTATAATTATGTGCCAGGACTTACTTCATGGAGTGGATGCGATAAGTATACTGTACAACTTTTACTAATGGACCAAAGCTTAAATTCATCTGCTACATGAAGTTCTGGCACATTATAATATTACACATTATATATGAATAAATTACAGTGTGTAATTAGTGGTACAGGTAGTGGACAGCCACATTGTTTACATATATCCATAAACAAAAATTGTATACAGTAAATCTATAAAATTTAAAGGTGAGTTAGATTAAAGGAAATACCGTCACAAAAGCAGCAGTCAGTGTTTGTGGAGCAGCAGCCACTGGGTTTAAGTTCAATGCCGTTTGTATGAGTTGAGCATCTCGGATGCGCGAGGACACGAAGTTTCTAGTTTTACTAAAATCTGTGCTATTGTCAGTCAAATAAAATAGTTCACTCGCTTTATAAATGCCAGCTAATCCCACACGCCGAATGTACCAGTTGAACTGAAAGTATAAAATTAAAATATAATTGTATATATTTTGTTCAGTAATACTCGTATTATCATAAAAAGCAGAAAACTATAGGTACTAGTTTTAGCTATATCGTAAGAAGCTTATGTATAATCATTTTAAACATCATAATCACGATTTCATTTGATATACAGAGTGGACTTTTGAGTCGGGGCAATATGGACCGGAGATCATATTGATAACTTAACAAATACCTCTCTTTCATATTGGTAATTATAACTTTTTAGGTCCCTTATGGTCTTCTCTTAAAATTCCATCCTGTATAAGTTTTTGTTTTATTTTTATACACTTACATCAACGCTTCGATCACCCGAATGATAACAAATATCGTCCACTAATGAAAGCAAAGTAGCTAAACAGTTTGGTACATTATTTGGCAGTGCTTGAATTGCCATTGCTTTAGGCCACGTGCTCCTAAAATAAAATTATTAATTTGGTATTTTGGAAATCAAACGATTGACGTCTTTCGTCTATTATTTATCTTTACATAGTACAATATACAACAAAGTTTTCCCTTTGTCTGTTCACTAAAATCATTTAAAGTACACAACGGATTTTGATGCTATTTTCATCAATATGCTAGCGAGTCCGGGCCCACCTTACACCCCCCACCCCCCTCATGCTCACAGGAGAAATCAGGTAACTGAATCATTGGACATTTTAAAACAACTGAAGTTAATTAAGTAGCTCGGTGCCGCGGTCCACGATCGTTGTTGTTAAGCAGCTTTCGCAGGGGTCGGTCACAAGATATGTAACCAAAAAATTGTTATCTCAAGCAACCCTGTGCTTCGAAAGCACGTTGAGCCGTTAATCCCAGTTGCAATCGTTAATACCCTCCAATCCGCATAGGGTAATGTGGAGGGTAATGGCCCATCGTCCTTAACCACCCATAAGGAAGGCCCGAGCTCCTGCAGTGTGGACTTAAAGACTTACGATGAAGTCAATTAGCTAGGTGCCTATGCACTTCTCAAGGAAATACCTATGCCACGCTTAACTACGTAATATTAATTGAAAAGCCGTGCTTTCCTGTCTGATAGCCAGGTGACACTAAGGAGAAATGCCGTTTATTATCGTGATAATGTAAGTAATGATTGGAGTGATAATTAATGGCATTTCTTTTTACGGTGACCTGGCCATGGCCTATGTGAGCTGCGTGTGTGCTTTTTGTGAAACGTGGACAAGATAGCCTTTTATTTTACACAATACAGAATAAATACACTCACTTGTAAGGTTCTATCATAAGAAGCCGGGTCATTATAGCATTCTCTATAAATTTAGATGGTACCTTATTATCCTTTAAATCATCTTTAGGCCACTGTAAAAAGTTTTGGAACCATGAATAATTCAATTTAAATAATTATTAGCAACCACAACTGAACTACTTTACTTACACTCTTCATCTGCTCAACTAAATTTTCGTTACATTTGACATTGAAGTAATGAACTAGATCACCCCCTCCATTTGGAAATAAACCATGTGTTATACCAGGATACCCTGCTGATTCTGCACCTGCACTAAGTGATTCGACAGACCAACCAGTTTTTGGTACATATTCTAAAGCTCTAAGTAAGATGCGATTTTTAATACTCTCCTCATATTGATGCTCTTCATGCTCAGTTGATACTGATATTGCTGGTGACTTAAGTTCTTTTGCCTCTGTATCTTGTTTACTTTGGCTATAATTTCTTAATACTCTTTGGTTTTTGTTGACAGGAACTGATGCAAGAGGTAAAATATATCTGTGTCCATTCCTCACAGCTGTTAACAAAACCAATAACAAATTTTCTTATGCTATTCATTATAACATTATTTTTAATTGATAAATATTCATATACAATATATCTACCCAAAGACAGTTTATATGGTCAACTGAATATAAAATTAAAATCAAATCAATGCAAAGAAATAATTTATTGTAAAACATAATCAACAATCACAATCCATGCTAAGAGTTTTCATTTTATTAACATTCATGCATTCTGACAATCTTGCTAAAAGACCCTCTATCAAATGAAAAGCATTAAGAGCAGATTGTATGATATCCTTCTTATTTTCCATAGGTATGTTGTCTAATACATTTCCTCCTACGTTTAAAGATATGTCAATCTTGTTTTCAGTAAGTTTCTTTCCTTCTTCTATGTCCTTAAGTTTAACTTCATAGTGGGCTTTTGACATATTTAGACCTATTCTCAAGTTTTCCAAATAATCTTTTTCAATAACTGGATAACAATCCCGTATTCCAGTCCTGTTCTCAGTATCCTTGATTGATAAGAACCTCAGAAAATTGAGCGCTGTTATTATTTGATCAGCCAGTTCCATTAAATCAGACTCAGCACCATGAGGCAAATGACAAATCTTTTTTATCATATTTTCAAACTGGGCTCCACTGAAACATTCATCTAGAATAGGGTCTTTAAAAGCTTGATCTATGGAATTTTTGTAAAGAGTAATAAGATAGCCAATCATTCCTGAATGGTTAGTTGTCTCTATCAAATATTTTATAAGCATGCATCTGCCTTTGTATCCAAATTTGTTGATGTGAATGCCCATCAAATTTACTGCACTTTTACGTATAGGCTCATAAACTGAATATATGGCCACATTAGATAAACCTTTACATAAATCAAAATGAGTAGATGATGAGAGTGAAGTGTGAGGAATATTTACTGGCAATCGATTCAATACTGTTTTGCAAAGAGCAATAGCTTTATTAAGAGGGCCATATTCAGTAAAACTTAGTAAATGATTTATTGCCAACAATAGCAAATGGACAATAAATTCAATACTATAGACTTGTGGAATAACATCATCTGGGATATCAAAATGTCCAGAAAAAGCAACATAGGCCAGCCCTGAAAGAGTAGTCATATTTATTTTCTCTCTATGTTCATAAGGATCAACTTTTTCATCGGTACTAACATCATGTTTCAATTTAGATTTCTTATTCATCTCTTTATAACACACTTCCAATAATTCTATTATTTGGTAGATATTTTTTTCCAGTTTGCAAATATCATTTATGACAGTGCTGCAACATAGTCTTGCTTCACTTTTAGCATTAATGTCTGGATCCATATCAATATATATTAAGGGTTTCCCAAGTAAACTTATAAGAAATGTACTAATTATTTGTTTAGTTTTTCTATTATTTTCAACATTTTTGTCCACTTCAGACAATTCAGTAATAAATGGGGCATAAAAAGGAGGCAACATAGTGTACACTCTAACTATTCTTCTCACATTACTATCTGAATCTAGCAACAAGCGTTCTTTACCCTCCAAGTGGTGTTCAGGGATAGGTATATTTTCAATATATGTGCTAATAGAGTTAAGGCACCATTCTAATGAGCTCCCTCTCTTAATTGATAACTTTTTTAGGAGCTGTTGTAATGGTCCCAAAACAAGACCAAATTGTGCATCATTTTTAGCAACTTCAATCTGTTCAATGAATTCTAATAGACCTTCTTCAGGTAAGGTTTTTTGAATTATAAGATATAATAGTTCTTCACAGGCACCATACAAAGATGGTTTGATAATAACAGTATCATCTTTGATTTTGCTTATTATAATAGAAATAAGGTCCCAACAGTTATCCTTAAAACTATCAACATATTTTTGCTCGTTTGGTACACTAAGAGCTTCTTTGTATTTACCCGCATCCAATAATGAAGAAATATAGTCAATCATATCAACGTTTTGTTCCATGTTGCTGTGAAAACAGAGTTCGTTTTTCCAATTTTCATAGAACTCTGAAATTAAGTAGTTACTTGTGGTATATTATGGTACTACTTCTAACTATTGCAAACTAAAAGCCTCTTAAATCTAATAAGAATATAAATCATAATTTATCAATGACGCATGATACTCACAACGAAATACTCTCTGCAAAAGAGTCATATTATGTGTCAGCAATAGTATATTTGATTTTAGGTGGAGATAGTCACTTCTAAAAAAATCTAAATGATATTGAATGTTGGATAAACCACCACCAAATCATAAAATTTTAGCTGATATTTTTTTGCTAAAATCAAACGAGCAAACATGCATTTCATTTGACACACTTCACATCATTCACAATGACAGTACCACGAATGTCAACTTAAACTGGATTGCGTACTGATATATTTCTTAAAATCAAACTTACACTTTATCTAATATAAAATAAGGTTTATTTTTCTATGTCACATTTCAGAGTAGAAAAACGGTCTACTAGAGATATTAGATTTGTAGTAGTAGGTCCTTGTCTAACGAGTTGCCATTGGAAAATTAAATAATTGTTATTGGCAATTAGGAGATTTTATTGATTTTTTAAAGACATCACTAGGTAATTTTAATTATTATCTATTAGTAAATATATTGAATAGACATAGTTGATATGTTTTTTAAGTAAAAGTGTGAATTAATTAAAATTATAATGTAAACCGATGTCGTGTTAGTAGTTTTTCGTTACATCTAAGTAGCAATATTATAAATTAATATGGCCGCTCGATGTGACAACATAAACAATGTTAAAGTTTACTGTTTATTTGTGTTTTGACTTACTAATTCGATTATTTACATCAAAATGGTATATTGTTTTGCTTGGCTGATTGCAAAAATGAATGGTATCACGAATGTGACTTCACATTCCACAGTTAAGCTGTTTTCCTTATTTATTAAACAGTGATGAAATAGGGTGTCTACGATCAAGAAACAAAACCATATCAAAGAGGCTTTGATTTAAATTAATATTCATACGTTTATATTATAAACATTTATAAGTTTTACTTACGCTACCCGCCATTCTTCGTTATCAATATTTTCACGGTAGGTACAAAGTTATTTGGAAAACGAAAAACGAGAACTAGCTTAATTATGTTTTGGAAAATATCGGAATGGCCTACACATTAGTTTGGATAAATATTTATAAAGTAATAATTTTCTTATGCTGACCATGACAAAATTGCTCTTATGTTTCTAGGATCTTAAAGGATAAAAGTCTAGCTGAAAAATGGAGGACAATAATACCAGGCAAAGTGATCCGTTGTATTCTAATACAATTAATAGGAAAAAAAAACATTTTCATCCTTTTAATTGATTTATACATTATAGATGATTATAATAACATTTATGTACTTGTTTTATTTCCTACAAAATAAATATCTTTACCGATAAATAAAAACTAATTTATCGGTTAAATTTCTAACATCATCATTCATAATATCTGTAAAAATTTATAAAATTATATCTGTAAATGTTTAAATTTGGTCATGTAAACATGATTAAATATTACCTATTTATGAAATTATTAAAAACGCGTGGACATCCTACAAAACTACTAAGACAGAGATGAAGAGTTACTAATTTACTCTCTCACTCTGCCCGTTTTTAATGAAACACTGCACAATCCAGTTTAAATTGACATTCGTGGACAGTACAGATTAACAATATGCACAGACTTATAAGAGAACTAGTTACAATATGTATGTAGTTAATTGACAGTTGATCGAAGAGTACTTTAGTAATATAACTCCGAAAAATTGTAATGAGGAAGTATAAAACTAGATGTCACTACAGTACTTTCTTGATTTTTCCATGACAACGCTTCCGGTTTTCTTTCATGTATAAAAGTAAATTAATTTTCAAAACTCAATAAACAACTCATATTCTATTTGAAATTTTTCGTATTTCTTTGATATCTAAGCTGCAAATATAGTTTGGTTTAGAAAACTAATATATTTTTTAAAATATTTTCCTCATTGAATTATCACTTTCAAAGAGGTAAAATGTGGTGATGAATTTTTTTTTCTAATTGGTTTAGTGTGGCGAAGCAGAGTAGGCGTTGCGAGAGTAGTTAAAAAATTGAACCATAATATGAGAAGTCTCACTAGTTAAAATGTTATTTCCACTCTATAAGAAAAGGACAAATAGACTCTGTACTTTCGCTTTTCTGCTGGCAGTACTCAGTCCTGTTATAAGTACTAAGTCCATGCGTTTAGGTCAAACGAATGCTCGTGTAAGCGATAGCTATATGCACTCAAATCACTATAATAACGGGTGGAACAAAAGTCCTAACGAAGCCGAAAGGTACATGTTAGGGGTCATCAATACTGACAACTTTTGTTCTAGAATAATCCTGAGAAACCATCACGGAGATAGTGGATGTCAAAGTGAAAACAAAAAATCCACTTATTATAAAAAACACTTTAAAATGTTATTACAAAATATTTTTCCAAAGAAACATAATACAAATAAACAATAGTTATTCTTTAAATACAGTCTTAAAATCATAGCGCACGATGTATGTTGTGCACAGCTGTGACGCTGTGCATAGTACGTAGGTACATACTCTGCCGAGTGCACTGTCTTGCGAGAACTCCAATCTTCTTCTTGGTCTGCGGAGAATTCGTAGGTAGTAAAACCCTATACTCTTAGTTAAATTCATTCAAAACTAAATTCTGTCATCTCTGATCACGATCATTTACCAAGTTAGACAGTTCAAAACTCAATTGCAAAAATATTATTTATGCTTTAACGACGATTTCAAGCTTTATGAATGTTTTAAATTTCAAAATTTAGATAATGTCTTTAATGACAAACTAATAATGTCAATTTTAATATATCGATTTATTTCAGTCGTGGTCGTGGTAGTTCACAGAAAAGCGACGTGAAGCAACGCTTGCGTTGTGTTTCGTCGTGTGAGTGAGGGTACCGGAGGCCCAACCCCTCCCTATTTCCTTCCCTCTACCCCTAAACCCTTCCATCCCTATGATCATATTCGTCCCTCAAAGGCCGGCAGCGTGCTTGTAGCCCCTCTGGTGTTGCAGGTGTCTATGGGCGACGGTAATCACTTACCATCAGGTAATCCGTCTGCTCGTCTGCCCCCTATACCATAAAAAAAAAAGGATTGATGGAACTAATAGTAAAAACAGGCTTCAGTTAAGTGTTATTATGTTTTACAACTGTTACATAAATCATTTTAATGCTTTTGAATTTTGAATAGCTATCTAAAAGTAGGTAATCGAGAATTTCGATGCCTTTGTGAGCAGTATCGTTGCTCGAAATTGCTCAAAATTTCTATCGGTAGTGTCTCTTAAAACAAATGACAAATGTAATTAACGTTTTTGCAACTGGGTGTGTGATATAAGAACAGTGCAAAGCAAGATTTCAATCGTCCTAGCTCCCTTGTGGGTACCAACGCACGACGAGTATCAGCTGTATGGCTGGAGTTCAATGACCTCTTACTATTCGATGAAATGAATAGAAAAAACCGACTTCAGTTATGTTTTAGAACTGTTACATTAAGTAATCATTTAATTGTCGATTTTTTAAATCGATAAGTAGGTAATCAGCAACTGCAATGCCTTTTAATAGAGACACACGCAGACATTGTTGAGGGAGACCTTTTTGGTTTAAGGTCTTCTTAATTAATTTAAATTTAAATATTGACATTTAGGCAATCTGTTCTGCACATGCGCGTCTATTGTTGTTATTATATTGAAAGTAACGCTTCGTAAAGCTATTGTCGGTGCTGTTTGTATTTATATAAAATATATATTTTTGATGGTAAATAAACTCATGTGATCTAAAAGCTCCCTGGGTCTTTCACTATACCCGTTTTACCATCGGGTATCAGACATGTTTGTCCGGAGCAACGCGTTGCTACTTTTAATGTCGTTTCAAACATGTTTCCACACTAAAATGTTATTAAACAATCGCATACTATTCTCCTCATATCACTACATAAATTCAATGTAAAAACCAAGATACTTTTAATTATAAAAATAAGTACAAACACTATTTACTTACTCACTCACTACGCTGAAAAGTCTGCTTAAAAAATAGAGCAACAACATCTTATCGGATTTATGCTTTTATGAGTTCAAATGGTTTAAAAGTTTTACTCTAAAATAACAGTGACTTTCATGCTACTTTATAAACAGTGATTAAATTTATGCTCATTATTTCCAAGTATTTAAACTCTTATCATTTTTATACCCTACAAAAAAAGGACATTAAATTTTCCATACATTTCTGTTAAGAAAGCGCCTGCATATTTTTTTTGTAGTGCATTTGATTCGGATATTGTACTTTATTTGGTATGTTCCTCATCATTTGTAAAACGTGCATTTCTTTTTGAGCCGTTAATAAATATTTTACAATTTTTAAAATCGTTGAGTAACAAAGAATTGCCATGCCTTTAAGAGCAGTTTCGTTGCTCGATAACAGTAATTAAAATGAACTATGACTTCAATTTCTTTTTCGCACTAATCTGTTGGCAGGGAGCTATGGTGACAGCTTGGCTGGTCCTCAGGCATCGCAGTCATGCTTGTCGGGAGCATCGCATCGCAACGTTTGTATAGTACCGATTCAAACATGTTTCCACACTTAAATGCTGTTTATCTACTCAACATACTATAATCCTCATATCATTATATAAACGAAATGTAAAAGCCAAGATACTTTTTATACAAAAACAAGTACAAACGCCGATTACTCACTACGCTGAAAAGCCTGCCTAAAAAATAGAGCAACAACATTATGAACTCACATATTTTAAGTCTTGAAGATTTACTATAAAACAGTGATTTTCATGTTATTTTATTAACAGTGATTTATTGCCTAACTTATTATTTCTGATTATCAAACATCTTATAATTTTGGTATGTAACTTAAAACTTCATTACTTTTCGTGATTGTCTGTCCGAGTGACATTGTCCAAACAACCTGGAAAGATTACTAGGTCGATTAGTACCTACTTAATGTTTACAAAACACTTAATGTCGCGTTTCACAACGTGTAGGTGTTCATAGCAAAAAAATTATTAACCTTGCGAAGTTGCGATTGCACTGCTTGGTTTATTTTGGTAGTAATACTACCAAAATAAACCAAGCTATCCTATTGATAAATTTCCGGCAACAATTCATGTTGAACCTTATTCTCTTATCGCGATGGTCGATATTTTAATATGGCAATGGCGGAAATTGAATCTTATGTCTTTTTGGTAGTCACACTCACATAAGAGTCACTGCGGTTTTTTTTTATGTGGTTCGCTAGTTCGGTTTCTTACGTGTAAGCGATCGAAGGTGTTGTTGCACGTACGTACTCGTGAATTTCGCTAT